GTAATCCTAGCTACTTAGGAGGCTGGAATCTGTTTTGAAACCAGCTTGAGCAGGAAACTCTGTGACCTCTGTTTTGTTTTTTTTTTTGGGGGAGGGAGGGTGGTGGTCAGTCGTGGGGCTTGGAACTCTGGGCCTGGGTGCTGTCCCTCAGTTCTTCAGCTCAAGACTAGTAGTGCTCTACCACTTTGAGCCATAGCATCACTTCTGATTTTTCTGGTAGTTAATTGGAGATAAGAGTTTCACAGACTTTCCTGCCCAGGCTGGCTTTGAACTGTGATCCTTACATCTCAGCCTTCTGAGTAGCTAGGATTACAGGCATGAACCACCAGCTCCAAGCTCTGTGACCTCTTATCTCAAATTAAACACCAAAAAGCCAGAAGTGGTGCTGTGGCTCAAGTGGTAGAGTGCCAGCCTTGAGCTGAAGAGCCCAGGGACAGTGAGTGCCCAGGCCCATGACTGACAAAAAATAAAAAAATTATATAATATAAGGTACAATGGCACAAAGTAAACATTTCTATCCAAAAGAGAAGAATGGAGACACAAAAGGTAGAAATGGGACCAAAGCTAGATCAAAACTCAGCTTGACAAACATTAAATCCTATACTTCCATATCTAGCATCTGAGACACACAATGGCAGGACATGAATTGAAAGAGGCAAAGGCAATCCCATCTATATGGCCTTGTTGGCAGTAGTGCACATAGTCTCTAGGGCTGGCTCTACTCTCTGCTTGTAGCTTTCTCTAGCAGACAATCCATGTTCCTGGGATCTCCATCCTCATGTCTCCAATGCAGCTAAGGAAGTTTCACAGCTTCATGCATCTCCCTCTAGTGGAGCTGCCTTCAGCTACTCCAATCTTGCTACATGTGGTCTTGCCTCCTAATCTTTCTTTTGAGGACTTAGTGGAAATTTCCCTGAAACTGTAACTCTTTCATTTTGCTAAAGGTCTAATTTTAGCTGTTTCACTAGCAATATCCAAAAAGAAGGAACCTCCAAGGTCTATAACAAAGTAATCTGTTACTTTACTTAGGCAAGAACAAATTATTTACTGAATGTACCTAGGTAACCACTAAGCATTTTGTTATTAATTTTTTGTGTATATCTGTGTCTGTGTCCTGGGACTTGCCCTGAGGCCTGGTCACTGTCCCTGAGCTTTTGTGCACAAAGCTAGTGTTTTTAACACTTAAGCCATAGCTCTGCTTTTGGCTCTCATTAAGTTTTAGAATATTCTAGTGTTGTATTTCTGTCCTTATTAAATAGGGGAAAATAAGGAAATTATGCTCTGTGGCGGCAGCAATAAAAATATACATATAAAGGGTACATTTCATGACAGGAGTCTATTATACTAACCATTTCTATTATAATAATTTCCAGTCTAAATAAGCTATTTCTCCAATTATTTCATTATCTGTGCTATCCCCTCCTAGTAAACAGCATCCTAAATTCACATGTAATCACATTCTCCTTTTAATAGTACTTTCTATATCTATAACTGGGAGGACAATTTACCTGACCCCCCCTTTTTTTTTTTTGCTGGTCACGGGGCCTGAACTCTGGGCCTGGGCACTGTCCCTCATCTCTTCAGCTCAAGGTGACCACTCTACCACTTGAGCCACTGCACCACTTCCAGCTTTTTCTGCTTATGTGGTGTTGAAGAATCAAACCCAGGGCCTCATGCATGCAAGGCAAGCACTCTACCACTGAGCCACCTTCCTAGCCCCTTTACCTGTTATTTTATTTTTTATTTTTATTTTTTTTGTTGGTCGTGGGGCTTGAACTCTGGGCCTGGGCATTGTCCCTCAGCTCTTCAGCTCAAGGCGAGCGCTCTACCACTTGAGCTACAGTGCCACTTCCAGTTTTCTGGTGGTTTATTGGAGATAGTCTCATGGTCTCTCCTGCCCAGGCTGGCTTTGAACCGCGATCCTCAGATCTCAGCCTCCTGAGCAGCTAGGATTACAGGCGTGAGCCACCAGCGCCCAGCTTTTTACCTGTTATTTTAAAAGAGAGATTACCATAGGACATTGGGGATAGGCATGAGGGATTGAGGAGGTGGCTCACTTTTTATGTTTTAGTCTCATCACTGAAGAGTCTAGTCAATAAGTGATACAAAGGACCTGTTGGAACTGCTGTAGTCCAAACAGTATAAGAAGTGAAAGTACATTTAAAAGTTTAAATTTTCTGTTGTTGTCGGTCATGGGGCTTGGACTCAGGGCCTAGGCGCTGGTCCCTGAGCCCTTTTGCTAGAGGCTAGTGTTCTACCTCTCTGAGCCACAGCTCCACTTTGGTTTTCTGGTGGTTAATTGGATATAAGAGCCTCAGGGACTTTCCTGCCTAAGCTGGCTTTGAACCGTGATCCTCATCTCAGCCTGCTGAGTAGGTAGAATTATAGGTGTGAGCCACCAGCACCTGGCTAAAGTTCAAATTTTGTTGCTTTGCCGGTACAGCTTAAACTCAACCCTGTTCTCACTTGATTTGCTCAATCACATCTGTGCTCTACCATTTGAGCCACACCTTTAGCTCAAACAATGAAATTTTTGTTAGGCACCAATGGTTCATGCCTGAGGTCCTAGCTACTCAGAAGACTGAGATCTGAGGACCAAGATTCAAAGCCAGCCCAGGCAGGAAAGTATATGAAACTCTTATCTCCAATTAACCAACTAAAAGCTGGAAGTGGAGGTGTGGCTCAAGTAGTAGTGTTAGCCTTGAGTGAAAAAGCTAAGAGAAAGCATCTGGCCTTGAGTTCAAGCCCTAGTGTGGACACAGGAGGGGAAAAAAAATCAGTATTTAAATTAACATAAAGCATTGTAAATTTAATTGAAGAAATGAGTACTGAGTACTATCAGTAATATAACACTCTTTTAGTGGCTGTTCCAAGCAACAGAAGATAAAAAGAATTAAGTAGGTGCAGAGTGTAGGGATACAAGGAAGAGTGGCTTGTTATTAAAGTACAAACTCTGGAAAGGACATGATCAGATTTTGGGAGATCAACAAACCAATTTTGGAAGAATTTTCCTTGTTTAACTTGCCTGTCCTCTACCTGCAGCAACCACATCTTCCAACTTGACTCTTCTCAAATTATAGCTGTAATTTGGAAGAAGGAACAAAAAGCTAGGGAAATTTAAATCACCTAACTGAAAGCTATAAAGGACACTTTTTCACTTAGACTAATTACAAACACTTAGAAACATGGTGACAAGAGGCAGAATACTGTCTCTGGAAATAGCAAATTGACAGGAATCAGATTTCAAGAAGCAATGTTTCCTACTGCTTAGTCACATTCAGCTGGATTTTTCATTTTGTACACTTAATGTTAAGGCTTTTTCCTGACCTACTTAGTAATTTTATCATTTTTGTCTGATATTGTAATTTCAGTACACTGAATCCTTCAATCACTTCTTGTGTTTTTGTTGTTGTTTTTTTTAAAGGAACTAGCCTTCCGAGGCAGGTGACTAAATGATCCTTTTCCCGATTACGGCTAAGTAAGCTCAGTGGTCACTTCTTTCATCTTCAGCCTTTCAATCAGTAACGTAAGCTGGGCACCTGTGGCTCACGCCTCTAAGCCTAGCTACTCGGGTTCGAAGCTAGCCCTGGCAGGCAAATCCAAAAGGCTCTCATCTCCAATTAATCAGAAAAAAAAAAAAAAAAAGCTGGAACCCTGGAGTAGAAAAGCACAAGTACTTTTGGTTGGAGCTAAAGGTGTGACAAATACCGAGGCCGTACACGTGGGTAAGGACATCACACACAGGGGCCTGGTAGACCACGGCGAGGAGTCTAGACTCCCTAAATGCCCATGGAAAACCACAGGATTACAATACCCGGCTCGTCTTTCTAGTTAAGACCATGCTGGTAACAGGAGCTTTAAACGCTGAGAAACGTTAAGTCCGACGCAGTAACTATGCAGGCTCTCTGGGCCTCTCTGGCTTTCCACCCCGCAAAGCAAGTGGCTTGAGCTTGGAATCCCCATGTCCTTCCCACTGGGATGTGCCTGGGCGGTGAGTTCGAGGAGCACGAGCCTCGCCGGACTGACCGTGGAATTCCCGTCCGCTCGGCGGGCGCCCGGCACCCGGCACACAACTGGCGCCCTCAAACTGTCGCTCAGCGCAATGAATCAATGAATGGCCGGCCGGGGCCGCGCAGGAGGCGCGTTGGGTGCGGGACCAGGCCTAGTGCTGACGAGGGAAGTGAAATGTGCCGCACGCACGGGAGGCCGTGAGAAGCACCGGCGAGGAGAGCGGGGGCCGCCTCCACCACAGCCGGGGGACAGCACCCAGGGCCCCGGGCCTCGCGGGCTGGGGACAGAAATAGCTTGCGCGACGCCTGACACAGAGACAGCGAAGAGGCCCGAAACGCCGGGCCAAGGAGGCGTCTGGGCCCAGACACTCACCGCGGCGGTCGCCAGGCTGTGCATGTTGGGAGCGGCCGCCGCTCTCCTTCCTCCGCTGGGCGCGTCCGACCCGCGTCCCAGCTTCAGCGCCTCAGAAGCCGAAGAGGAGCCGCCATCCGCTTCGCTCCGCCCCCTTCGCAGACCTCTGACCTCTGACCCCTAGCTCCGCCCACACAGATTCCCGCCTCCAGCCGTCGGCCTAGTCAATTGGACAGCCCCAGGGCATTTTCTTTATCCTTTTAAGATTCCGGACCAGGAGGACGTTGACAACACGGTGGTCTGCATATTCCCCGGGAATCAAGCTGGCATCCGGGGAAGCGTGAACTCTGACCTTCCACCCAAAGGCCAGGGAAGGGCGGGAAAAATACCAACAGCCTCCGGAGGACAAGGATTGCGCATGCCCAAAGGGGCTGAGTAAACGGGAAATGGTGGGAGGTCGAAATTGGGCGAAGGAAAAGTGCGCATGCGTACTATGGTCATGGCCGGGGCGGGGCTCTCGGGGTAGAAGGCACTCGGCGATGGGGCGGAGCGAAGGGTGGGAGGGGCGGCGCTTGAAGGCTTGCGCGCACGCGCCTGGTGTGGTCGCGTCCAGTGTGCGTGCGTACGTATTTGCGTGTGATTACAGTTCCCGCCATCAGCCGTTCTCCCTGTCTTGAGGGAGTGAGCGACCTCGCTCTTTCGGACTGGCGTCTCTCTCTTTTTTGTTTGTCCCGGGCTGCTCCTCTTCTTCGTGAACTCTGTGCTTCCAGCAGACTTGTCCCGGAGTTGCAGACCTTCCGGCTCAGGTAAGGTGGGCCTTGGTAGCCTTTGAATTGAGCCGTTTTCTCTACCCGCCCCTACCCCGTGCGGTCCGCCCACTCGGCGTTCACTCTCCTGGAGTTCGCCCCACGGCTCAGCCCACCCCACCCGCCGGGCGCTCCTAGGGGCTCGCAGGTATTCCTTCTCCCCCTCGACTTTCCCTCTCCTTTGACTCGGTCTGTGCTGTCACTCGTTCTCCCCTGCATCCCGAAACTGCCCCTTCTTACGGGGCTGTCTTCGCCTGCCGCTTGCTCTCTCACCAGGCCTGCTGCCTTTTCAGGTGACTTCCATACATCCTTCGGGCCTTGGACCGGGTACTCATTCGCCCTGTTTGACTGTTCTTCACCTCCTTCCTCCTCTTAGCCATCCGTCACTTGAAAGGCAGGGATTGTATTTTTGTCGTGCGTGAGGTTGCTTTCCATCTCTAGTCATCACACCGGGTTTGCCAATTTAAGTCATGACCCGTGAAAGAAAATGTGGGTTGATGAAAAAAGTCCTGTGTTTTGGAGAGTTGACTTATGGGTGCTTTCGTGGTGTTCTTTTAGAATTTCAGCCATGTATAAATGACTTTTTACTATGGGGAGGAGTGTGTCGCAGTGCCTGACAAGTCCTCTTGCTTGAAGAAATATCTAAAAGGGACTGTTAAATAGTTGGAGATATTGAGCCAGAAATTAGTGTGTGTGCATGTGTGTCCTCTGTTGTGATATGGATGAAATTGCCTAAGAAGAGTATAGTACTAAAAAAGGAGACCTAGGATGAATCATTGAGAGAATGTTGATGTTTAATAGCTGCACAGAAGTGATGAATCTTTTAAGTGATGAAAAAAGGCATGCATGATATTACTTTCTACTGGAAGGTAAAATTGGAGGAGGAATGGAAAACCTAGTGACAGGAGAGTAATCATTGGAGATGTTTGATAAAATAAAGTGAAGAATAGGGTTCAGACTAGGTTCTCTTCTGCTGTTTCAGCACTCCCTAAGATTTAAATTCCACCTATATATTAGTGATTTAAATTTCTTAAAGATTTTTTTAGTAGCTTACATTGATTGTACAGTGGAGGTTTCATTGTAACATTTTCATAATTCATTCATACAGTGTACTTTATCACCCTGATTTAAGAATTTTTATTTCCAGCAATTCTGGTTGTTCTCAGTTCCTTATCCAAATAGTCAACTGGCTGCTTGACATCTCAACTTGATTTTTTTTCTTAGGAATTTTGAACCTAACATGCTGAAAAGCAAAATCTTGATTTGTCTCTCTGTACTCAAATTCTTTTCCCTCCATAGCCCCATTTCATTAAGTGTCATATCTATTTATCATGTTAAAAGTTAGGAACTTGATGACCACTACATTCCATATTATCAATATCTTCTCCAAGTCCTATATGTTTTTCTTCCAGTATGTTATAGATCTATTTCTGTATATCTTCACTGTGACTTTTCTAAACTGGAATCCTTTTTTACCTAGACTTGAGCTTTCTTGCTTCCAGCATTCTCATCTGTAAAATGGCAATGATAAGGGTTCTTATCTTATTGAATTGTTAGGAGGACTAAGTAAATAACTGTGGTCAACATATGGTTGATCACATGAAAAATTTCAAGTTAGCATTGTTACTGTAATTGTTATTATAAGTTGCATAACAGTATTTTCAGGTCTGGTTGCCCTATTTTTTTTTTCCATTTTTCTTTCTTTCCAGTGTGTTCTCCAAACCCAAACAAACCTTCATTCATTTAGCAGTAATACATCATTTATTTGTTTAAAGTCTTATAGTGGACTTCCCATTACTAAGTGCTTATTACCTTTAGGCTAAAGTTTGAAACTCTTATGGTTATCTACATGACTTTATAACTTGGTTCTTGCCTGTTTCACTAGCTTCATCTTGCAATGTCTCCTTTTTCTCACTGATCTCCACACATAGTGCTTTTAATTTCCAATTTAGAGCCTTTGCACATACTTTTATGTTGACCTGAATTGTTCCTTTACCACTGTCCTCCAATCAACTTATTTAATTCTCAGATTAAGATATTTTCTCTAAAAAGCCTTTTTTTTTTTCTCTTAACCTTCAGGTCTTAAATCATAATCTCATCATGACCTGCATTTTAATTTATGTAACTTTTTAAAACTTGTAATTATATATTTACTTGTACTATTTAAATCTGTCTCCTAGAATAATGACTATTTCAATTTCATTATTCAAGAATTGGTTAAATGAATTAAACTAGAACTTGATATAGAACCATTAAGTCTTTCAAAAACACCAGCTTAAAAGACACTACAATTGGTGATGTAGCTCATTGGTAGAGCACTTGCCTTAGCAAGTGCTTGAGTTTCAAGGCCTTGAGTTTAATTCCAGTACAGAGGATGGAAAGAGGAATGATGCAAACAATTATCTAGTAGTCGGTTACTTTTACCCACTCTTGTATAATAAAATCTTTCAGTTTTTAGGATGAAGGGAGGTGGTTCAAGTGATGGAGCACCCGCCCAGTAATGTATAAACAAAATAACAACAATACAACGCCCTGGGAGCTAATGGTTCGTGCTTGTAATCCCAGCTGTAGGTTCTCAGTTCCATACCAACCCAGGGAGAAAAATCCTGTAAGACTCCATCTCCAAAATAACCAGCAAAATGCTGGACTAGAGCTGTGGCTCAAGTGGTAGAGTGCCAACCACGAGTAAGCAAGAAAAACAAGAGCTCTGGACACTGAGTTCAAACACAGGTACACACACACACACACACACACTGTTTAAATATTAGACAAAGCTTGAGATGAAGATCCCTCTCTCCTTCAGTTACCACACTATCTCTTTTGTAATATTTGTCTTAGGAGTTTTTTATTAGGAAAGAAAGCTCTTGAAAATCAGATCAGTGGTTTATGTTGTTTAGCAACAGGTTAGACTATGAGGTTAGTGAAGAAGGGGTTCCTATAAACAGATCAAAGTCCATATTTATGTCAGTTCCTGGTGGATGAGGAATGAAAGTTTAAAGTTTAATAATTCTTAAGATTGCTGTTAAAAATGATTATAAAGTACTCATTAGCTTACTCATGTAACTAACTGTAATCCTCTGTATAGTATCTTTACAAAAAAAAAAGATTATAAAAATTAGCTAGCATATAAATGCCAACCATAGACAGTTAAGTTCCTTTCCTAGGTAGTAGTGAGTGAATAAAACTGTTCAGGAAGGAATTTCGTGTCAGTAGTATTTGCCCTTAGTATTCATTTTGCTGGCAGTACATATGAAAAAAGTATTCCAGGGCTGGGAATGTGGCTTAGTAGTAGAGTGCTTTTCTCCCATGCATGAGGCCCTGGGTTCAATTCCTCAGCACCTCATATGCAGAAAAAGCTGGAAGTGGCTCTGTGGCTCAAGTGGTAGAGTGCTATCCTTGAGCTAAAGAGCTGAAGGACAGCTCCCAGGCCCAGAGTTCAGGCCCCACAACCCACCAAAAAGAAAAAAGAAAAAGTATTCCAGTTGAGTGGTCTGTGTCTTGTCCTCTTCCCACTTATGGAGAAAGTTAAGAAGATGAGTAGTGCATATTTTAGTTTCTAAGAGATACAAACAGTTCTTTAGAAAGGATATTGTAAAGAAGAGGACTGATTGAAAAATCCTGTGAGAATGGATGCTGGAAAGTGACTGACAAAATTTATGGATGAGGATGAACTGTGGTAGTGGTTTAAAATTTTGAGTGTAGCCTTAAACATAGCATTGTCTGTTGTGACTGAACATAATTATATAATCTCTGAGCCTCAGTTTTCCTCATCTGGAAAACAGACACAATCCTATTCTTTAGAATGCTCTTTTGTTGTTCTTGTTGGTCTTGAATTCAGGGCCTGAGGGCTGTCCCTGAGCTCTTTCACTCAGACTAGTACTCTGTCACTTTGAACTACAGCTACACTTCTGGTTTTCTAGTGATTAATTGGAGACAGGAGTCACTAACTTTTTCTGCCTGGGCTGGCTTTGAACCATGATCCTCAGATCTCAGCATCTTGAGTAGCTAGGATTCCAAATGTGAGCCATTAGCACCTGGCTTCTCTAGAACTTTTCTAAAAATTAAGTGAAACATTGCATGTGAGGTACTTTGCACTGTGCTTATTAAAATGCTAGTTCTTTAAGTACATATTGAGTGAAGTGATGCCAAAGTGATGAGTTTCTGAATTAGGGAAGAAGCTGTAGAAGGGTTGGGTGTTGGATAGATGAGAATGAAGGTAAAGCTGACACCAAGATTTCTTGCCTGAATCTTGGTGAAAGGACAAGAGTAAAAAGGTCTAAGAACCTTAGTGAGGCTATGGCTTACCTGTATCATCTTCACATTTATATCTCCTACCATAGCGCCTTCCAACTGGAATAATTTAGTAGATAACTTTTTACTAAATGAATACAATAGCTTAAAGTTGATATTGTAGTTAATGAGAGATATACCTGGATAGAATTCCGGAGAAACTTCAGGCTTATAGAGACTTAAAATTGAAAAACAAGTTTTACTTACTTTTCATTTCCAAAGATAAGCAAAGACATCAAGTTTTCCCACCTTTGCAAATTTGTATCAACACATTATAGAAGTGATTGTTTCTAGGGCTTGGGCTGTCAAAATGTAACAGTGTTGACTAAGTCAACAAAGGGTCTACTAACTTTTTAGTTTCAAAATGTAGCAAGAATAAACCAAGATATAAATTGATGAAGGTGCAGGCTCCTGAGATAGTCCCTCATTTTCCACAGCAGATAATATTCTTAACGTTCTGTTGATAGGATGTGTATGTGTATGTGCAAGTGTAAGTGATTGTGGTTTTAAAGAGTTCATCTTTGTTATATAAATAACTTTCCTTAAGTTTTAATTTTCTATATGTTAAATTATCTTTAAAAAGGCACACTTATATTTTCTTTAGCTGAGTTGATGGCTCCTGGAGAACTGGCATAGCTGCAGAATATGAGTAGTTTCCCAAGAAGAACGCACTGCCTTTGGCACAAGGAGCAGAATAAAAGGTGAAATGGTATTACATAGGGTTTTTCAGTAAAAGTAAGTGATGTTTTTGTTATGGATATGTTCTCAAGAGTGTGCAAGCTGGAAAGAATTGACAGTTTTCTTTTAATTTTGTGCAGCATTTTTATGTTTTAGCTTGCTTTATCATGATATGCTAAATGCTATGAGGATGAGGATATTTTCAAAGCAGTACCTTAAATGTGAGCTTAAGTGAGCAAGGTTGAAAAATAACTGATGGAACTATTATGGAATGCTCAGACTTGAACAGTAATATTAATTGTGAAAATGTTTAGTTAAAGGGAATCTCTTTAATATGCTTACAGAATGACTTTTTTTTTTTTGGCGGTGGCAGTGGTGGGGGGCAGTCTTGGGGATTGAACTCAGGGTCTGGGCACTGTCCCTGAGCTGCTTTTGTTCAAGGCTAGCACTCTACCACTTGAGGCACAGAGCCACTTCCAACTTTTTCTGTTTATGTGGTACTAAGCCACATTCCCAGCCTTCTTTTTTAAATTTAATCTAATTTTTTTGTGCCAGTCCTAGGGCTTGAACTCAGGCCTTGGGTATTGTCCTTGAACTTTAGTGTTTAAGATTTGTGCTCTACGACTTTGGGCCACAGTTCCACTTCTGCTTTTGGTAGTTAATTGGAGAAGAGTCTTATGGCCTTTCTTGTCTAGGCTGGCTTTACAATCTTCAGATCTCAGCCTCCTGAATAGCTAGGATTCCGGGCATGAGGCACCAGCACCTGGCTGAGAATAATTCATTTTAATTAGATTTTTTTTCCTATTGTTGCTTTGATAGGAGAATTAGGAAAACATAGTTTAAAAAAGCTTTGTTGCCAGGCACTGGTGGCTTATACCTGTAATCCTAGGTACTCTGGAGTCTGAGATCTGAGGATCAAAGTTGGAAGCCACCATGGGAACAAGTACCTATGAGACTCTCATCCCTAATTACCCAATAAATAGAAGTGGAGCTGCATCTCAATGGTAATCACCAGTCTTGAGAAAAAAAAAAAAAAGCTGAAGGATAGGATCCAGGCCCTGAGTTCAAGCCCTAGTACTCTCATTAAAAACATAAAAATTAAAAAATGAAAGAGGAAGCTTTGTCTTAGGTTTATAAAAAGTTCAATTATTATTGTCATGCACATCAGACTAAAAAAGAAACTTAGTTTTTTTTTCACTTATCAAATAGGGAAATCAATCCCTGATTATGTGATGAATGTATAAAGGTAGTTCTTTTTAATTCATTTATAAAAATTCATTTATAAAAGCAAGCAGTAAATTGAAGCATTAAGAAAAGGCTTCATTAAATTATTTCTGTTGATTTTGCCCTGCACCTTTTACTTTTATTCCTTAGAAAAAAGCAAGATTGGTAGTGGAAATGGTTAAGAAAATGTCTAAAATATTACTTAGATAATTAAAATTCTACATCAGGGTATTTTGAGACATTGAGAATTAGACAGAAATAGAAACTACCAATACTATGTTTTGTTTTGTTGTTGTTGTTGATGTTGTTTTGCTGGTCATGGGTCTTGAACTCAGGGCCTGGGCACTGTCCTGAGCTCTTTTGCTCAAGGCTAGTGCTCTGCCACTTTGAGCCACAGCTCCACTTCTGGTGTTTTGAGTGGTTAATTGGAGATAAGAATCTCATGGGGACTTTTCTGCCCAGTCTGACTTCAAAACCATGATTCTTAGATCTCAGCATCCTGAATAGCTAGGATTACAGGTGTGAACCACTAATGCCTGGCCCACTAACGTTTTTATTTCCCATATACTTTGGTGAACTTTGAAATCTTCATCTGAAAATTTGTTTAATAATGACAGTATTAATAAGGTAAGCAACTAAGATTTTGGAGTTTTGTATTGTTTTTATTTTGGCATGATCTAAAGACTGACATATATATACTCTGTGTGCTGGTGGCTCATGCCTGTAATTCTAGCTACTCCGGAGGCTGAGATCTTAGAATCCGGTTCAAAGCCAGCCCAGGCAGGAAAGTCCCTGAGACTCTTATCTCCAATAAACCACCAGAAAACCAGAAGTGGCATTGTGGCTCAAGTGGTAGAGTGCTTACCTTGAGCTGAAGAGCTCAGGGAGAGTGCCCAAGCCCAGAGTTCAAGCCCCACAACCGACAGAAAAAAAGAATGACATATAAAGAAAGATGAGGGAATCTGATGAGATATGACCCTTAATACAGAATGATTCATTGAGCAATAAATAAATCCAAGTTTGGGTAAATTTATCAATTTTTAAAATATTATAATTGTAACCACATATTTTTATTTATAAGCAATTTCTCTTTTATTGAATTTTTTACAAGGCTTGAGTATAGTTTTGCATTTAGTGGAGAAGTTTGGACACACATAGAAAAAATACAGGTAGGAGCTGGGAAGGTAGCTCAGTGGTAGAGCGCTTGCCTTGCATGAATGAGGCCCTGGATTCAATTCCTCAGCACCACATAAGCAAAAAGAAAAAAGCCGGAAGTGGCGCTGTAGCTCAAGTGGAAGAGCACTAGCCTTGAGCTGAAGAGCTGAGGGACAGTGCCCAGGCCCAGAGTTCAGGCACCACGACCGAATCCAAAAAAAAAAGAAAAGAAAAAGTACAGGTTTACTCACAATGATTATGTATAAGATAATTCTTACAATAAGTACCCTTGTAAAGAGGTTAGTTAGTATAATCCTACAGTGTAGAATTCCAGTGGCTCATGCCTGCAATCCTAGCTGCTCAGGAGATCTAAGGTTCAAGTTCAGGAAGGAAACTCTGAGTCTTACCTCCAGTGAACGAGCAAAAAGCTGGAAGCAAAACTGTGACTCAAGTGGTAGAGCACTACTGAGCGAAAATACTAATAGCATCCTGGCCGAGTTTAAACCCAGGTATTGGCATTAAAAAAAAAAAAAAAGATAGATATGATTCCCATACCTGTTGTGCATTTTTAAAACAAATTGAATAAAATTAATAATGTTGATTTGTTCATTATTAAACAATGAATTTCTGGTTCCTTGATTTCATACACTGTCTTAATGGGGATGATGAGTTTAAACAATATATTCTCTATCTTGAAATAGTAGAGAAACAAAAAGTTTATAGTACTGGGTGATAAATGTGCTACTAGAGGCACAGAGTACAACTGGAAGACAAAGGAGGATTTGAAAGCTCTCAGTATAGGGGGAGGGAACAAGTGAAGAAGTCAGAAGAGGGTATGAGCAAAGCTTGAATCTTGATCTTTATAGCCACAAAGGGAATCAGAAAGGCTGGGAAGAAGGAAACTACATAAAAACTTACTGTTGCCAGGTCTTAGTGGCTTAGCTATTGATAATCTTAGCTACTCAGAAGGCTGAGATCTGAGGACTGCAGTTCAAAGCCAGCCTGAGCAGGAATGTCTGAGGCCCTTATCTCCAATTAACCACCTAATAATAATAATAATAATATAATAATACAATAAGCTGGAAGTGAAGCTGTGGCTCAAGTGGTAGAGTACTAACATTAAGTAAAAAAACTCAAGGATAATACTCAGGTCCTGAGTTCAAGCCCCAGGACTGAAACAAAAAAAAGTTCACTTAGGAATTATTTGTCAAAGGTAAAATTACTGAAGACTCTTTGTAGTAATGGTAATATTAAAATGTTACTTGGTTCTTAGAGCAGGTTTTTCATTTTTATTTTTATTTGTGTCATTGCTGGTGCTTGAACTCAGGACCTTGGTGCTATTCCTGAGCTGTTTTGTTCAAGGCTAGTGCTCTACCACTTGAGCCATAGTTCCTCTTTTGGCTTTTTGGTTATTAACTGAGTAAGAGTCTCATAGACTTTCTTGCCTGAGCTTCTTTTAACCAAAATCCTTAGATCTCACACTCCTAAGTAGCTAGGATTACAGGCATGACCCACCAAGGTCTGGCTTTTGTTTGTTTTTATTAGAAGTTAAATTCTTTTTTTATGTAATTCTAAAAGTTAAATAAATTTGATTAAAAATTTTAATTTAATGTCTTTTGTACATGTTGATATGCTTATACTATTGATGAATTTGATGTTTTGGGAGAAATTCCATTCTAAGAATTAGAGTCATATGACTGAAATTTAAAAAATTTTTTATTTGAAATTCAAGACCTGTTAGCATTCATGAAGGAAAAAAGAACCAACACTTTAATAGTGAAGACAGTTACATTGAGAGTGAACTCTTACTCTTGGTTGATATATCAACACATTACCTAATTCATGAATGGTGAAATGTTATTGGACACTTGGCAAAGAAGAAAACATGTACAGAAGAAATTAAAAATGATTAGTTGCAGCCATTAGATTGTCAGTGCTTGCTTTAATTTAGCTTTCTTAGCTGTGCTCTACAACTAATCAGGGCCTTTAAGGATGCATCATAAAAATTGTTTATTGAAATGGAGAAATGGATATAAGAGGGTTTATTAAGCATTCTCTTTTGAAGTTTTTTTTCTAAATTTCTTGTTGTTATAAAGAATACATAATAAAGAATACATTTCTTTTTGGACATAAGATGGTTTATTAAACATTCTCTTTTAAAGTCTTTTTTAATCATTAGTAACTTGTTATTTTTCTTTCCTAGAACCTATCAGGTGAATGTATATTTTTGCTTTATACTTCGGCTAGAAGCAATTTATTTTTAAAGAAAATGTCTCCTCTGAAGATACATGGTCCTGTCAGAATTCGAAGTATGCAGACTGGAATTACAAAGTGGAAAGAAGGATTTTTTGAAATTGTGGAAAAAGACAATAAAGTCAGCCTAGTAGTTCAGTATAATACTGGAGGAATTCCAAGGATATTTCAGGTATTAACCAAATTTTGATTCAGAATGCTTCTTGAATCAGATCCTTTAGTAAGTAACTCTCCCATGCCATAATAACCATCAAAGTAGCCCTTCTTGCTTATTTCCATGACACTAAATTTTTTAGCTACCTATTTTATAATTTTGTAAATTATTCAACAGCATTCTTGGCTGTATATAATAAAAAGCAGAAAGCAGTCACCATTATTGAAGAGAAAACTAGTGCAAATTAATTTACAAGGATTTGGGTACTATATACCTAAGCTTGTGTGTGGTGTATGCATGTGCTTGCACATGTCAGTTCTGGGCTTGAACACAAGACCTTGGACTTCAGGCTTTTTTTGGTCAAGGCTGGAATGCTACCACTTGAATCACACCTCCCCTTTTGGATTTCTATTTTCTTTTTGGCTGGGACTTGAACTCAGGGCCTTAACAGTATCCCTGAGTAGTATCTTCCACTTAAACCACAGCTTCATTTCTGACTGTTTAGTGGTTAATTGGAGATAGACTTTTTCACAGACTTTCCTGCCTGGGCTGACTTCAAATCATTATTCTCAGATCTCAAGCTAAGATTACAGGCAGTCAGGGCTGAGAATGTGGCTCAGTGGTAGAGCGCTTGCCTTACATGCATGAGGCCCTGGGTTCAATTCCTCAGCACCACATAAGCAAAAAGAAAAAAAGCCGGAAGTGGCGCTGTGGCTCAAGTGGTAGAGAGCTAGCCTTGAGCTGAAGAGCTGAGGGACAGCACCCAGGCCCAGAGTTCAGGCCCCACGACTGGACCCCAATAAAAAAAGAAAAAAAATATTACAGGCAGTGAGCACACTCAGGAAGTTGAGATCTGGAGAATTGCAGTTTGAGGCAGCTTGGGCAGAAAAGTTTGCTAGACTCCATCGCTAAAATAACCAGCAAAAAATAAGACTGGAGGGGCTAGGAAGGTAGCTCAGTGGTAGAGCGCTTGCCCTGCATGCCTGAGGCCCTGGGTTTGATTCCTCAGCACCACATAAGAAAAAAGAAAAAAGCCGGAAGTGGTGCTGTGGCTCAAGTGGTAGAGTGCTAGCCTTGAGCTGACGAGCTGAGAGACAGCGCCCAGGCCCAGAGTTCAAGCCCCATGACCGGACCCAAAAAAAAAAAAAAGACTGGAAGCATAGCTAAAGTGGTGGCATGAACCACCAGCATAAGAGGCTGAGCTCAAACCCCTGTACCACCCCAAAAATTAATTTGTTAATTAGGTTAGACCAAAGTATACTTTTTGCCCTAAACTGATCTGTTGAAGAATCTGTTGAAGTTATGCTTGAGAATATAATCTGAGGAAGAATTTCCATTTGTGTGTATGTACATGTGTGTACATGTGTGTCTGTGTGTAATGAACCCATATGTCGTTCCTGGGGCTTGAACTTGGATTGGGTGCTGTTTCTGAGGTTTCCTTTTTATTCAAAGGCTAGTTCTCTACCACTTGAGCCACAGCTCTGTTTCCAGTTCTTTGCTGGTTAGTTAGAGTTCAGTACCTGCCTAGGCTAGCATCAAACTTTAGTTCTCAGATCTCAGCCTCCTGAGTAGTTGGCATTTCAGGCATGAGCTATAATTGTTAATTTGTGTGTGCGTGTGTGTGTGCTTGCCAGTTTTGGGGGTTATACTAGGCCTGGGAGCTGTTCATTATTTTATATGCCAAAAATATTCATGAAGCCGGGTGCCGGCTACTCAGGAGGCTGAGATCTGAGGATTGTGGTTCAAAGCCAGCCTGGGCAGGAAAGGCCATGAAACTCTTGTCTAAATAAACAACCAGAAAACTGGAAGTAGCACTGTGGCTCAAGTGGTAGAGTGCTAGCCTTGAGCTGAAGAGTTGAGGGACAGCACTCAGGCCCAGATTAAAAAAAAAAAAAGATCCTTGAGCCAGGCATCAGTGGCTCATGCCTGTAATCCTAGGTACTCAGGAGGCTGAGATCTGAGAATTGTGGTTTGAAGCCAGCCCAGGCAGGAAAGTCTGTGAGACTCTTATCTCTAATAAAACTACCAAAACACCAGAAGTGGAGCTGCAGCTTAAGTGGTAGAACGTTAATCTTGAGTAAAAAAAAAAGCTCAGAGACAACACCCAGGTCCTGAGTTCAAGCTCAGGATGGCACCAAAAAAGAAAAAAAAAGAAAAAACAACAACTTTAAGTTGTAAGTGATGATAAGAAATAGAAACAAGTTTGTCACATATATTTATTAATTGTTCTTTTCAACTAAAGGTTTTTCTCAAATAGACTCATTTTGTTTTCAATCTTCAACCTAGGTTGACACTGAATGTTCAAATAGTTAATGCAAATGTAGGTCATCATCAGCACATAATTATTATATTTAACAATTCTAGCCTCACCTGAGGTCTTTATCAATTTACATTAACTCTTCATCTGTCAACCACCTACTGATTGTAGATACTGTACTAAGAGCTAAGAAAGAACATAGAGCTGAATGAGACATCATTCTCCCAAATTAGGAGGAATCAAATGCATATTCACATGTAAAAATATAAGACACTATCATGCAAAGAATGAAGTGATTTATGCTTGAGAATTTAGAGGATAAATAAGGGTTGGCCAAATAGCATGATACCCTTCTGAAAACAAGCTAAAGCAAAAAGGTCTGGGGACATGGCTCAGGTGCTAGAGTGCTTGCCTAGCTAGAGTGAGACTCTGAGTTCAAATCCTGGTAATACTGTGAGTGGGGAAGAAAGGCGAAGCCAGATATTGGTGGTTCACGCCTGTGATTCTAACTACTCAGGAACCTGAGATCTGAGGATTGTGGTTCAAAGCCAGCCTGGGCAGGAAAGTCCATGAGATTTGTATCTCCAGCAAACTACTCAGAAAAGTTAGAAGTGGTGCTGTGTTAGAAGTGGTAGAGTGCTAGCACTGAGCAAAAAGAAAGGGAAGAGCCCAGACCCTGAGTTCAAGAACGAGGATTGGCAACAACAACAAAAAAAGCAAGGAAAGGGGCTGGAAAGGTGGCTCAGTGGTAGAGCACTTGCCTTGCATGCATGAGGCCCTGGGTTTGATTCCTCAGCACCACATAAGCAACAAGAAAAAAGCCAGAAGTGGTGCTGTGGCTCAAGTGGTAGAGAGCTAGCCTTGAGCTGAAAAGCTGAGGGACAGCACTCAGGCCCAGAGTTCAGGCCCCATGACTGGACCCAAAAAACAAACAAAAAAAAGCAAGGAAAAATGATAGGAAGTAGACACTGAAGAGGTAGGTAGCAACCTGAGCTTCATGTTTTCTTGTTCTACTAGGAGCTTAGGTCCTATGGATCCAATAATCATAAATTCAGGTCTTTGGGAGTTAGACAAGCTAATAAGATTGAGAGATGAATCTTTGTTACTTTGGATGAGGAATGAAAGTCCTGAACATAGGAAAAGATAGAGAAGCAAGAGGAGGAAAGTATAGTCAACGAGACTTAATTCATTAGAATTGGGAGGAAAGAATCAAGAAATCCCAGTTTCCAAATGGATGGCGGTCCCTTTCATGATTTCCATAGTAGGGAGCAGAGGAAAGAATTGGGGAGTAAAGGCCGGAGACATGTATTGTCTGAGGTGTCAGCTATTCTGAAGGTCAATAGGTCTAGAATTGTAACAAAGAGGTCTGGACTTAAGAGAAGTTGGGAGTTTTTACCATCTGGGTGGTTACTGAAATTTGGGAGCTAGATGGGTTTATTTTCATTTTGTTGAAGTGACTAAGATCAGGATTATTTTCATTCACTGGTAAACACTTTCCTGTATGTAACATTAATGTTTTAAGATGGTAAGTTGATTGATATAATGCCTTTATGTTATGTATTTTCCTGTTTTACTAGAAAATATCTGCTCAGACATTAGGCTTACTTTGAAACTTAAATATATAGATAACATATTTACATACGTATGTACAATTTGAGTATAATCTGATAAAATTGTATTTTATACAGATAAAAAATTGTATTTTTATATATAAAATTGGCAAAGTTCAATTCTCTGAAAAAACATGAAATGCATTTTTTTTTTCATCGTGGAGCTTGAACTCTGGGTTTGGGCACTATCCCTGCACTCTTCAGCTCAAGGCGAGCTCTCTATCCCTTGAACCACAGCGCCACTTCCAGTTTTCTAATGGTTTATTGGATGGAGCTAAGAGTCTTAAGGACTTTCCTGCCTGGGCTGGCTTTGAATTGCAATCCTCAAATCTCAGACTCTGAGTAGCTAGGATTACAGGCGTGAGCCACCTGCACCCGACGAAATGCATTATTTTTTATGTGTTTAAGGGATATGTCTTTAGTAAAAGACAGTATTCTAGTATATGTGTTCCAGATGCTAATAGTTTACATTTATAATCCTAGCTACTCAGTAGGCTGAAATCTGAGGATTGAGGTACCAGTCAGAGTAGAAAAGTCCAAGATACTTTTTTCCCCACCATACTGGAGGGGATGTTCAAATGGTAGAGCACCAACCATGATAAAGAAAAAAAAAGCCCAATGAAAGTACAAGGCCTAGTATTCAAGGTTTGATACCAACAAACACATGCCGGTGCGCGCTCGCGTGTGCGCGCGCGCGCACACACACACACACACACACAGTAGATGTCTGCTAAGGTAGAGTACTAGAGAATAAAAACTACCTAATGTGTAGAAATTATTTAGGTAATAATGATATTTTAGGATATTTTAATTTCGCTTTGGAAAAATTTCATTCCAGAGAAAACAAAAGATGTTGCTTTCATAGCACATTTTTCAAAGACTTGGAGAGCCCAAGACAAAGAGTTTTGGGGCACTCAAGACCTTTGTGATTGAGTCAAATTGAGTCTGATTGGACATTTAGGAAAGATTCTCAGTGTTGGTAAAGGTTTACTTTTAATGTATTTTTAAGATTTTGGAATTCTGAGGATTACAGCTTAGCTTTCTATTTTCTTTTACACTGCAGTTATCTAAGTGATTTGCTACATATTTATAAACTTGTTTGAAGAAGAAGAAAGATTAATTCAATTTGTCTATACTACTAATAGTATAATCATCCAGGCTTTGACATTTAACTTACTATATTTATCTTATTACATAACTTAATATCTGAAAATATGGAATTCTCTAATGTAAGAAGATCAATAGAGGTAGCATTATTGTGTAAGATAGATTTTAATAGTGTATGTTTGTATCTTATTTTTTTTCTTTCTTATGAGTCCAAGACTTGGGACCAATATCTTTTGCTCATTTGGCTAGTGCTGTGCCAAATGAGGCACACTTTCAACCCCATATGTTGTATCTTCTAAATGTTAAATCTTTGATTTAAAGATATCAAGAAATAGAATTCTTTTGGTTGAAAATAAATTGAATTAGTATAGGATGATTGGGAAATGTAACTTGGAAGATAAAAGGTTCTATTTGTTATATAATTATACTTTGTATATTTTTTATAATACAATTTTCCTTTTATTTTTGTCAGCTAAATCATAATATTAAAAATGTGGTGCTTCGACCCAGTGGAGCAAAACAAAGCCGCCTAATGTTAACTCTGCAAGATAACAGCTTCTTGTCTATTGATAAAGTACCGAGTAAAGATGCAGAGGATATGAGGTTGTTTCTAGATGCAGTCCATCAAAACAGACATACAGGTGAGCATAAATTATTCTAATGTCTGACACTGGTAGTTTTAAAAGAATATGATAACTACAGACTATTACTTCTGATGAATGTTGAAACAAAAGCTTCTAATAAAATATTAGTAAACTAATTCAGTCACATATTTAAAGAATTATACTGAGTGACTAAAAAGGATTTATTGGTATTGTGCACCTGTAATCTTAGGAAATGGACATAGGAAAGATGGTGGTGCCAGGTCATCTTTGCAAAAATTTATTGAGATTCCATCTTAGAGAAACAGCTGTGTGTGATGATGCACACACAATTCCAGCTACTTAGGAGTGAGAGGTAAATCCAGGCAAATGTGAGACTCTAGCTGAAAAATAGAAGAAAAAGGCTAGAGCTATGACCCAGGTATACACTGTAGCAAGTGAGAAGCCTGAGTTCAAAATGCTAGTACTTCCAAACATGTGGAATGTAAGGCTATTTCAACATATGACAGTCTTTATAATATAGCACACTAAAAAAAAAAAACAAACAAAAAAAACGGGGCTGGGATTACTCAATGCAAAAATGTTTGCCTAGCAAGTGCAGCATCCTGGGTTTGATCCATAGTACCAAAAAAGAAAAGACAGGAAAAACAAAGTTAAAAATAATAATTTAAAAAAACCCACATGATTATTCCTGTAAACTTAGCTACTCAGGAAGGCTGAGATCTGAAGGATCTCAATTCCTGTAGGACAGAAAAGTCCTCAAGACTAGCTTCAGTTAACCAGCAAAATGCTGGACTGGTGGCATGTCTCACGTGGTAGAGCACACGCTGTGAACAAGAAAACCCAAGTGAGAGAACAGGCTTTGCATTCAAGCTCTGGTACCACCACCAAAAAAAGGGAAGGAGGTTTTTGTTTTTTCTTTTTTGTCAGTTGTGGGGCTTGAACTCAGCCTATGTGCACTGTTCCTGAGCTCTGCAGTTCAAGGTGAGCACTCTACCACTTGAGCCACAGTGCCACTTCCAGTTTTCTGGTAGCTAATTGGAGATAAGGGTCGCAAGGACTTTGAACCTCAATCCTCGGATCTCAGCCTCCTGAGTAGGCTTGCAGGTATGAGCCTTCAGTGCCGGATTAGGGAAAGAGGTTTTGAATTCTAACAATCTCTGGATGGAAAAGTCCTTTCTGAATCTAATATAAAAACTATAGTGAAGAAAAGACAAACCATATAAATGTAGACAAAATATTAGCTAGAGTTAAAGAGTGGTGTCACATTTTATTTGTTTATTTATTTTGGTGCTGTGATGGAACCCAGAGCTTCATACATACTAGGCAAATGCTGTATCACTGAGCTACATCTCTAGCCCCTGAGTAGTATGTTAATGTCAATTGTGATCTTATAGAAATGAACTTTTAACTTTTTTAAAAAAGAAACTATAATTAGAGACATACTAGGTAATTGCAGGAAGTAGTGTAGATGTATATCCAATATTTCTGGAATTGTTACAATAATGTTTTCCACATACCCAATATTTATCATTTTGCTATCTCATCTTTTTTCTTGTGCCAATTCTGGGGCTTGAACTCATGGTCTGCACACTGTCTCTGAGCTTCTTTTGCTCTAGGTTGGCCCTCTACTACAGCTCCACTTTCCAGCTTTTTGGGGTAGTTTATTGGAGATACACTCATGGCCTTTGCTACCTGACGATCTCATCTTTTTTTTTTTTTTTGGTTATGGGGGCTGAACTCTGGGCCTAGGTGCTATCCCTTAGCTCTTCAGCTCAAGGCTAGTACTCCACCACTTGAGCCACAGCTCCCCTTCTGCTTATGTAATGCTGAGGAATCGAACCCAGAGCATCACGCATGCAAGGCTAGCACTCTATCAGTGAGCCACCTTCCCAGCCTTTTCTCATTTATTTTTAGGAAAATCTAAGATTTATCATTTTTTTTATTATATAAAGTCTGACCTATTATACAATCATATTAAAAGTCAACTTTAAAAAATGGACAAAAACTTCAAATAAGAAATTCAAGGAAAAATGGCTTTTAAACATGTAAAAAAAATCTCAACTTTAGTAATTCTCAATCATATTGGCAGCAGTTTGATAGGAAGCAAACTCACATTTGGTTGGAGAGTAGAGGACTATAAGTAATGTAAGTTGATGTAATATCTAAATTTAGTTTAAAATTATATGTCCATTAACAAAACAATTCTTTTTCTAGGAGTTTATTTTACAAAATCATTTCATTAGTACAAAAAGAGAATGTTATGCATTGCTTGCAATTTTGAAAACTTAAAATATTTCAAATCATTATCAACGGGAAGTAGGGAAACTATATTAAAATATAGTGCTGGTCTTGGGCCTTGAACTCAGTGCCTGGGTGTTGTTCTGAGCTTTTATGCTCAAGGCTGTTACTCTACCATTTGAGCCATAGCTCCCCTTCTAGTTTTTTGGTGGTTAGTTAAGGAGTCTCATTGACTTTCTTGGGTGAGCTGACTTTGAATTGTGATCCTCAGATCTCAGTCTCCTGAATAGTTAGGATTATAACATAAGCCATCAGTGCCTGGCCATAAAATACTTTTAAAAGTAAACACAAAAAAGTACATACAAATTCATATTGGTGGAATACCTTAAATGTTTAAGCTAACATGAATTTCTTAGAACTTTTTTGTTGTGGTTGTTTTGCCAGTCCTGGGGGCCTTGAACTTAGGGCCTGGGCACTGTCCCTGAGCTTCTATTGCTCAAGGCTAGTACTCTACATCTTGAGCCATAATACCACTTCTGGCTTTTTCTGTTTATTTGGTACTGAGGAATCGAACCCAGGGCTTTATGCATGCTAGGCAGGCACTTTATCACTAAGCCACATCCCCAGACCCTTTGTGGGTTTTTTGGGTATTTCTTTTTTTTCTTCTTTCGCTTGGACCAGTCCTGAGGCTTGAACTGATGGCTCAGTCTCTTTCCCTGAGCTTCTTTTGCTGAAAGCTAGTGCTCTACCACTTGATCCTCAGCTTTATTTCTGGGGGGGTTTTTTTTGGTAGTTTTAGTAGAGGTAAGAATCTCACTGACTTTCCTGCTTGGGCTGGCTTCAAAGTGCAATCCTTAGATCTCAGCCTCCTGAGTAGCTAGGATTATGGTATGAGCTATCAGCACTTGGCTTGATAAACTTAAAAAAAAAAATTTTAAACTGATCCTTAAATATATAAAAATTGTACATACTTATGGAGTATACATATATATATATACATATTGTGATTGATACACTGTTACTTGTAGAGAATGCTGTGGAGAATAGGATACTGGAAGAACACCTGTCATTTTTGACATTTCCTGCATTTAGTATTAATGTTCATGCCTTAGATACAGAACTTAACTCTTCCATAGTATTAGTAACCAACTCTACTGGAGAATTTCTAGTATTTCTTTTTGTCTTGCAAATTCTCACATATTTGTATTATTTGCATATTTTGCTTGAGATTTTCATTACTATAAAGTTTAACTACTGTATATCTCAGATGTGTGTCCTATTTAGTAAGTCCCCTTGGTTTTAACTTTTTCCTTTTGTTCCATTTCTTCAATGTTATATCAAAAATCTTTTTTTTAAGTAAGTGATTTTCAAAAAAACTACTTTTGTTTTTGTTTTCTGTTTTTTGTTACCAGCCAATAAAACACCTCAAGGATCTGGTAGTTTTGGAGCCATTCTAAGCAGCAGGGCATCGCAGAAGGAAACGAATAGACAACTTTCTTATTCAGACAATCAGGTATGTTTATGTCAATCTTTTTAGCTTTTTAAAGAAAGTGATAGTTATAGACATACTACATAGTTTCAGGAAGTAGAATTTAGATGGTAATATTCAATATTTCTGGTGTTGTCACAGTGGTGTTTTCCACATAGCTAACATTTATCCTTTTTTTAAAAAAAATTTTTTTTGGTCCGGTGGTGGGACCTGAACTCTGGGCTTGGGCGCTGTCCCTCAGATCTTCAGCTCAAGGCTAGCACTCTACCACTTGAGCCACAGCACCATGTCCAGCTTTTTTCTTTTTGCTTATGTGGTGCTGAGGAATCGAACCCAGGGCCTCATGCATGCAAGGCAAGCGCTCTACCACATTTATCCTTTTGACTATCGCATTCTCTTTAACTTTCTTTTTGTCGGTTGTGGGCTTGAACTCTGGGCCTGTGCATTGCCCCTAAGCTCTTTAGCTAGTGCTCTACCACTTGAGTCACAGTGCCAATTCTGATTTTCTGGTGGCTAATTTTGAGTCACAGTGCCAATTCTGGTTTTCTGGTGGCTAATTAGAGATAAGAGTTTCATGGATATTCTTGCCTGGGCTGGCTTTGAACTGTGATCTTCAGATCTCAGCCTCCTAAGTAGCTAGGATTACAGGCATGAGCCACTGGCACCCAGCCCTTTTTTAACTTTTTATGGAAGACTTTCTGGGATTTATCACATTCTTTCCTTCTTACAGTTTTACTGAACAGCACTTGATGTCTCATGGTCATCAGAATAAGCCACAGTATAATTTTTTAAAGCATGGCTTTGGAATTAGATATGAGTTTAAGACTTGGTGCTGCTACTTACTAGGTGGGGACACTGGGGAAATTTCTTAAGAATCCTGAGCCTTTAATACTTATGTATAATAACATTTCAAGAGTTCTGTGAGATAATGCTCAAAAGGTAATATGCTTACTGTATACTGAGTATACAATCAGCCCTACAAATACTACTTTGCCTTTATACTGTATAACACCATACTGATTTTTGAGATCTTTTCTTTGCTTTTTACAAAGCAAATGCATATTATTATTCTTTATCCTATTTTTTGTCGGTTGTGGGGCTTGAACTCTGGACCTGGGCGCTGTCCCTCAGCTCTTTGGCTCAAGGCTAGTGCTCTACCACTTAAGCCACAGCGCCACTTCCGGCTTTTTTCTTTTTGCTTATGTGGTGCTGAGGAATTGAACCCAGGGCCTCAGGCATGCAAGGCAAGCGCTCTACCACTGAGCCAACTTCCCAGCCCCTGAACATAATTATTTTGAGATGAACACATTTGTAAGTAGAAATAACCTTTAAGCTATTCATTCAAGTGACCTTAGAGGTTTTTTAATTTTCTGTCCTAAGCTTGTCATTCTATAAAACAAAAGTAATTGGACATATCTTCCTTAGTAAAATCACATAGGTCTTTTTTTTTTTGGGGGGGTGTCCAGTCATGGGGCTTGAACTCTGGGCCTGGGTGCTGTCCCTCAGCTCTTCAGCTCAAGGCTAGCACTCTACCAGTTGAGCCACAGCGCCACTTCCGGCTTTTTTTTTTCTGCTTATGTGGTGCTGAGGAATCGAACCCAGGGCCTCAAGCATGCAAGGCAAGCGCTCTGCCACTGAGCCACCTTCCCAGCCCACATAGGTCTTAATGTAGAGATGTAAAACATACCTGGCAGAGTGTTTATCTAAAACAGTTTCCCAATTAATATGTTTGCATCCTACTCTCTCTGGATAGTCTTGCTATGTATACAGTAGATTCTTTGGTTTTCTTACATGAATAGACTTTCTCATCTTCCTTCTACCCAGCATTATTCCTCCAAACTTGAATCCTCTCAAAATAATAGGACTGTCTTGCTGATTATACATGACTTGGCATTTGAATTGTGGCAATTAAATGTCATTGTTATTTCGTATTGTTGTGTTGTGTTTTATTTGTGCCAAGTTGAAAGGCTTGAATTTAAGGTTTTGCACAGTCAATTAGCTTTTTTGCTCAGGGCTAGTGCTCTACCACTTGAGCTCTACCACCCCAGCTTTCATCTTTTTGGTGGTTGATTGGAGATAAGTGTTACTAGGATTTGTGTCACCAGGCTGACATTCAACCTTGATCTTCAGATCTCAGTCTCCCAAGAAGTAGGGAGGCATAAGCCACTGACTGTCACCTGGTTGTTTTTTGGTTTTTGTTGGTGCTAGAGATCAAACATAGGTCATACTGCAAGCTAAACACACACACACTACCACTGAGGGATACCTTCATCTCTTTTTCTTGTAATCAAGATATATATTTTCCTTTTCCAAAAATCAGTTCTCTTTTTTTTTTTTTTTTTTTTTTGTCAGTTGTGGGTCTTGAACTCTGGGCTTGGGTGCTATCCCTGCGCTCTTCAGCTTACGGCGAGCTCTCTACTGTCTGAGCCACAGCGCCACCTCGGTTTTCGGGTGGTTTATTGGAGATAAGAGTTTCACGGACTTTCTTGCCCGGGCTGGCTTTGAACCATGATCCTCAGATCTCAGCCTCCTGAATAGCTAGGATTACAGGCATGAGCCACTGGCGCCCAGTGCCCGGCTAGATCTGTGTCTTTCTGTATCATCTTCTTCTTTTTTTAAATAATGGTAGGATTCCTGCCTTCTGCCTCAGTATGCTGTGGAACTTTTAGGTTAGCAAGAATGTGACAAGAGAGCTGGTGTGATGGTACATGACCATTCCAATATCTAAAAAACTGAGGCAGGAGGATGGCAAATTCTAGGCCAACCTGAGCTCACTAGGAAGTTAATAATACTGCAGGAAAATAAATGTTAAGCTTAATTTCTCTTCCTCAACTATGCATTAGAATCACCTAGAATGCTTTAAAAAAATACATTTATAGGCCATATGCCCGTAGCTATTCAGGAGGCTGAGATCTGAGGATCAGGGTTCAAAGCCAGCCCGGACAGGAAACTCCATGAGACTCTTATCTCCAATAAACCACTCAGAAAACTGAAATTGGCACTGTGGCTCAAGTGGTAGAGCACTTGTCTTGAGCTGAAGAGCTGAGAGATAATGCCCAGGCCCAGAGTTCAAGCCCCACGACCGACAAAAACACAAAAAAATACATTTATAGGGGCTGGGGATGTAGCTCACTAGAATAGCACTTATTATATATAAGGCTCTGAGTTTGATCCCTAGCACTGCAAAAAAGCCAGACATCTGAATGGGTGGATGGGTGGGTGGATAGATGGATGGGTGGGTGGATGGATGGATGGATGGATGGATGGATGGATGGATCAATCAGTTAGATAAGAAATGAGTTTCCCATTATATTTTTGATAGCCCCTATGTGAGAATCAGTGTTCTTAAAAGTTTGCAGTGAACTTGAGGATTTTAATATCTCAATCATTACTATTACAGGCTTCTTCAAAAAGAGGAAGTTTGGAAACTAAAGATGATATTCCATTTCGAAAAGTTCTTGGTCATCCAGGTAGAGGACCGATTAAGACTGTACCAGGAAGTGGAATAGCTATTCCTCGGACAATTCCTTCTTTATCACCCACATCACCTCTTAGATCAGGATTGTTAGAAAACCGGTAAGAAAGACTATTTGTTTGGTGAACTTGTTTATAGATGTCTTCTGGGCCTTGTAGAAATTTGAAATAGGGCAGGGAGATGGGGAGGGGGGGAGATGGGAAGGAGGATGGTAAGGGGAAACAAAAGAGGAGGCAACAATGCTTGATTAAAAAAAATGTACTCATTACCTTGCTCATGTAATTGTAACCCCTCTGTACAGTATTTTCACAATAAAAAAAAGAAATTTGAAATAGAAGATAGAGAGTACATTTTTGGTAGAGAATTAGGTCATAGGTAGTTTATGTCAAAGACATGAATTAAGCTTGTACATAAGTAGTACATTAATTTAAGTGTGGTATAGAATATTTCATAACAATAGTCACATTCTATTCTTGAATATGCTAGTTTATAATTTTTGATGGTATGAATTATAACTCTTTAAAAATAGCCCTTTTTGCCCTTTGTTCTTCATAGCACTGAAAAGAGGAAAAGAATGTTATCATCTGGTTCAGAGCTGAATGAAGATTATCCTAAGGAAAATGATTCATCATCGTAAGTTGCTTTTAGAGCACTTATCACACTTGGTCAGTTTTCCTTCGTTCTTTCCTTTCTTCCTTCCTTCCTTCCTTCCTTCCTTCCTTCCTTCTTTCCTTCCTTCCTTCCTTCCTTCCTTCCTTCCTTCCTTGCTTCCTTCTGTCCTTCCTTGCTTCCTTCTGTCCTTCCTTCTTCCTTTCCTTCCTTCCCTCCCTCCCTTGTCCTCTTCCTTCCTTCCCTCCCTTTCAGTTGTGGGGCTTGTACTCAGGGCCTGGGCCTAGCCTCTTTGTGCCCAAGGCTAGCACTCTACCACTTGAGCCATATCACCACTTCCAGTTTTTAAGTGGTTAATTGGCAATAAGAGTCTCACAGGGACTTTAATGCCTGGGCTGGCTTTGAACTGTGATCCTTAGAGCTTAGCCTCCTGAGTAGCTAGTATTTATTACAGGTGTGAGCCACTGGTGCATGGCTTGATCAGTGTTCTTGATATTGAGAGTTATAACCACTAGGAAAGATTGAAAAAATGTTCAATTTGAACAGAGTACCATGTTGATGTCTAGGCTGTCTAGGCTGGCCTTGAACCTCTGTCCACTCTTATCTCTACCCACTGAGTAGCTGGGATTACAGATGTAAGCCATCCCACTTAGAAAACAGCTTTATTTTTTTTAATGATTCTTTTAATCTTAGTTGTTGAATCATTTCATCTGGTCTGTTTTGGGCCAAGAAAAACCTACATTGGCTGTCACTGATTTGACTTTTATCTATAAAGAAAATGCTCTTTTGTTTTTATTTAATTGCTAGAGCAGTGGATACATTGACTATTAGTAATAAAAAGTTATTTTCATAATTCTTACTTTAGGTGGATAAATCTCTTGAGCATTTAATAACTTTATAGCCTAACTTAAGCATATAAATGAATTTGGAAATTGAAATAAAGTTTCTTAATGGAGAGTATCTTTTTACAGTCATATTAATATTTATCTAAAAATATCAACTTCAGGAATAACAAGGCCATGACAGATCCCTCACGAAAATACTTAACCAGCAGTAGAGAAAAGCAGCTGAGCTTGAAACAGTCAGAAGAAAATCGGACCTCAGGTAAGGAGATGCTCTATTTATATAATAAATAGAAATAAAAACCTATACTGGGATATATGTCTACATTATTCAGGAATAGTTCAAAATCCAGTACTAGCTTTGAACACTTAATTTATACCCAGTTATTGACTAATATATTTTAAAGTAATAAAAAGTTCCATTCTGTTTAATAAGAATCTAAGCTTTACATCCTTTTTTATTTTTCTATTATACTTTTTAGAAGTAAGCATTTATTCGAAGGTTGGAATTAAATGTCATCAATATTACTATTTATTAGAAAATACTATTTAGCCAGGTACTGGTGGCTCACGCCTGTAATCCTAGCTGAGATCTGAGGAATGCAGTTCCAAGCCAGCTCGCGCAGGAAAGGCTGAAAGACTCTTACTCCACCACCAAAAAACTGGAAGTGGCACTGAGGCTATTCCTGAATTTAGACTATCCCTGACTTTTTGACAGGAGCTTCCCACACTTACCAATCTGTATTATCATCCAGAATTCTTAAAACTAACTTAGATATCTACTATTGATTTTACTATTATGTTACCTTTTGAAGTTAAAGCTAAAATGTGTCATGATCTTGATAAATAGTGTGAGTTTGCTTGATCAGACCAGTAGAACTGTTTGTTTCAGTAGTTTGCGATTGTGACATTGACTCCTACAGAAAAAAAGTATATCCAATTTTTAAAACTTTCCTCTAATAATAAGAAATCAGCTGGTACTGTTTTAAATGAATAAATCAAGAAATACTGGAAACACATTACTTAGCACTGTGGAAAAAGTCAGAAAAACTATAAAATGGCTAGAGCCAGGTACCAGTATCCCACACTTATAATCCTAGCTACTCAAGAGGCTGAGATCAGAGGATAAAAGATAAAAACCAGCCTACGCAAAAAAGTGTGTAAGACTCAACTCTAAAATAATAAACAAAAAGCAGGACTCAAGTGTGACTCAAGTGATAAAGTGAGCAAGCAAAGCAGGTGGGCAAAAGACACTGAATTAAAAGCCCTGGTGCCCACAAAAAGAAAAAAAAAAGGCCAGAAACTATTTGAACTGGCAGAGTTAGGTCAGGGGAACATTGCTTTTCTGTTGCAGTTTTTTCCAGAGTACTTAATCTCTTAGCATTCATAAGTTTTACTTTGATGAAAAGGGAAAAAAAAGAACATTAATTACATATAAGAGACCTGAAGTGTAATTTTATTATTAAGTGAGCTTTAGTGATTGATTTTAGGTATTAATTTGCTTCATTTGTTTTATAGGACTTTTACCTTTGCAATCATCATCATTTTATGGTAGCAGAGCTGGCTCCAAGGATTACTCTTCTGGCAGCACTAACCTAGATAGGTATGCACTGGTTATATTCCTTGTGAAAAATTCAAGGCATTCACTTTTCAGAATATTAAATGATGGAATTTGCATTAACTAAATAAATGCCCTAATTTAGGAGTGTCAAGGACTGGAGGCTCAAGTGGTAGAACACCATCAAGCAATCTGAATAAGCACAAGGCCTTGACTTCAAATTCTGGTACTGTGGGAACAAATAATATCAAAATTTATGAGAATAGTAGAGTCTTAACATTTTAGTTAGAAAGTACTCTGGTTGGATGCCGGTGGCTTATTCCTATAACCTTAGCTACTCAGAAGGCTGATAATCTGAGAATTAAGCCATGAAACTTTTATATCCAGTTAACTAGCAAAAAAGCCAGAGGAGGTGGTCTAGCTCAAGTAGTAGAGTACCAGGCATGAACAAAAAAGAGTGGAAGCATGAAGGCCCAGAGTTTAAGTCTCAGTACTATACTAAAACAAAAAAACAGGAAAAAAGAAAAAAGTACTCTTTAGAAATATTTTAGTTAAGACTACTTATTGGTTGTGCCTAGACTAGTCATGTTTCCAGGTTCTAGATCAGGATATTTTCCATCCTCCCATGTATAAGCATATTAAGATGTCTTTTTTCAGTTATTCTTACATATTCTTTGTTTTCTATGTTTTAAGCTACCTTCAATACTTAAGAGGTGGTTTTCTTTTGTTTTGTTTTTTGCCAGTCCTGGGGCTTGAACTCAGGGCCATGGCACTGTCCCTAAGCTGCTTTTGTTCAAGGCTAGCACTCTACCACTAAGCCACATTCCCAGTCCTTGTTTTGTTTTTTTAAAACAAAAACTTCAGCTGAATACCCGTGGCACATGTTTAATCCTAAAATCTCAGAAGGCTAGGATCTATGGGATCAATGTTTGAGGCCAGGTCAGGCCAAAAAGTTCTGAAAATTCCATTTCCAGAACAACCCCTATGGGTCAAGTTGTAGACCACCACACCAGATATATAAGCATAAGGCTTAGACTCTTTGGATATTTCTTCTGCTTATTAGAAGAATATTAAAGAAATCCAAATTTAAAAAAAACTTTAGGTGGGTACTGGTGACGCACACCTGTAACCCTAGCTACTCAGGAGACTGAGATCTGAGGATTGTAGTTGAAAGCCAGCCTGAGCAGGAAAGTCCATGAGACTCTTATTTCCAATTAACCATAAAAAGATGGAAAGGGCGCCATGATTAAAAGTGGTAGAATGCTAGCCCTGAGCAAAAGAGCTCAGAGACAGCACCCAGGCCCTGAGTTCAAGCCCATGACCAAAGAAAGAAGAAAGGAGGGAAAAGAAAGAAAGAACCAACATTAATTTGGTTTGCAAATGATTTGTTAAATACAGTACAGATTCTCAAAATAATAGAATGTCCATCTCCACTCCACATCTAAACATTCCATAAGAAATGTTTGAAGACAGCTCAGTGCTGGTAGCTCACACCTGTAATCCTGGCTACTCAGGAGGCTGAGATCACAATTCGATGCCAGCCTGGGTAGGAACATCCGTGAGACTTACCTCCAGTTAATCACCCGAAAAAAACTGAAGTGACACTGTGGCTCAAGTGGTAGAGTGCTTGCCTTGAGCAGAAGAGCTCAGGGACAGTACCCAGGCCGAGTTCAAGCCCCATGACCAACTAAAAACAAAGAAATGTATGAAGAGAGAAAACTTTTAATAAAAAGGCTTCATTTAAAGATAGGTGAAAATGACCAGATTAATTACAAAAATAATATTGAAAGAAGTCTAAAAAGTCAAGTATTGAGCCAGGCATTGGTGGCTCACAACCTTTTATCCTAGCTACTCAGGAGGTAGAGATCTGAAGCCAGCCAAGTCAGGAAAGTCTATGAGACTCTTATCTTCAATTAACCACCAGAAAACAGGAAGTGTAGCGGTGGCTCAAGTGGTAGATCACTAGCCTTGAGCATAAAAACTCAGGGTCTGGGTGCTATTGTTGAGCTTTTATGCTTCTGAACTTTTTGTGTTCAAGACTAGTAGTGCTCAACCTTTTGGGCCATAGCTCCACTTCTTGCATCTTGGTAGTTAACTAGAGATAGGAGTCCCATAGACTTTCCTGCCTGGACTGGCTTCACATTGTGATCCTCACATCTCACCCACTAACTTGGATAATTTTGATTGTAAGTCAGTAGGTAAAATTTAGTTTTCTATCAATAGACTTAATAATTTATTTTTATGAGGGTTCATTTTGGGGGTGGTACTGACATTTGTGAGTTTCTTTCTCCAAAATGATCTTTATTACCAAAATTTACTAAAAAAAAAAAAAAATTTCCCCTTTACTTTCTCTGAATTGACTAAGGGGGGGGAAATATTCAAATTTTGATTTTTTTCTTCTTCATTATGCTTTTTTTTTTTTTAAATAGGACTAATGTTTCAAGCCAGACTCCCTCTGCCAAAAGAAGTTTGGGATTTCTTCCTCAGCCATCGCCTCTTTCTGTGAAGAAACTGAGATATAACCAGGATTACACTGGCTGGAACAAACCAAGAGTGCCCCTTTCTTCTCACCAACAGCATCAACTACAGGGGTGGGTAAATTGTATTTTCTTTTTCATGTGATTCAACTGAATTATGCTTTTTTGTTAAAATAATGAAAGAGTCACAGTTAAAGTTCTAAAATATTTAAAATCAGGTTACTTATAAAAAAAAGTATCATATCGATAAATAAGTTAAATCCAGTATTTAGTCTCTAAACAATTTTCTTTTTTGGCAGTACTGAGGTTTTGAACTCAGGACCCTGTGCTTGCTAATAAGCAGGCCCCTTTACAATTAGCCATACCTACAGCCCCGATTTTTGCTTGAATAGTTGCTTCCAACTATGGTATGCACCTGAACATAATCTGTGTTAGGCTTCCCAGTAGCTAGTGTAACAGGTACATACCACCTTGTCCAGTTCTTTTTTTCTGCCCAGGCTGGCCTTAGTTCTTCCTCTTAAAAACTTAGCCTGGCCTGTAGCTAGTATTATAAGTGTGTCTATAATGCCAAGCTTCAAGCAATTTTTTTTCAAACAATTTTTAAATTTTGAAATATATAGGAGTTTAAGGTATATCCTCCAATACTATATACTTAATCCTACTCTTTGATACTTTCAGCTTTTGGGGGTTTTTTTAGTGATGGTCCTAGGGCTTGAACTGAGGATCTGGATGCTGTCCTTGTGCTTTTTGCTCAAGGCTAGAGTTCTACCACTTGAACCATAGCTCCACTTCTAGCTTTTGGGTGATTAATTTGAGGTAAAAGTCTGACAGACTTTCCTGCCCAGGCTGACTTTGAACTCAGATCCTCAGATCTCAGCCTCTTGACTAGTAATGATTAAAAAAAAAAAGCTGGATGACAGTGGCTCACACTACTCAGGAGGCTGAGATCTGAGGATCGCTGTTCAAAGCCAGCCCCAGCAGGTAAAGTCCATGAGACTCTTATTTCCAATAAACCACCAGAAAACTGGAAGTGGCACTGTAGCTCAAGTGGTAGAGAACTAGCCTTGAGCTGAAGAGCTGAGACCTGTGGTAATAATAATATAGGGCATTACTGAAGTGTTTATTATATGTTAAATGCTATATGGTGTTTAAACTCATTGTTCCTTTACTTTCAAAAGTTCTATAAGATAGATATATTTAAATCAAAGGAAAAAAATTCTACTAGGCAATCTTAAACTCTGTAATCCTAGCTATGTGGGAGTCAGAGATATGGGGGATCAGGCTTTCAGGCCAGCCCAATCAAAGAGAAGTTTACAAGATTCCATCTCAACTAATGGCTGGGTAAGGTAGCTTATGTCTGTTATCCCAGCTACAAAGGGAAGTACAATGGCTGGGCTTAGTGTTGTGGACCCGTTAGCCTGTAATCTCTAGTGACAAGAGAATCATAACTAAGAGGATTGAAGCCCAGGCCTGCCCAGACCTGTCCAGGAATAAAGCTTCAAAAATAACTAGTGCAAAAAGGGGGTTGAAGTTATGGCTCAAGTAGAGAGCACTTACTTGGTAGGTATGAGGCTCTAAATTCAATCCCCAGTGCCACCAAAAAGGAAAAAAAGAAAAAATGTACCCTGATGTGACTGAGCCCTGTAATACCAGCTACTCAGAAACAAGAGAGAGATACAGAGGATTGTTTGTGGTTCAAGGCCAACCTAGGCAACAAGTTCCCAAGACCCCCATTTCAACAAAACATTAGATAGGGTGGCACAGACCTGTTATCTATGTAGAAAGTCTTAGATTGGATCATGCTCCAAGGCTGACCTCAGACAAAAACTCTTGACCCTATCCAAAAAATAACTGAAGCAAAAAAGTGCTTGATTGGTACAGTACCTGCCTAGCAAGTACAAGGCCTTGAGTTCAAACTCAAGGGAAAAAAGTTGCTTTAATGGGTAAATTAGCAAAGTTAGCTCTCTCAAAGTATTGGTGGGTTTGGTTTGGTTTGGTTTGGTTTGAGGTTTGGATTTGTTTTTTCCCCCCAGTAGTTCAGTGTTAAAAATCCAGGCAATTTCTCCAGTTCTCTTAAGTTTGCTCGATGTTCTCTTAAATTTTTCATTGTTCATTAATTGTATGCATCCATATGTATTAACTTTCAACCATGTTATTGTGCACTTAGGTTTCCCTTTATAAGATACTCTAGAATTAACATTCTTGTAGACAAAGATGTACTTCTTAATACTTGATGGAATTTTTTTTTAATCCATCATGGGGCTTGAACTCTGGCCCTGGGCGCTCTGCCCCTTAGCTCTTCACCTCAAGGTGAGCACTCTACCACTTGAATCACGCCATCACTTGTGGTTTTCCGGTTGTTATTTGGAGATAAGAGTTTCATGGACTGGGGCTGGGAAGGTGGCTCAGTGGTAGAGCGCTTGCCTTGCATGCCTGAAGCCCTGGGTTCAATTCCTCAGCACCACATAAGCAAAAAGAAAAAAGCCAGAAGTGGCGCTGTGGCTCAAGTGGTAGAGCGCTAGCCTTGAGCTGAAGAGCTGAGGGACAGTGTCCAGGCCCAGAGTTCAGGCCCACGACCGGACCCAAAAAAAAAAAAAAAAAAAGAGTTTCATGGACTTTCCTGCCCAGGCTGGCTTTGAACCTCAATCCTCAGATCTCCTGAGTAGCTAGGATTACAGGAATGAGCCACCTGTGCCTGGCTTGATGGAATTTTTCTATAAGGTAAATTCTTGGAAGTAAAATTGGTGAGACTAAGGAAGGCACTCTGAGGTGTTTTTTGTTGTTATTGTTGTTTTGTTTTTCAAATTAAAATTATTCTTACAAATTGCCCTCCTAAGGCTGTTGCTGGGTAATTTATGGCTATAATCCTAGCTATTCGAGAAGCTGAGATCTGAAAAATCACAAAGGCCAGTCTGAGCAGGAAAGTCTATGAGACTCCCATCTCCAACATAACCATTATAAAGTAGGGCTGGATGCATGACTCAAGTGATAGAATGCCAGCTAAGCAAATTAAGCCAAACCCTACTTCTGACCCCACCCCCCCCATTTCCAAAATCTGTTAGCTTTATAGTGTTACTCAAATTACTGCCTTTAAAAAAATTTTTTTTTTTAATGCCAACATTAAGCTCATCATTTTACTTCAATGAGTAGTACTGGAAATTTGGTTTATCCACAATAGATGCTTCGTTTATTAGCAGAAAACATCAGAAAATTTTTAGAGAAAACATTTCACTTTTCTCTATGAGTTTTTGCCTTTCCTGTTCTGTTTTCAGTAGTCTTCTAATACATGTTTTCCTTTGTTCTTCATTCTGATTGATCTGTCTCAGATTATTATCCTTACTTTTGTCTGCTTCCTAGGCTCCTCTCTTCTCTCTTCTTTTCTTTTTCTTTTTGTAGTACTAGAGTTGACACAGGGCCTTGTACTTGGTAGGCTAGTACTTACCATTTAAACCATGCCTCCAGGACTGACAGCATTCTTATATTGGTAACCATTCTTCATCCAGATTTTCCTCTTACCACCTCTTGGGTATTTTATAGTTTACTTCTGGTCTGTCACTTTCTTCCTTCAGACTCTTTTGACAGCATCATTGTGTTGTCCAGTGTTGATGCTCTAGTCTTCTCCAATTCTTTATTCGTGTATACTGCCTGTAAGTCTAAACATTACATCTCTTTCAATCCTCTTTCAGAAACTAATAGTATTTCAAATAGTTTAAGCACTTTGATCAAAAACTCTTTTACAAGAAGACATCTGAGGGCTGGGAAGGTGGCTCAGTGGTAGAGTGCTTGCCCTGCTTGCCTGAGGCCCTGGGTTCGATTCCTCAGCACCACATAAGCAAAAAGAAAAAAGCCAGAAGTGGCACTGTGGCTCAAGTGGTGGAGCGCTAGCCTTGAGCTGAAGAGCTGAGGGACAGCGCCCAGGCCCAGAGTTCAGGCCCCACGACCGGACCCCCCCTGCCCAAAAAAAAAAAAAAGAAGACATCTGAGTAGAAAACTGCCAGGTCTAAAGGATAATAAAAAACTGCTTTAACATTACTAAGAGATGAGGTGATCTTCCAAGTAGAGAAGCAAACCATTTTCCTGCAGGGTTCATGTTCTTTTGCCTAAGCTTCCCTCATAGTTGGGAACTGAAGACTTAAAGAACTACATGAAAGAGAATATGTATGAGGGGAAGACTTAGAAAAACATTATTTCTAGAAAGATAATAAATACTGAGACCAAAATACTGAATATAGGTTTAGATCTTGATAGTTTCTGCACTGATTATAGGGAAAGGAGTGAAAATGACTAGTACCAGAAGTAACAGCTGCAAAGAATCATCATTAGTAGGAGTGAATCAACCAAATACTGAGACTAGAGAATTAAAAATTGTCCTAGGGCTGGGAATGGGCCTTAGTGGTAGAGTGCTTGCCTAGCATGCAGGAAGCCCTGGGTTCAATTTCTCAGTGCCACATAACAGAAAAAGCTGGAAATGGTACTGTGGCTCAAGTGGTAGAGAGCTAGCCATGAACAAAAGAAGATCAGAGAGTGCCCAGGCTTTGAGTTCAAGCCCAAGGACTGACCAAAAAAAAGAAAAAAAAGTTCAGGTAGTCTGGGAAAAACTGGTTGAACTGAGAAATAGACAAAAAAAAAAAAGCTATATTACATATAACTAATATATATTACATAATATATATGTAATTTTATATATTTAATAATTAATTTTCTTCTTCTGAAGAAAAAAAAAAACACTAGTATTACTATTGATAACTGTAATCTAAGAGAACTTCCCCCAAAATAAAACCTTCCATCTATACACTAAAAGAGCCCTCCAGCTACTCAGGAGGCTGAGATCTGAGGATCATGGTTCAAAACCATCCTGGGCAGGAAAGTCCATGAGACTCTTCAACTAACCACTAGAAAACTGGAAGTGGCACTGTGCCTCAAGTCTTGAGCTAAAAAGCTCAGAGACAGGGCCCAGGCCCAGAGCAAGCCCCATGACCGACAAAAACAAAAAAAGCCCTCCAGGTACCTGGAATGTCAGCCTGCAATAGTCAAAACATATCTTTTTTTTTTTTTTTTTGGTCCAGTCATGGGCCTGGGCGTTGTCCCTCAGCTCTTCAGCTCAAGGCTAGCGCTCTACCACTTGGGCCACAGCACCACTTCCGGCTTTTTTCTTTTTGCTTATGTGGTGCTGAGGAATCGAACCCAGGGCCTCAGGCATGCAAGGCAAGCGCTCTACCACTGAGCCACCTTCCCAGCCCCAGTCAAAACATATCTTAAGACAGCTATTAGATTCTAAAGATTAGGAAAAAAATTTAATTAAAAAAATATGATGTACAAAGTAACAGTGAACATTATGTTCAAGACTTGATTAAAGAAAGAGTTAAAAAAGATTTATGGCAAGCTAAATGGTATTCAGGCTAGGAAGATTTTAAAATGGAAAAATTCAAAATACTACATGCATTTCTCTTCCTGAAAAAAAGATAAGCTTATCCATCCAAAATGTGACTGGAGCATTGCCAGAAGATAAAGAGTGAATACTTCCTTTCTTGGATTACAGAGATAAGTTAAATAACCGAGGGAACACATTTAGAAGTGTAGTATATAATCTTAATGTTTTCTACTAAGGTAATAAAAATCACACTTAAAAAATTGGAAGAGAGAAAGAAACTAAAATAAGAGCTGTGAGTCTAAGAACAAACAATCCAGATGGACTTAATTGCAATGTAGAAAGTTTAGATGTAGATGTAACAACTAAAACAAAAATGAGGAAGTAGCACTGAGGCTCAAGTGGTAGAGCGCTTGCCTTGAGCTGAAGAGCGCAGGGACAGCGCCCAGGCCCAGAGTTCAAGCCCTATGACCGACAAAAATAAATAAATAAAACAAAAATGATTAGCCTTCAAAAACTCAAATATTTCTAAAAGCCATGCTAGATAAGTAAAAATTATGACAGCTGAGACCAACTACATTAATAAATGTATCATATGGGGCTGGGAAGGTGGCTCAGTTGTAGAGCGCTTGCCTTGCATGCCTGAGGCCCTGGGTTCAATTCCTCAGCACCACATAAGCAAAAAGAAAAAAGCCGGAAGTGGCGCTGTGGCTCAAGTGGTAGAGTACTAGCCTTGAGCTGAATTGCTGAGGGACAGCGCCCAGGCCCAGAGTTCAGACCCACGACCGGACCCAAAAAATAAAATAAAATAAAAATGTATCATATTTGTAACTCAGAAACCAGAGGCAAGGGAGGCCAGCCTGGGGTATAGTAAGACCCACTCTCAAAAAGAAAAAGAATAAAGGTTGCAGTCTGGATACATAAGAAGTAGAACTTAGCCCAGAAACTATTAAATAAGACAAAGATGAATACTTAGTGCTAAAAGCCAGAATTCACATTGAATGTATGATAGCCATAAATGTATAAACCTAATAGCACTACAGTCCTGCATAACAGTGGAAACTACTAGATACTGTGAGACACAGTAGTGGGTTTTTTTTGCTTGTTTGTTTTTGTTTTTTTTTTTTTTTGTTCGGTCGTGGGGTTTGAACTCTGGGTGCTGTCCCTCAGCTCTTCGGTTCAAGGTGAGCACTCTACTGCTTGAGCCACAGCGCTACTTCTGGTTTTCTAGTGGTTTATTGGAGATAAGAATCTCACGAACTTTCCTGCCCATGCTGGCTTTGAACCATGATCCTCAGATCTCAGCCTCCTGAGTAGCTAGGATTACAGGCGTGAGCCATTGGTGCCCAGCCACAGTAGTGTTTTTATGATATGATAGATAACATTTTAATATGTCTCCTATAGCTAACAAAATGACTTTAGATCTTTTGTATTCTTACTTTTCTACCTGTTTTCATCTGTTTTGTCATTCTGAGAATGATGTGTTAAAATTTCCTAGCCAGGTGCGGATGGCAGTGTAATCCTAGCTACTCAGGAGGGTAAGATCTGAGTATCACGGTTCAAAGCCAGCTGGGGCAGGATAGTCTCTGAGATTCTTATCTCCAGTTAATTACCAGAAAACCTGAAGTGGAGCTGTGGCTCAATTGGTAGAGCATTAACCTTGATCAAAGGGCACCAGTGGCTCATGTCTGTAATCCTAGCTGTTCAGGAGGCTGACATCTGGGGGTCATGGTTAAAAGCCAGCCGGGGCAGGAAAGTTTTATCTCCACTAAACTACCAGAAAAGCTGGAAGTAGAGTTGTGACTCCTAGCCCTTGAGCAAAACGGTCTGGGTCTGGGACGCCATCCAGACTCTGAGCTCAAGCCCCAGGATCAGCACACATAAAAAAAGTTTCAAGGGACAGTGCCCAGGCGATGAGCTCAAGCTTCAGGACCAGCATACACATACACAAGAAATTTCCTGTAGTTCCAAATGTGTTCTATTTTATTTCTCATGGTAGATTTTATGCATGCCAAAGTGCTGTATTGAATCTACTTCAGGAACCTACCTACCTTTGCTATACTGAATATATTTTAATGTATTTAATATATTTTTTTCTTTCAATTTCAGATTTTCCAACTTGGGAAATACATGCTATATGAATGCTATTTTGCAATCTCTGTTTTCACTCCAATCATTTGCAAACGACTTACTTAAACAGGGTATCCCATGGAAGAAAATTCCACTTAATGCACTTATTAGGTAATTGTTAAGTACTTCCTAAAGGACCATTTATGTTAATTGTTGTACTCAAAATTTTATGTATTATAGTTAGTAGTCTTCAAAATATTATGCCATTTGGTGCTTTTTAAAACATGCTTATTCTGTGTCTTATTTTATCAGACGCTTTGCACACTTGCTTGTTAAAAAAGATGTCTGTAATTCAGAGACCAAAAAAGAATTACTCAAGAAGGTTAAAAATGCCATTTCAGCTACAGCAGAAAGATTCTCTGGTTATATGCAGAATGTGAGTATTAATTATTTCAAACATTTTTAGATGTGGGAAATTGAAATTATTTAATAGGCAACAAGGTTTTTATTTTGAAATGTTATTTGTGTAGTATGGTCATCATGGATTGAAAAAAACTTGAGCTATGATGCAGCTCAATAATACTTTTGTGTATTTGATCTTATTCTGTTTTAGTGGCAGGGTCTTACTATGTATCTCAGGCTGACCTCAGCTGTCAACCCTAAAGACTTAGTCTCTCAAATGTCAGAATTTCACATGCATGCCACCATTGCCCAACTCTTATATCTTAATATACAAATGTAGTTTGCCAGTGAAAAAGTATTTTTTTAGTAAAGTGTGAAGACATATATTCATCATGTTAATACAACTACATAGTTAAGAATATAAAACTTGTCATATGTTTTTACTTACAGTTTTTGTTTTTTTGTTTTGTTGTAGTGCTAGGCATGAACCCATGGTTTCATGCATGCTATGCAAGTTCTACCACGAACTACATCCAGTCCTTGTCATTTATGTCTTTTTTGCCTGGTGCTGAGGCTTGCACTCAGGACCTTGGTTGCTGTCCCTGAGCTTCTTTTGTTTAACACTAGCTTAGCTAGGATTACAGGTGTGAGTCACCAGCTCCAGATGTCATTTACTTTTATTCATAAAATGCATACCCTAAAATCCTTAAATAAATAAGCCTGACCTTGATTACATAACTGATTTCAAAGAACTTTGTATAAATTGTAACTGGTATAAATTGTATAAATTGTAACTTTGTATAAATTGTAATGGCTGTTATTATGGTAATAAATTATTTTGATCTGAAGACAGATGTTATTGTCTTCTTAGGATGCTCATGAATTTCTAAGTCAGTGCCTAGACCAACTAAAAGAGGATATGGAAAAGTTAAATAAAACTTGGAAGTCTGAGCCTGTTCTTGGAGAAGAAAATTCACCAGATATTTCAGCTACCAGAGTATACACTTGTCCTGTTATTACTAATTTGGAGTTTGAGGTTCAGCACTCCATCATTTGTAAAGCGTAAGTAGTCTCTAAGCAAACTATTTTCCCTCTTTAATCCTTTATCACAAGTGATTAAAGCTTTCTTATACCAAATGCTATGAATTCCTCTTATTTTATTCTCCAGTATTGGAGATTGAACTGATGATTATAAGGCAAACACTCTACCACTTGTTTTCAATTTTTTCAGATAAAGGTTTTAGGTTTTTGCTTGGGCCAGCTTCTGACTACAATCCTTCTACTTCCAACTCCCAAGTTTCTGGAATTACCAGGCATGCTCTACCCCACAAGGCTTGGTTTTGAGATAGGGTCTCACTAAGTTTTTGCCTGGAGGTCTTAAGCCATGATCCTCTTACCTCCACTTCCTGAATTGCTGGTATTGTAGGTATAAATACTCTGAATTCTTACTTTATTTTCCTTCCTATGCTGGGCGGACGGGAAAGAATGCAGGCATAATAAACTCATAGATTATACCAAATCTCTTTTTTTTTTTTTCAGTCTTTCTATAAAATGCTTGTTGAGCTGGCCACCCCTGGCTCACTTGTAACTCTAGCTAGTCAGGAGGCTGAGATCTGAGGATCACAGTTTAAAGCCAGCCTGGGCAGGAAAGTCTGACTCTTATTGCCAATAAACTTCCCAAAAAGCTGGAAGTGGAGCTGTGGTTCAGTGGGTAGAATTGCTATCCTTGAGCAAAAAAAGCTCGGACACAGTGTCCTGTTCAAGTCCCAGAACTGGCACAAAAAAAAAATGCTGTTGAGAAGAGAACCAAGGAGATTTTTCAGTATTGTGTGATAGATATTTATTCTGTTTCATAGTTTATTTGTTTTGGTTTTAAGTTTTTGAGATAGGATTTGGCTTTTGAGATTTAGATTTGAGATAGGATGTTACCAGGGTGGATGGAGCTCACTAGTAAACCAAGTGGACCTCAAATTCTTTTTTTTTTTTTTTTGTCGGTCGTGGGGCTTGAACTCTGGGCCTGGGCGCTGTCCCTCAGCTCTTCAGTTCAAGGCGAGCGCTCTACCACTTGAGCTACAGCGCCACTTCCGGTTTTCTGGTGGTTTATTGGAGATAGGAGTCTCACGGTTTCTCCTGCCCGGGCTGGCTTTGTACCGCGATTCTCAGATCTCAGCCTCCTGAGTAGCTAGGATTACAGGCGTGAGCCAGCAGCGCCCGGCTGGACCTCAAATTCTTAATTGTCTTTCTCCATCTCCCAAGTGCTGGTTTTACTGGCCTGCATTGCCATGCTGGGTTAAGTAATTTTGATCTACAGTGCTTTACTTTGTCTTTTCATTGGTCCATGGAGATTAAGTTATGCAAGAATACTTGTTTTCCTTATTAGTTGCTTATTTTAATAAAACCAAATCCATGTTATTTAAATTGTTCTTTCCAATACTACATTCAGACTACCAACCTTCCACAGGTTATGGTGCTCTGTCTCCTTACAGGGCACCTTCTGACAGAGGCACTCAGTAAATATTTGTTGAATGAAAAATATGTTTTTCCTTTTTCTTTAACTTTGCTCTGTGGCAGTAAGAAATCTGGGCTGAAAGCTATATAAAGTATAATAACAAGAGGACAAGTGAAGCAGTCAGCTACAACTGTCTAAAAATTTGTTTTTGCTTCTAAGAGAAGTAAACATGAGTATTTGTTCTGAACCCATTTTCTAAAAGCATTATAAAAATATATTCAATAACCAAATGATGCTGCTACCTAGCAAAAGGGCTTATATGATGCATGGAACACACAAAATTTTCATAGTAGTGTTCATATAGTCAAAAAGTGAAAAAAATTCATCAGTAGTAATATGGATGTTACTACAATGATTAATTCACTCTTCTATATATATGTTATACTTTGTTTAGGGATGTGGGGGGGGGGTGGTACTTGGGGTTTCAGTTCAGAACTTTGTGCTTGTAAGGCTGGTGTGATGCCACTGAGCCATTCTTCCAAATCTGTTTTTCACTGGTTATTTTTAGGATAGGGTCCCAGTTCCCATCTGAGCATGCCACTGAGCGGCAGTTTGCTTGCTTTTTAGGCTTCCCCAATGGGAAGATAGATACTTCATCTACCCAGCAGGAGTGCATGCTACTACCTTCAACTTCCCTTCCATTGGAGTTGTCATCTCACAGAATTTTCTGTCCAAGCTGGCCTCCCACTCCTCCTATTTTCAGTGTTCCATGTAGCTTTTGATGACAGGCTTGTACCATATGGGTTGAGATGGGATCTTGTGAACTTTTTTGCTTAACTTGCCTTGAACCATTCTTAGCCTGCCAAGAAGTTAGGATTGCAGGAATGAGCCCTGTGCCTCAGCTATACTTTAATTTTTTTAAAGCTCAAGGTATTGTTAAAATATATAAATTTTAAAGTTAACATTTTTAAACAGTACTTAAATATTTGCAAGGATTTTTAGCTGTATTAACTTAAAAAACGATATTAAAATCAGCACAAAAAAGTCCTTAATGTTACTTGTTTTGGCACTAGAAATTCCATAGTAGAGTAGTATTTCTAGTATATTTGAATTTTTGTATTGTTCCAAGTAGTTATATTCATTTCCTTTTATTATTCAGGTGTGGGGAAACTATTCCCAAAAGAGAACAATTTAATGATCTCTCCATTGACCTTCCTCGAAGAAAAAAACCACTCCCTCCTCGTTCAATTCAAGATTCTCTTGACCTTTTCTTTAGGGTATGTAATAAACTATGTTTTATATATCACACGAAATTGTCTTTGAAATTTGTTTCTTCAAGGTGGAATTTCAGCAAAAGTATTTGAAAGGAAGCAAATGAAAAATGTTTATGAATACTTATTTTATAAAGCTTGATCTGATAATTCATTGAAGAAAATTGGATGTTTAAATACATGGTATATTTAACTAAATGACAAAGTTTTTCTTAGATAATCTTAAGTTTATCATTTTAAGCAAATACTAATGAAGGCATTTGCAGTAATACATGCTCAAATTTGGTAATATGAAATAAAATGGCTTTCCTACGTATAAGCTGATGTGCTAATTGTTGAGAAATGAAAACCACTGCTTTCTCTTAGGTGGTATGTACTTTGATAGGAAAAGGAAGGAAGAATCATTAGTGTGTATGTTATACTTTCACAGATATTCAGAATATTTTTACAGTACAATCAGGCCTGTTGTGTAGCTGATCTTTTAACTGGTGGATATTTGCCAAGATCCCTCTTGATCTGAATAATAATGCTCCTTATTTTGTTGAAGCAACATGAGGTTGTTTTCCTCGAGATTTTTGTTTGTTTAATCTGATCTTTAAATGATGGGTGCTTAAATCCACCCAAAGATAATTTCTCTGCTTTTTTGTTTTGTTTTGTTTCGTTTTGATTGATTTAATCATTCTCTACCATTCCTATTATATGCTAAAGATTTTCCTATATATCTTTATCTCCAATATTAAGGATTTCTCCTTTCAGTTTTCTCTAGGTAGTACCCATCCCAAACTGGCCTTTTTAGTGTAGTTGTTATTAATTGGCTGTCACCAGATTGAGTTCCATTAAGAAAAGGGGTAGAGCTGCTCAGGAGGCTGAGATCTGAAGATCAAGGTTTGAAGCTAACCCAGACAAAAAAAAAATCCATGAAACTCTTTTTCTCACAATTAACCACCAAAAAACTGAAAGTGGAGCCTGTGGCTTCAGTGGTAGAATGGAAGCCTTGAGCTAAAAACTCAGGCCCCAGGTTCAAGCACGTGTGTGCGTGCACATACACACAGCATTAAGGAATTCTGGAATAGGACATGTAAATATTAGATTTTAATTTGTTACTCAAGACACAAAGAATAAACTGGTTTAGAGTTGTCATTCCACTGAACCAGTAATAGTAGAAAAGATGATGTGCATTTATTGGTTAATTCTGATTCAGCTTCATTCTTATTTTCCCCTCTTGCCTTTCTGTAGGCAGAAGAACTTGAATATTCTTGTGAAAAGTGTGGTGGAAAGTGTGCTCTTGTCAGGCACAAATTTAACAGACTTCCCAGGTAAATTCAGTTGTCTTTTTAAAATACATACAAGGGTAGAGGATGTGGCTCTGGTAGAGCATTTACATACCATGTGTAAGGTCTTAGGTTTGATCCATAGCACCATAAAAAATAAACAAATAATGGGCATATAAATGGGCATACAAATATGAGTAAGCCTGCTAAGATGGATTGGTAAAGGAGATTAGGAAAGCTGAGATGGGACATGTAGAGGTAGAGAGCTATAATGCCTTCCATAAGAGAGTGAGCAGATCTGGAATTTTGAAATTCCTGATGTCATGGTACACACCGTAATTCCAGCTACTTGACAAGTAGAAATAGTAGTTTTGAGGCCAGCAAGGGTAAAAACTTAGTGAAACACTATATATCTAGTTTCTGTAATCCTAGCTACTAAGAATGTTGTCCAAGGCTAGCCTCATTCAAAAAGCATGAGAAATAACTAAAGAAGCTGGGCATATAGTCCGTTGTGCCTATAAACCAAGCTGGTCAAGGGACAGTGATCAGGAGGATTATAATTCTAGGGCTATCTGCCTGTTTGCCAACTATGAAGGAGATACAAAAGGAAGACACCAAGCAGAGCATCTGCCTAGTAAGTACAAGCCTTGAGTTCAAACTCCAGTATAATCAAACAAGTTAACAACTAGCTGAAGCAAAAGGTGTGAGGGCATGATTCATGAGTCCAACTACCAGTACTCCAAAACATAAAAACATGGAAATAAGATATGGCTGATGAGACTTTGAAATGTTTATCAGGACCAAGTATTTGCTTTTATTTTTAATTTTTTGGGGTCCAGTTGTGGGGCCTGAACTCTGGGCCTGGGCACTGTCCCTCAGCTCTTCAGCTCAAGGCTAGCGCTCTACCACTTGAGCCACAGCGCCACTTCCGGCCTTTTTCCTTTTTGCTTATGTGGTGCTGAGGAATCGAACCCAGGGCCTCAGGCATGCAAGGCAAGCACTCTACCACTGAGCCATCTTCCCAGCCCAGGTGTTTGCTTTTAAATTCACTAATATGTAATATCAATTCTGTAGCTTGAGTGTCCCTTATCCAGAATGCTTGAGCCAGAAGAGTCTTGAATTTTGGAATATTTCTATAATTAATGAGATTCTTGGGGACAGGATCTAGCTCTAATAAGTATGACATCATTTGCGTTTCTTACATTCCTTATACTTACTGTCTGAAAGTAATTTTATACAATATTTTCAGTGTGTTCTGGCTTGGTTGATTTTGGTTGTACTAGGGTTTGAACCCAGGGCCTTGCCACTTGCTATGTAAATACCGCAGAGCAGTGCCTCCAACTATGTCTGTGTTTTGACTGTATTTGTCACATTAGGAATGGAATTTTCACTGTTGTATCATGTCAGTATTCTGAAGTTTCTGATTTGAAGCATTTTGAATTTTGCAGTTTATACATTAGGGATACTCCGCCTAAAATGTGTAATTCTGTCTTTTGCTGTAGGTTCCAATACCATTAGTAAAAATCTGCTACAGACACATATATGTACGTACATGAAAATAGGAAAACAATTTTTATATTTTTCAAAGGATATTACAAGTTAGGTTTTTATAATCTTAAAACAAATTTTCTAGCTTGAGAATTAATTTATATTATCACTATGTAAACAGATCAAACTAAACTAGTTACAAAAAGTTATGATGTATTTTACAGGACAGCTTTTAGTTTTTTCCAAGAATAGATCTCAACTACAGGCAGGATTGTTATTAACATTAAATATTTATGTGGCACTTTGTCTGCAGAGTGTTTTACTTTCATATATATTAGCTTCCATTTTCTGTAAGTGTAGAGTTTCTGGAATCTAACCCCTAGAGGCTAGTTCTTCTACATTTTGCAATTTATTCTTACGTAGAAACTAAGATACTCCTTCCTAGAAAATAAGTTGCTTTTAAAGAAACTGCTTTATAAATCATAGCATATCACCAGTCTACTTTTTATTTAAGAGATTGTTCTTTCATGTTTATGAGGGTTTTTTGTTTGTTTGTTTCACCAAGAAGGAAGGAGAAAGAAATAGAATGGCGAAGGATTAGTTGTTACCAATTGTCAATGAGGAATCCAGTTAACCACACAAGCTGGCTATCTCTTCCTGCTGTTTGATCTTTGATTTAGAAAATAAAATACTGAGGGAACTTTTCTCCTTTTTTTTTTTTCCTTCTTTTTTAGTTGATTTTAGATCATGAAGTCAAGAGTCAGAATCTTGCACTTGTTAGGGCTTGCCACTTTTGCCTTTGTTATTCTTTTAATAGAATCTCAAATATATGCCCAGCACCACGGTCCATGTATTTGTACTTACCAGCTAAGATAACAGGTGCACATCACTGCAACCAACCATTGCCTGTGCTGGTCTTGAACTTAAATCCTCAATCTTAGTCTGTCATGTGCTAGGATAGCCAGTATCTCCCCTCATATCCAGCTTATCTTTCTTCTTTCTGGTAGTTCATTTGTTTTAAAGATTCGTTTATTTTAACCCTACATGAAATAGCTCTGTATCTTTTTTTTTTTTTTTTTTTTTGGTCAGTGTGGGGCTTGAACTCTGGCCTTGGGTGCTGTTCCTCAGCTCTTCAGCTCAAGGCTAGTGCTCTACCACTTGAGCCACAGTGCCACTTCCAGTTTTCTGGTGGTTAATTGGAGATAAGAGTCTCATGGACTTTCCTGCCCGGGCTGGCTTTGAACTGCAATCCTCAGATCTCAGCCTCCTGAGTAGCTAGGATTACAGGCGAGAACCACCAGCGCCCCGCAATAGCTCTTTATCTTAAGTCCTAATAATTACACTTGTTCTATCTTGGTTCATTTATTGTTCTGAACTTGATTCACAAGCTCTCTTTTTTTGGGGGGGGGGAGGGGTCCAGTCGTGGGGCCTGAACTCTGGGCCTGGGCACTGTCCCTCAGCTCTTCAGCTCAAGGCTAGCACTCTACCACTTGAGCCACAGCGCCACTTCCGGCTTTTTTTCTTTTTTTGCTTATGTGGTGCTGAGGAATCAAACCCAGGGCCTCATGCATGCAAGGCAAGCACTCTACCACTGAGCCACCTTCCCAACCCTATCTTGGTTCATTTAATATTCAAAGCTACTCTGATTTTGTTTGTGCTGGTCCTCAGAATGAACTGCCCCTGTATAGTTCCACTTCTGGGTTTTTGGTGATTATTTGGAGTCTCATAAGCCAGATGCTGGTGGCTCATGTCATCCTGGCTATTCAGGAGGCTGAGATCTGAGGATACAGCTTGAAGCCATCCCGGTAGTAAAGTCCATGAGACTTTTTTTCCCCCAGGGAGTGGGGGGATTAATTGTGGGTCTTAAACTCAGGGTCTTGGCAATGTTCCTGAGCTTTTTTGCTCAAGGTAAAAGCTCTACCACTTTGAGCCACAGAGCCACTTTCAGTTTTTTAGTGATTAACTGGAAATAAGAGTCTCATGGACTTTCATGCCCAGGCTGGCTTTGAACCATGATCTTCACATCTCAGCCCTCTGAGTAGTTAGGTTTACAGGTGTGATCCATTGGCTTAACCTTATTCTGTGTGACTCTTATCTCCAATAAATAACAAAAAAGCTAAAGTGGAGCTGTGGCTCAAGTGGTCTATTGCCAGCCTTCATCAAAAGAAGCTCAGGGACAGCACCTAGGCCTGAGTTCAAGCCCCAGGATCTGCACCAAAAATAAGGGGAAAAAGTCTTACTGACTTTTCTTCTCCATACCATGATCCCAGTCTCCTGACTAGCTAGGATTACAGGCATAAGCCACCAGTGCTTAGCTTTCTACTTTTATTTTTTGTTTTGGTTCATATATATATAGATATAATTTATTTATTTATTTATTTTTTGTCAGTTGTGGGGCCTGAACTCTGGAGCATGGGCACTGTCCCTCAGCTCAAGGCTAGCGCTTTACCTCTTGAGCCACAGTGCTACTTCCGGCTCTTTCTGCTTATGTGGTGCTGAGGAATCGAACTCAGAGCCTTATGCATGCAATGCAAGGCAAGCACTCTACCACTGAGCCACCTTCCCAGCTTTTATATTCTTTTTTTAAAATTATTTTTGTTTTATTTTATATTCTTGTAGTGCTAGGGATTGTCTATGTTTATTCTTGCAGAATCTAAAATATTTGTCAAATTTGTTCACTTTTAAGCTACAAAATCCCTTTTGTAATGTCATCTTCCTGTTTCACGTTACCTTTTATTTTGTTTACGATAATTTGAGGAAAGAGAGAAGTGCCAACCTTGAGCAAAAAAACAAGCAAGAGCTTAAACCCTTAAGTTCAAGCTTTAATTCCAGCACACACACAAAAACGATGAATTGAAAGTTTAAATACTTTATTTTGGATAGTAGTTTTACTCTTGCCAGATAAATAGGATCCTTGTGTTTTCACATTGTGAATTTGAAGGTCATGAATTTTAGCATGTTTATTTTTCTTTCTCTTTTTAAACACATTTCCTTCCTCCCCTCCCTCCCTTTCTCCCTTGCTTCCTTCCTTTCTCTCTCTTCCCCTCCCTCCCTCTCTTTCTCTCTTTCTCTGTCTCTCCCTTCCTTCCTCCTTCCCTCCCTCCCTTCCTTTCTCTCTCCTTCCTTCCTCCCTCCCTCTATCTCTTTCTTTTTTTTTCTTTCTTTCCTTCTTTCCTTCCTTCTTTCTTTCTTCCTGCTTGAACTCAGGGCCTGGGTACTCTCCCTGAACCTCTTTGTGCTCAAGGCTAGCACTCTACCACTTGAGTTACAGTGCCACGTCCAGCCTTTTCTGAGTAGTTGGAAATAATCTCATGGATTTTCTTGCCTAGGCTAGCTTCAAACTGTGATCCTCACATCTCAGCCTCCTGAATAGCTATGATTGCAGGCATGAGCCACCAGCGCCTGACTCTAGCATATTTTGTTTTTTTTGTTTTTGGTCATGGGTCTTGAACTCTGGGCTTGGGCTCTATCCCTGTGTTCTTCAGCTCAAGGTGAGCGCTCTACCACTTGAGCCACAGCACCACTTCTGATTTTCTAGTAGTTTATTGAAAGTAAGAGTCTGGCTGGCTTTGAACCATGATCCTCAGATCTCAGCCTCCTCAGTAGCTAGGATTACAGGCATGAGCCACCAGTGCCCAGCTTCTAGCATATTTTCTTAAAGAGAAGTATAATCATTAACTTTAATTTACAAAGTTTTGAGTTTGTGTCTTCAGTTTTCCATAGATCAAGCAAATTTTTGTCTAGGATCTACAAAAAAAAAAAAAAAAAAACCCACATATTTGAAACACTAAGGTAAATAAGGATTTACTCTAATATCACTAGCTACATTTTAAAATTTATTAAATTATAAAATTACAATAAATTGTGATTTTTTTTTCCCCTATGATAATTGTAATTATTTCACCCAAACCTCTTTAATTCATCAGTATCCAGTGTGGGTTCTATTTCTATATACCTCAACACCTAGCACATAGCAGATATTCAGTAAATGTTGGAAATATGTTTAGTTGGGCCAAATATTTTCATTTAATCAAAATTTGTCTAATATGGTTAGCATGATCTGTGTGTGTCTGTGTGTCTGTGTGTGTCTGTGTGTGTTGGTCCTAGGGCTTGGACTCAAGACCTGGGTGCTGTCTTGAGCCTTTTTGCTCATGGCTAGCATGTTCTACCACTTGAGTCATAGCTCCACTTTTGGCTTTTTCTGGTGATTAATTGGAGACAAAAGTCCATGGTCTTTTCTGCCAGTATTGACTTTGAATTATTATCTTCAAATCTCCTCCTCCTTGTTTTTCAGAATCCTCATTCTTCATTTGAAACGATATAGCTACAATGTGGCCCTCTCACTTAACAACAAGATTGGACAGCAAGTCATCATTCCAAGATACCTGACCTTATCATCTCATTGCACTGAAAATACAAAACCACCTTTTACTCTTGGTTGGAATGCACATATGGCAATGTAAGTCCAGAAGAGACAATACTTTCATCTTCCCTTTTCCAATAGAGTTTTTGTATCCAAGAGAATGTCCAAACTAGATAACCTAGGTAAAATCAGACCAAGAAGATTTTAGTTTTGCTTTATTTTAGAACTTTAGGGTTCAATTACTGAAGAAGATGCTTAGAATTCTTCCAAGGTGTATTAGCTGCTTTACATAACAGCCTATTTGTTTAGGAAGAGTCCCTACTCTTCTATGAAGATATTATTTAGGACTATAAACTAAATTTGTGAATATAAGCATCACCTGGACACAGAAAATACTGATTTCTGTGTTCTTTCCATGGAGATTCTCTTTCAGTGAAATGCCTCAGCTAACTCTAAGATATTCAAATTTGACAAACTAAATGTTATGCTGAAGCCCAAAAAATAGATAGTACCTTCATAAATGTAAATTAGTTAGATCAATGTGAATAACTTCAGTGATTCCTAAAAATTATTCAAAAAGAAATAACCTTTATAGGTTTTGCTCCATGTTTCTGAGAAAACCTTAGGGTTTCTCTGAATGCTGTGTTTGTTGTTTTCTGCATTCTTGGGTTACTTTGGAATGTTATGCTATAGTTCTTTTCTACTTGAACACTAAGATGATAGCACCATAAAGGTCTAAAACTTTATAAAGGTGAAATAATTTTTGGCTTTTTTTTTTCAAGTCAAATTTGCAGAGGAGATTGGTTTCGTTATTCAGTAGCTGAAAAAGCCAGGTCTCACTCACTGGGTATAGTAATGCACTTCTGTGTAGGTACTTCTATAATCTCTGCACTCAGGAGACTGAGGCAGTAGGATCCCAAGGCCAGCCTAAGCTACATAGTGAACAAGACCCTGTCCAGGAAAAAAAAAAGAATATGTAAATTTAAAAGCCAGATCTCTTGACTAAAGTGGAATGGTAAAAAGCAAATGATCATTTGCCAACTTTAGATTTGTCAGTTATATCTCATAAGTTTACACTGAAGTCCTCAGGAAGTCTAGTAAAAAGCATGTGTCTTGTCTTTAGTATTTCTGTTTTCGTTTTGTTTTTTCTTTTGGCTTTTATCTGGAGTAAATGTTTTGCTTGATGCAAGCTGCCCTCTACTGGTGGAGCAGCAGGAAGAGTGTTCAATGCTGTCAGTATAGCATAGCATCTTTATGATCACAGGCTAACTTATACAACTTAATAGTTTTAAGATCTTGGATAGATTTCTTGACTTACTTTTGGAGACTATAATAAGGTTGTTGTGAACACTAAATAAAGTAATACACACTTCTCCATATAGACCTTGACATCTAGTAAGTCCTCAGTAAATGAGAGCTCTCTTTATTTTGGTGGCTCACACCTATGATCCTCTCTACTCAAGAGGCTGAGATCTGAGGATTGCAGTTCAAAGCCAGCCCAGGCAGGAAAGTCCATGAGACTGTTATCTCCAATTACCACTAAAATCCTGGAAATGGAGCTATGGCTCAAAATAGTAGAGTACTAGCTTTGAGCAGAAAAACTGAAGGCAGCACTCAGGCCCTGAGTTTAAGCCCCAGGACCCGCACAAAAAAAGTAAAGAACTGACAAGATAATTTCCCCCAAGTTGTTCTTTTCATGTGCATTTCACTTGATTTCATTTCAAAACTACTTATTTCAATTATTACACATCAAAGGAGGACCTGGACATGGTATTTCATTGTCTGTCTTGGCCTCCATTACTAGTTACTTTAACTAAAGGATTATAATTATTTGCTTTTCCAAGAGGATATATGAGATTATAATACAGAATAATTCACTTTATGAGTCAAGGATATATCTTTAGTAATACAATTGTATGCATTATATATTTTCTAATTTTCTGATAGTTCTAGACCATTGAAAGCCTCTCAAATGGCGAATTCCTGCATCACCAGCCATTCTACACCTTCAAAGTGAGTTATATTTTTTGCGTACCCAAAATTTGTATTTTTAACCATTTGGCTCACTCTAATCTCTAAGGTTACCCATGCCCTTTTTCTTTAGTGTTTTTCCTTTTGCATGATAATTGTTCTGTATTGCCCATACTTTAGAATTTTCCTGAATCTTGTTTAGGATATAGCCTAGGACATAACAAGTTTCAACAACAAAGTAAGTTCAAACGATCCTTTATTTTGTTTTTCAACTTCTTAAAATTTAAAAATATATAGCCAGGCGCCGGTGGCCAACCCTATAATCCTAGCAACTCAGGAGGCTGAGATCTGAAGATCATGGTTCAAAGCCAGCCCAGGCAGGAAAGTCCTTGAGACTCTTATCTCCAATTAGTCCACCAGAAAACCAGAAGTGGTGCTATGGCTCAAGTGGTAGAGTGTTCGCCTTAAGGTGAAGAGCTCAGAGACAGCACCCATGCCCAGAGTTGAAGTCCCACAACCAACAACAACAAAATATATATGTATATGTATAAAAATTGAGTAATGGATGACAAGGGATTTTAAAGATTGAAGGAAAAAAAAATCATGTTGGTCGATTTCATCCTTCTTCAAAGATGAGCCTCAAGGGTCTGGGAATGTAGCTTAGTGGTAGAGTGCTTGCCTAGCATGCATGAAGCCCTGGGTTCAATTCCTCAGTATCACACAAACAGAAAAAGCTGAAGTGATGCTGAGGCTTAAGTGGTAGAGCACTGTCCTTGAGCATAGAGAGGTTCAGGGACAGAGCCCAGGCCCTGAGTTCAAGCCCCAGGCCCAGTTTAAAAAAAAAAAAAAAAAAAAAAAGATAGGCATAGAATTCATCTTTTTACCTGTTGCTAGACAGTTTAGACTTCATGGCTTTGGCACTAAATAGAAATAACACTGAAATAGATTAGGAAGACAAACATGCACTGGAATGTACCTATTCTTGTCCAAGGAGGGAAACATGTTTATTATTTACTTTCTTTTAATTATACCTTCTCTAAAATAAAGTTCCAGTTCCAGATTAGACTATTCCAGTTCACTTAGTTGCTATTTGGCTTTAAATTTCATTTTTCCCAAAACTTGATGTTCCAAAGTATACTCTTAGAAAAGACAAATTTTTGTTATTTGAAGGTTTTGGGAGCCAGGCTTTGGTGGCTCACACTTGTAATCCTAGCTGCTTAGGAGGCTGAGATGTAAGGATCATAGTTCATAGCCAGCCCTGGCAGGAAACCTGTGAGATTCTTATCTCCAACTAATTACAGAAAAAGCTGGATTTGGAGCTGTGGCTCAAGTATGAGAGTGCTAGCTTTTAGCAAAAGGAGCTCAGGGATAGTCCCCAAGCCCAGAGTTCAAACCCCAATGCTGGCAGGAAAAGAAAAAGAAAGGGGTGGGGGAAGGAGGTGAGAGAGAGGAATTTACATCAGATGACTAATATGACTAGAAATCTGAAATAGTACTAATATGAATACTCTTGCCCGTTCTCAAGATACAAATGAGGGGCTGGGAAGGTAGCTCAGTGGTAGAGTGCCTGCCTCGCATGCATGAAGCCCTGGGTTTGATTCCTTCCCACTACATAAGCAGAAAAAGCCGGATGTGGCACTGTGTCTCAAGTGATAGAGCACTAGCCTTGAGCTGGAGATACAAATAAGCAATACCACTTTGGCTGCTTAGAAAATGCACAAGTGATACATATACAGGATAAATATTTGTCATTGATGCAGGCAAGCTGCCTTCTGTAATTACAGTAATTGTTAATGGAATGTGTTCTTTATGTCCCAAGTCATTATAATTGCGAGAAACAGTTTTGCTGGGTATTATTATACCTTGGCATAGTTATCTGTTCTCCAAGTCTACTTGATTTGAGAATTAGGTAGTAAAGGATAATTGGTCCGTAGAAGATCTATCATAGTGATCAAATTTTAAACCAGAATAGCATTGGTTCCCTGGAAAAGTTTTAGCCAGTTATCACTCTTTCAGCAAAATAGTTATCTGGTTAAACAAATTAATAATGTTGGGGCTGGGAGGGTAGCTCAGTGGTAGAGCGCTTGCCTTGTATGCATGAGGCCCTGGGTTCGATTCCTCAGCACCACATAAGCAAAAAGAAAAAAAGCCAGAAGTGGCACTGTGGCTCAAGTGGTAGAGTGTTAGCCTTGAGCTGAAGAGCTGAGGGACAGTGCCCAGGCCCAGAGTTCAGGCACACGACTGCACCCAAAAAAAAAATTAGTAATGTTTGTTTGATTTTAAGGTATGAAATGGCTAACTGGCTATTTCTGAATTGTATTACAAACCTTTTTGAATATGTAATTCAACCATTCAGGCTGGAGCACAGTGATACCCGCTCTGCTCTCAGCAGCAAACATACATTTTTTTTTTTTTACAGTTTTCACATTTAGATTTCCATTTTATATTATTTTAGAATTACATGTGAATTTCACTTCCATCAGAGAAACTTATTGCTCTTTGACCTTTGCCATTTTTAGCTTATTTTCAGCTCACCTGGAAGATAGTACACTAACATCTTATTTATATGATATCCTTGAAAAATTATATCTGGTATTCCATAAAATTATTTTTATGTAACTTTTTAAGCATTTCAAATTTTTAGCCATTTTGTCTGAAAACTTTACTAAAGTGTTGTTATTTCTTATATTCTTAAATACACTGATATTTATGTATCTTATGGTTTAGAATCAGTTATGTACATCAGTTTTTGCACTATGGGTTTTTTGTTTTCATTTTTTAGACAAGATCGTACAATGTAGCCCAGGCTGGCCTTGAACTTGTTTGTAATCCTGCTTCAGCTTCCCAAGTGCTAGGATTATGGGTATGTGCCACCATGCTCAGCTGCACTGTGTTTTAATGTGATATTGCCCTCAGAAGCTCTTAATTATTATGTCAGTTTACCTTTACACTAAATGACTTCATAGTTCTTTATTGCCCTTTTTCTTTCTTTTTTTGTGTGGTTATTTTCTCTCATTTCTTAGCTCTCATTTCTTGATGAACTTGCTACACTATTTTATACACCATGTCCTGGATAAGAAAGGGTCCCTGTAAGTGCTTGGGCTTTGGAACTGCTTTCCTCAGAAGCCTTTTTCTTACTTTGGAGTCTGTTCTGGAAGGTAGAGGTTGCCAGAAGTCTGACCTGCAGAGAATTAGATAAGTGGAATGTTACTGTTTTTGTTTTTGTTTTTAAGTGCATAGATCATAATTTAAAAGATCAAAAATTACTCCATGCACTTTATTGTCAAAAACATTTATTCATTGTTATGCCTGCATGAACTCAGAGTACTTATATAAAGTACTCATTAAAAAGAAAAAAGGCACAAAGTAGTATTTTGATGCTATATATATTAGCATTAAAAGTTACCCAATTTTCAAAGCATGGCTTTTTAGGAGTGAGTCAAAGGTAATGCTCAAACTACTTCTTTTGATTCTCTGTTAAATAATTTCCATAGTGGAAAAGCTTTTTGTTTTGTTACTTACACATCAAAAGAATAACAAAGGCAAATGTTTATTGGGCTTTTTTTTTTAATTATAGGAAATTCACCTTCAAATCCAAGTACTCCTTAGCTTTATGCCTTGATTCAGACAGTGAAGATGAACTCAAACGTTCTGTGGCCCTTAGCCAGAGACTTTGTGAAATATCAGGCAATGAAGAGCAGCAAGAAGACCTGGAAAAAGTAAGTAACTTTTCATCAAAATATATTACAAAGATTTGTGTAGCTTTTATTATTTATTTATTTTGGGAGTCCGGTCATGGGGCCTGAACTCTGGGTCTGGGAACTGACCCTCAGCTCTTCAACTCAAGGCTAGTGCTCTACCACTTGAGCCACAGCGCCACTTCCGGCTTTTTTCTTTTTGCTTATGTGGTGCTGAGGAATTTAACCCAGGGCCTCACGCATGTAACGCAAGCACTCCACCACTGAGCCACCTTCCCAGCCCTCTTGTGTAGCTTTTATTATCCAAACAAATAGCTTTTATAACTAGTGTCAGCAAACTCAAGAAATACACAAGATAATCCAGGCCTGAGCTTGGCTCATACCTGTAATCTAAACTATTCTGGAGATGATGAGCATCAGAAAGATCATGGTTTGCAGCCACCCTGAGCAAAAAGTTCCAAGACCCCATCTCAATAGCTGCACAAGGTGGTGTGCACCTGTCATTCATCTACCAAGGCAAATAGTGTGACTGTATCTCAAAAATAGCCAAAGCAAAAAATGGCTGGAGATGTGGCTTAAGAAGTTGAGCATGATGTCATGTGTCATGTCCAAAACAAGCTTTACAACGTCGGTGGGGGGGGGGGGGGGGGGGGAAGGAGAAGGATTGGGATTGCGGGGGCGGGGGGGGGGGGGAGGCTGGGAAGGGATGTGAATGGTAAACCAAAGGAGGAGGCTGCAATGCTTGGTAAGAAATGTACGCATTATCCTGCCCATGTAATTGTAACCCCTCTGTACAGTATGTTCACAAATAAAATAAAATTAAATTAAAAAAAAAAAAAAAAAGAAGTTGAGCATGAAAGCCGGGCGCTGGTGGCTCATGCCTGTAATCCTAGCGACTCAGGAGGCTGAGATCTGAGGATAGCGGTTCAAAGCCAGCCCGGGCAGGAGAGACTGTAAGACTCCTATCTCCAGTAAACCACCAGAAAACCGGAAGTGGTGCTGTAGCTCAAGTGGTAGAGCGCTCGCCTTGAGCTGAAGAGCTGAGGGACAGTGCCCAGGCCCAGAGTTCAAGCCCCACGACCGACAAAAAAAAAAAAAGGAAGTTGAGCATGAAAGAAACAAAAAAGAAGTTGGGCATGTACCTAGCACAAAGTTAAATTGCCAGTACTGCTAAATAAAAGGGCCAGGCACATGGCTGATGACTGTAATCTTAGATGCATGGGAGGTGGAGATCAGAAGATCATGGTGTGCGGCCAGCCTGGGCATAAAATATTGTGAGATTTACATCTCACTTCAATGGCTGGGGGCTGTGCTGCGCTCCTGTCATCACTATCATCAAAGGGAAGCCACAAATAGTATTGAAGTTCAGGCTGGCCCAGTCATAAAGTGAAACCCTATCTTGAAACTAACTAACATTAGAAGCTGGCATAGTGGTTCAAGTGGTAAAGTGCCTATTTTACAGGCAGGAGGTCTTGAGTTCAAAATACATTACCACCAAAAGAAACAAATAATGGCTGGGAAAGTGGCTCAGTGGTAGAGTGCTTGCTTTGCACGCATGAGGCCCTGGATTCTATTCCTCAGCACCACAGAAGCAGAAAAAGCCAGAAGTGGCACTATGGCTCAAGTGGTAGAGTGTTAGCCTTGAGCTGAAGAGCTGAGGGACACCACCCAGAACCAGAGTTCAGGCCCCACAACTGACCAAAAAAAAAAAAAAGAAACAAATAAGCTGGGCCTGGTGATATATGTATGACCTGGAATTCTGGCCCTCAGAGCCAGCCTGGATCATATAGCAATACCCTTCCCCCTTCTCATAAAAGAATACACAGAAGCTGGGTGCCGGTGGTTCACGCCTGTAATCCTAGATACTCAGGAGGCTGAGATCTGAGGATTGGGGTTCAAAGCCAGCCTGGGCAGGAAAGTCCGTGAAACTCTTATCTCCAGTAAACCACCAGAAAACTGGAGTGTCACTGTAGCTCAGGTGGTAGAGTGCTCTTGCCTTGAGCTAAAGAGCTGAGGGACAGTGCTCAGGCCCAGGGTTCAAGCCCCATGATCGACCCCCCCCCCCAAAAAAAAAAAAAATACACAGGATCACAAACTAAATGGCACAGTTTTCAGGTACTAGTTTTCAGTTACAGCTGGATGCCAAGCAGAGATGCCACTGTTTCCAGCTGTTGATTGAGATTGAAGTGTTTCAGTTGTTTTTCTTGGGGTAGCCTGGATCTGGGATCCTGATCTCTGTCTTGCAGGTAGATAGAATTACAGGCCTTAGCCACTAGCACGCAGTTGGTTGGAGATTTAAAAACAACAACAACAACAGGTGGCTCATGCCTGTAATCTTAGCTACTCTAGGAGGCTGAGATCTGATGTTCGTGGTTCAAAACCAGCCCAGGCAGGAAAGGCAGTGAGACTCTTACCTCCAAGAAACCACTCAGAAAACTGGAAGTGGTGCTGTGACTTAAGTGGTAGAGCGCTAGCCTTGAGCTGAAGAGCTGAGGGACAGCTCCCAGGCCCAGAGTTCAAGCCTCATGACCTACAAAAAGAAAAAAAAAAGTATGCCTTTTGTAACTACCAAAAAGTCTGTTTTTAAGAAAGTGCAGTTATAGAACAATTACTTTCTCCTACTAACCTTTAGAATTTCTTTTACATTTTGTCCTCAAAATATTACATACTGGGGCTGGGAAGGTGGCTCAGTGGTAGAGCGCTTGCCTTGCATGCTCGAGGCCCTGGGTTTGATTCCTCAGCACCACATAAGCAAAAAGAAAAAAGCCGGAAGTGGCGCTGTGGCTCAAGTGGTAGAGTGCTAGCCTTGAGCTGAAGAGCTGAGGGACAGTGCCCAGGCCCAGAGTTCAGGCCCCACGACCGGACCCAAAAAAAAAAAAAATATTACATACTTCGTTTATTTTGGTAGTGTTTTGTCTGCATTATCTCATGTTATTCTGTTTTGCTTTACATTACCCCTTTGGTAAAGTAATAGAATTATAGTAGTTATTTTGTGTTGTGAGTTGATCCTCATCTTACTTTAAAAGTTAGAAGTAGTTTGAGCCAAATGCCTATAATCCCTAGCTACTCAGGAGGCTGAGATCTGAGGATTGTGGTTTGAAGCCAGCCTAGGCAGGAAAGTCTGTGAGACTTGTTTTGTTGTTGTTAGTCCTGGGGCTGTACACAGGGCCTTGACACTGTCTCTGAGCTCTTTTGCTCAAGGCTAGTGGTCCTACCACTCTGAGCTACAGCTCCACGTCCTGTTTTCTGGTGGTTAATTAGAGATAAGAGTCTCACAGAGGGCTGGGAAGGTGGCTAAGTGGTAGAGTGCTTGCCTTGCGTGCCTGAGGCCCTGGGTTCAAGTCCTCAGCACCACAAAAGAAAAAGAAAAAAGCTGGAAGTGGTGCTGTGGCTCAAGTGGTAGAGCGCTAGCCTTGAGCTAAAGAGCTGAGGTACAGCGCCCAGGCCGAGTTCAGGCCCCACAACCGGACCCAAAAAAAAAAGTCTCAGCAAGACTTTTCTGCCCTGGCTGCCTTTGAACTACAATCCTCAAGTCTTAACCTCCTGAATAGCTTGGATTATAGGCGTGGGCCATTAGCCACCAGCACCAGGCAAAATAATCTTATCTCTACTAAATTAGCAAAAAAAAAACCAGAAGTGAAGCCGAGGCTCAAGCACTAGAGCACTAGCCTTGAGCACAAGAAGCCCAAGGATAGCACACAGACCCTGAATTCAAACCCTAGGACCAACACACACACACACAAAACTAGCAGTAGTTCGTAATTACTCACTTTGAATGGGAAGTAAAGTCAGAAATTAAAAAAGAAAGTTACCCACAAAATAATTGTGTGTGTGTATAGTATAGCTTTTATTCTTTTAAGACCAGTTAACATTAGAATGGAATAATCCGTATAAACAGAATATCCGTGTGTGTGTGTGTGTGTGTGTGTGTACAAAAATATACCAGAACTTACTTAGATTTTAAAAAAGATTTAATTTTATCAAGTTTTATATATTTTATAAATTCTATGTAAAATATACTTATCACTTGTTGTAATCAAGAAATATATTGCATTCTTATGTAGCTGTTATTTTTTAAATTAGATTTGCCTGTGAAGTTTCATGTTGGTTATTGATTATTAAATAACCCAAAGTACTAAAGAAGGAATTTTTAGCCGAGTACAGGTGGCTTATGCTTGTAAGATGGCTAGGATCTGAGGATTGTGGCTCAGAGCTAGCCCAGGCAGAAAAGCTTACAGGACTCTATCTCCAACTAACCAGGAAAAATAAAAATAAAACCTGGACCAGAGGTATGGCTCAAGTGGCAGAGTAGCCATGAGGAAAGGAAGGAAAAAAAGCCAAGCAAGAGCTTGAGGACATGAGTTCAAGTCCTTAAACCATTAGAAAAAAAGGGGAGGAGGATTTTAGAAATAAGATTCCTGCTTTAAACTCTTAAGTTTGTTGTAATTGTAGATATTTCAGCTTCCTCAGAAAAGTAACTCTTCTTCTTCAGGATGCAAAACTATGCAAAACAGAGTCTGATAAGTCTGAATTGGAGAACTCAGGCTTTGACAGGATGAGTGAAGAAGAGCTGCTAGCAGCTGTCTTAGAGATCAGTAAGAGAGAAGCTTCACCAACACCCAGTCATGAAGATGATGATAAACCAACTAACAGCCCTGACACTGGATTTGCAGAAGATGAAGTTCAAGAATTGCCTGAGAATCCAGACACTGTGGAAACTGAGAAGCCCAGAGCAGTATCAGAGCCAGGTAGGTTTCATGAAGAAAAACATCATATAGCCTAATGGTGTCCCAGAGCCCTAAGGTGAAAAAAATGGCTTCTGTTAGTGTTTTTGTCTCTTCCTGATTTATATCCTGCCTCTAGCTCTCTTAGTTCTTTTTTTTTTCAGAACTACAACATCCTAAAGTTAACAAAGGAACTATGTTAGTAAGTTCTTGATTTTCCATTTCAATCTCAGTACACTGAGATTTTCAAAGTAATCAACAATCAGTCTACAACTAAAGCAGCTTTGGGGAGAACAGACTTATTACTATATTTCCTGTTTCTTCAACCTCATCATTCTATTCAGCTGATTATTATATCTGAAACCTAAAGTGATTCCCTCTTCTGCTGCTGCTTTTTTGAGACTGACCCTCTGTGTAGTCCAGGCTGGCCTTGATCCTCCTGCCTCTGTCTCCCAAGTACAAGGATTATAAGCATGCATCGCAACAGAATAGCAATAGCTATTCTGCTTTTTTCCTTTCATTTTCTTTAACATGCAGAAAAAGTGTATTGAGCTAAGATAAACATGGGAAGGCATGATTACAGTGAACCTACTCCTAGCCTTTATACCCATATTACTCAGTTTCAATAATAGCCAGGCACTGGTAGACTCACTCTTGTAATCCTAGCTACTCAAGAGACTGAGATCTGAGGATCATGGTTCGAAGTTAGCCCAGGCAGGAAAGTTCGTGAGATTAGTTCATGTTAACCACCAAAAAACCAGAAGTGGAGCTGTGACTCAAGTGGTAGAACATTAGCTTTGAGCACAAAAGCTCAGGGACAGCTGTCAGGCTGAGTTCAAGCCCCAGTATAAGAACAAATAACAATAGCAACAACAATAATAATAGTTATCAGTATTACCTGAAGTTACTTTACCCTAAGCTCCAGATTATTTAAAATGAATTCCAGATATTGTATCACTTCAGTAGTAAGAATTTCATTGTCTCTAAAAGGAAGAATTCTTTTTTAAAAAGCATAGCCTCAAAATTTGTTCCTTGATTTGTTACCAAGTGCTATTTCCAATTGTTTGTCTCCTTTTTCTTTTGTTTTTTGTTGGTCCTGGGGCATAAACTCAGGGCCTGGGTGTACACTGTCCCAGTGCGTACTCTTTTGCTCAAGGTTAGTACTCTACCATTTTGAGCCACAGCTCTGCTTCCTGTTTTCAGATGGTTAAATGGAGCTAAGAGTCTCATAGTTTCCTGCCTGGGCTGCCTTTGAACCATGATCCTCAGGTCACAGCTTCCTGAGTACCTAGGATTACAGGCATGAGCCACCAGCACCTGGCTTTGTCTTCCTCCATCTTACAAAGATACCATATCCTTTGAAATACATGACAACAGAATTCATATGTATCACTCATCCTGTAGCTGTCTTTTAGTTTCTCCCATTGATGTTCTTGGGGCCTTTAACAACATCCTCATGAGTGTTACCTTGAGCAGACTATTTTGTCAGTTCTTTATCTTAATACCTCATTTACAAAAGTCATAGCCTAGACAGATACTACTCAGAGCATGGCTCCAGACCACTAGCATTACTGGTAACTTGTTAGAAATGCTTTTTGGGGGCTAGGAATGTGGTGGAGTGCTTGCCTAGCATGCATAAAGCCATGGGTTCCTCAGTACCACATAAACAGAAAAAGCTAGAAGTGGTGCTGTGGCTCAAGTAGTAGAGTGCTAGCCTTGAGCAAAAAGAAGCCCAGAGACAGTGCCCAGGCCCCAGGACTGAGGGGAAAAAAAACTTTTTGGCCTCTTCCCAGACTTGCTATGCGCAGTTCTATATGTGCAGCCCAGCAGTTTGATTTGATAACAGATTTCTAGATTCTTCCAAATGATTCTGGTATATACTAAAACTTCAGAGACCCTTTGGTAACTACACTACCTTTGAAGTCTTCTATATGGGAAGGAGGGATCCGAACTGGAGTTGGAACTCAGGACTTTGGGAAGGCAGTCTATTTAAGCCACATTTCTAGCCCATGGAATCTTTATTTCAGAACTCCTTCTGGAACCTTTCTTTGTTAGCTTAATCTCATATTCTTACTTTAACAATAAAACCTTCAATCCATTAACTTTTTTCTGTTTGTTTCATTAGCCTATATGCCATATTTTGATATCTTTTTTGTCTCCTTCCTCCTTTTTCTGTCAGTAGCTGGGAAAGATTGCTTTTCAAGGTCAGCCCAGTCAAAAAGTTAGGGAGAGGGGCTAGGAAGGTGGTTGAGTGGTAGAGTGCTTGCCTTGCATACCTGAGGCCCTGGGTTCGATTTCTTAGCACCACATAAGCAGAAAAAGCCAGAAGTGGCGCTGTGCCTCAAGCAGTAGAGCCCTAGCCTTGAGTTGAAGAGCTGAGGGACAGTGCCCAAGCCCAGAGTTTAGGCCCCACAACCAAAAAAAAAAAAGGTAGGGAGACCCATCTCAGTGCTATTAATCAGAACATGTTGGTGCACATATGAAATTCCATATGGAATATTCTATAGGAGAATTGTTAGGCCAATCCCAAGCAAAATAACAAGACTATATCCAAAAAATAATTAGAAAACTAAAAGGGCCTGGGGTGCCCACTACTACAAAAATAAAAACATTTTACCATTCAACAAGCCACCTTTTCTGTGCTTGCACTAAACAACTGAAGATAGTTGTGGGAAAAAATGAAAATGCTGACTGGATTCTTCTGTTTCACAACTACAGTTTTTAAATGGGCACTGAACACTGCCAATTTTGTTAACACTTCCTGTTCTAAGTTGGCTTTCATTCCTGCCACTCTGTGTTGAACATTAGAACTTTATAAACTTAATTTGCTGATCTTCCATAGCACCTTTTGTGCTTTTTTTTGGTCCTCATTTATTTGTTTTAGTTTTCTTTCTTTTTTGGGGGGGGGGGGCCTGGTTGTGGGGCCTGAACTCTGGGCCTGGGCTCTGTCCCTCAGCTCTTCAGCTCAAGGCTAACGCTCTACCACTTGAGCCACAGCGCACTTCCGGCTTTCTTCATTTTTGCTTATGTGGTGCTGAGGAATCGAACCCAGGGCCTCAGGCATGCAAGGCAAGCGCTCTACCACTGAGCCACCTTCCCAGCCCCTTAGTTTTCTTTCTTTTCTGAGCCTGAGTGTCTCAGGACACTGTCTCTAGGATCTTCTCGACTTAAGTTCTCTCCTAAATGAGCTCATATGGTACCATAGCCTCAGATTCTTCTTCTTTTTTTTTTTGTCAGTTGTAGGCCTTGAACTCAGATATTTCTGAAATACCAAATTGATACCTAGCCTCATACTGGTGGTTTAAGCCTGTAATCCTAGCTACTCAAGACCTGAGATCTATGGATCACAGTTCAAAGCTAACTCAAGCAGACACACCTGAGAAAGACACTTTTCTCCAATTAACTGCCAAAAAGTTGGAAGTGGAAATGTGGCTCTATCTAAGATTAAAAGGCAAGCAATAGGGAGGTGAGACTGTTGAAGGGGATGACCCTGACCAAGACTGTATTCATAAACTTCTTTGTTAAATGGTACCTCCTTTACTTCACTCCATCAATAAAACCAGTCAACTGTACCTCCAAAATATGTTCCAAATTCAACCACTTACATCTTTATGGCAATAACTCTCGCCTCTCATTATCTGGCCTGAATCATTACAACTGATCCTAAATAATGATTCTTCCACTTTTGTCCCTACAAACTTTATGAACAAAGCAACTAGAATAATACTTTTCTAGAGCAGAAATCACACTGTGTCATTCTTGCACTTAAAACTTAACTGTAGCCGGGCGCTGGTGGCTCACGCCTGTAATCCTAGCTACTCAGGAGGCTGAGATCTGAGGATCGCGGTTCAAAGCCAGCACGGGCAGGAGAGACCGTGAGACTCCTATCTCCAATAAACCACCAGAAAACCGGAAGTGGCGCTGTAGCTCAAGTGGTAGAGCGCTCGCCTTGAGCTGAAGAGCTGAGGGACAGCGCCCAGGCCCAGAGTTCAAGCCCCACGACCGACCAAAAAAAAAAAAAAAACTGTACTCAGGAGCTGGTGGCTCACACCTGTAATCCTAGCTACTCGGGAGGCTGAGATCTGAGGATCAGTTTGAAGCCAATTTGGGTAGGAAAGTCTATGAGACTCTTATCTCCACTAAACTATCAACAGAGCCAGAAGTGGAGCTGTGGCTAAAGTGAGCACTAGTCTTGAGCAAAAGAAGCTTGAGGGGCTGGGAAGGTAGCTCAGCAGTAGAGTGCTTGCCTTGCATGCATGAGGCCCTGGATTCGATTCCTCAGCACCACATAAACAGAAAAGGCTGGCAGTGGCGCTGTGGCTCAAGTGGTAGAGCACTAACCTTGAGCTGAAGAGCTGAGGGACAGCGCCCGGCCCAGAGTTCAAGCCCCATGACCAACAAAAAAAAAGAAAAAGAAAAAAGAAGCTTGAAGACAGCACTTAGGCCGAATTCAAGCCCTAGGACTGGCACCAAAAAACAACAAAACAAAAAGCTGTGACTAAAAAAGTGATTTAAGATGTACTAAGGTCATTCCTAGAGCCTTTGTACTTGAGCTCCTTGAGCAAGGGCTACCTTAACTTAATTATCACTGGTTTCCCTGCTTAAAACAATTCCTGTCACATAGTAGATTTTCAATAAATACTTGTAGACCAACAATTTGGCTATTTGATAAATTACCTGAGGAGTGGAAGGCTGGCTAAGGAAGGTTTCAGTCTCCAGACATAGCCAGAGGAAATACTGTTTACAAAGGCTCAGACATGAAAAAGGCTGTGGTACGCTAATAGACCTCAAAAAGTTTAGGATGATCTATATACTATAGCATGGTGCTGATGAAATGGGGAAAGAAGAGCTGAGAATAGAGAGTTGGCCAGTGTCCAAGTTTCCAAGACCTAAAGCCATGTTTAGGAGTTTGGAATTTTATTTCAAAAGCATTAGGAGTTATGGGATATTTTAAGAAAACAAGTGCTTGCTGGGCACCAGTGATTCATGCCTATAATCCTAGCTGCTCAGGAGGTTGAGATCTGAGAATCTTATGTTGCTGCCTTTACCTGTACTTCTAGCTACTCGGGTGGCTGAGATCTGAGGATGAAGGTTCAAAGACAGCCCCTGCAGTTAAGTTTGTGAGATTATCATCTCGAATTAACTACCAAAAAGCCAGAAGCGGAATTGTGACTCAAGTGCTTAGAGCATTAGCCTTGAGCAAAAAGCTCAAGGATTGCACCCAAGCCCTCAGTTCAAACCCCAGGACCAACACACACAAAAAAGATGAATTATATAGCACAAACAAGGTTTAGATGTTAGGATACTTTGAACAGTAGATGTCACTGTAGTTGAGAAAATTTGGATTATTAGAATTTTCCAAAATAATGCTATGTTCTGACTTCACAGAGCCTGCTAGTTTTACTGAGATAACCAAAGATTGTGATGAGAATAAAGAAAACAAAACTCCAGAAGGATCTCAGGGAGAGATTGATTGGTTCCAGCAGTATGATATGGAACATGAAAGAGAAGAACAAGAGCTCCAGCAGGCATTGGCTCAGAGCCTTCAAGAGCAAGTAAGAGACTCCTACTGCTACCTCCTCTATCTCTCTTTCTTGAGAAATAGGATCATCATTCTAATGTGTTGGCAATTACTATCAGACATTGTTCTAGATGATTTATCATACAGTAAGATTATTTCACTTAAAAAAAAAAAAGTACATGAACTTGTTTGGGACTTACTTTTTGAGTTTGAAATAGCTACATTAGTAGATTTTTTTAAAATCCGAATGCAACAAAATGTCTCATGTTCCATACTGTAATTCATTGTGTACTAAAGCAAAATGGGATATTAGAGATTCTTTTTTTTTTTTTTTTTTTTTTTTTGGTCAGTCCTGGGGCTTGAACTCTGGGCCTGGGCGCTGTCCCTCAGTTCTTCAGCTCAAGGCTAGCACTCTACCACTTGAGCCACAGTGCCACTCCCAGTTTTCTGGTGATTTACTGGAGATAAGAATCTTATAGACTGCCGGGCGCTGGTGGCTCACGCCTGTAATCCTAGCTACTCCGGAGGCTGAGATCTGAGGATCGCAGTTCAAAGCCAGTTCAAAGCCAGCCCGGGCAGGAGAGACCGTGAGACTCCTATCTCCAATAAACCACCAGAAAACCGGAAGTGGCGCTGTAGCTCAAGTGGTAGAGCGCTCGCCTTGAGCTGAAAAGCTGAGGGACAGCGCCCAGGCCCAGAGTTCAAGGCCCATGGCCGACCAAAAAAAAAAACAAGAATCTTACAGACTTTCCTGCCTGGGCTGGCTTTGAACCACAATCCTCAGATCTCAGCCTCCTAAGAAGCTAAGATTACAGGTGTGAACCACTGGTGCCCAGCAAGAAAGAGATTGTTCTTAGTCTAACTGCTGCAGGCTATAGAAAGAGCCAATGTTATCTAAGTGTAGTGATGCTCTGTAATTACAGCATTTAGGAAGATCATGAATTACAGCCTAGACTACAGAGCCACTTCAGCCTGAGCTATATACTGGGGCCCTCTTCTCCAACAAACAAGCTGTAGAGTAATTGTCTATTGAGGTACTGAATTCAAACCAACACCACAAAAAGAAGGAATAGAAGGAGGGAGGGAGATAGGGAAGGAAGAAAGGCAAGGAGAGAGGGAGATTTGGAAACCTCAGAGGGAGGGATATCCCACCATGATTTTATCAATATTTTAAGACAATAAATTTGTTTTAGTTGTTTCTCTCACATTATAAATCTTTCTTTTCCTTAGTTCTATTTGTACATAAAATTCTCAGGAATGTAATCTGAATCTTAACTTTCACATTTAGGTGATAGTAATATGAAGTAATCTATTCATTTTTTATTTCATTTTTTTTATAGTGTGGTGTATCAAACCCATGACCTCATACATACTAGACAAACTCTTCCACTGAGCTATCATTCTCAGCTCCTAGTTTTTACTCCTTTAGGCTAATTGGTTTGTACAGATGCATTATCTAACTTTTATAAGTGATATTTTCATGGTGTGTATACTCCTTTGCAATCAAAGTCATGTTAGTGAAAACTGACTGGTGCTAGGGGTATAGTTCAATGGTAAAGTGCTAGCCTAGCATGTGCAAAGCCCCAGGTTTGATTTTTTTTTTTTTTTTTTTTTTTAAGTGAATCAGATTAAGAATTGTAGTTAGTAGCTGGGCACCAGTGGCTCATGCCTGTGATCCTAGCTACTCAGGAAGATAAGATCTGAGGATCATGGTTTGAAGCCAGCCTGAGCAGGAAAAATCCATGAGATTCTTAACTCCAATTAACCACCAAAAAGCCAAAAGTAGAGTTGTGACTCTAGTGTTACAGAGTGCTAACCTTGAGCAAAAAAACTAAAGGACAGCGTCCAGGCCCAGAGTTCAAGCCCCATGGCCAACCCACCACCCCTCCAAAAAGAAAAAAAAAAGCATTCTTTTTAATATTAAAAAAAATTAAGGTCTAATTTCTTTTCTTTCTTTCTTTCTTTTTTTTTTTTTTTTTTTTTATCATCATAGGGCTTGAACTCTAAGCCTGGGCACTGTCCCTCAGCTCTTTAACTCAAAGCTAGCGCTCTACCACTTGAGCCACAGTGCCACTTCCAGCCTTTTCTGTTTATGTGGTGCTGAGGGATGGAACCCAGGGCCTCATGCATGTGAGGCAGGTACTCTTCCGCTGAGCTACCTCCCCAGCCCAAGGTCTAATTTCCTTTTTTTTTTTTTTTTTTTTTTTTTTTGAGGGGGTCCAGTCGTGGGGCCTGATCTCTGGTCCTGGGCGCCATCCCTCAGCTCTTCAGCTCAAAGCTAACTCGCTACCACTTAAGCCACAGTGCTACTTCCAGCTTTTTTTTTTTCCCAAAGTCTAATTTCTTAGCAAGAATTCCTTATAGTACAATAAAGGAAAACTTCACTACCACTTCATTTTCAAAGATGAAAGGCATTTGCCTTATTTCTTATTAGCTTACTTAAAGTTAGCCTATTTTTGCCAGATGTGAAGATAGGGTTGTAAGAAGGAATACTTAGTCTACCTACATCATTTTTTTAATAACTAAAAAAGGAGGCTTTTATCTTATGATTTTAGAATAAGCTATTCTGAACGATAAATTTTTAAATAATTGATGATTATCTTTTAAGATGAAAAGGAAATTTTGTTATAGCCAAAATTGTCTACTTTCTTTTTATCATTAAAGTGGTCATTGAGTTTGAGACATTTTCAGAAGTTAGAAGTATTTTTAGGGCTGGGAAGGTGGCTCAGTGGTAGAGCACTTGCCTTGCATGCATGAGGCCCTGGGTTCGATTCCTCAGCACCACATAAGCAAAAAGAAAAAAGCCAGAAGTGGTGCTATGGCTCAAGTGGTAGAGTGCTAGCCTTGAGCTGAAGAGCTGAGGGACAGTGCCCAGGCCCAGAGTTCCGGCCCCATGACCGGACCCAAAAAAAAGTATCTTTATTTTTTCTTGCCCTGATACTGGGAAACATACCCAGAGCCTAGAATATGCTAGCCTCGTTTCCTACCACTGAACTATATGTAATCCTTAGTCCTAATGGCACCATTTTTTCCTAAGAAAACCTCAGAAAATTCAAAACAGTAACAGTCAAAGACATTCATTTGTTATTGCTACCAAACAACTACTATGTGTTTTATTTCACTAGCAAGAATAAAACTATAAATGTACAAACAATACCTTCTGGATATATTGTTCATCTTGCTGTAACATAAAGGATCAGTATGTGCAAGATATAGGTGGCTACTCATCATCTCAGAAAAGCAGTTGTACACTCCTCTGTTCCACTGTTCATTCAGTGGCATGTAGGTAGGAGTATTTCATTTAAGTCACCAAAATTAACAAATGCTATAAATCTGGGGGAAAAGTAGACAGCAATTGCTAATTGCCTACAGTGCCTCCCATTTACATACATGTGAGAAGAAAGGAAGTTCATGCCACAAATCCTAGCTATTCAAGAGGCCAAGATCTGAGAATCACAATTTGAAGAAAACCCAAGCAGCAAAGTCTATGAGATGCGTATCTCCACTTGACCCACCAAAAGGCCAGAAGTAGACCTGTGGCTCAAGTGGTAATACACCAACTTTGAATGAAAAAGCTCAGGGATATCACCCAGGCCCCAATTCATACATACATGGGGTGTGGGCAGGAGAAAGAGGAGAAGAGAAATTATGTTACATTGAATTATATTTGGCTGGCAAAATAAATGTCACTAATAAGAGGAAAAAAGCATTTAAGCCTTTTTGTGTGTGTGCTGGTACTGGGGCTTGAACTCAGGATCAGGGTGTGCTGTCCCTGAGCTGTTTTGCTCAAGGCCACTGCTCTACCACTTGAGGCACAACTCCACTTCTGGCTTTTTGGTGGGTAACTGGGGTAAGAATCTCACAGAATTTCCTGCCTGGGCTGGCTTTGAACCACAATCCTCAGATCTCAGCATTCTGAGTACCTGGGTTTACAAGTATGAGTCACTGGTGCCCAGCTGCATTTAAACCTTTTCAACCTTTTTATCTCTCAGAAGGTCATATTCCAAATATCCATATGCTAGTAATGTTTATAGAAAACATTATTAGCAAATATTTTCAGAGAAGCTAATTTTATACTCATTAAATACAGTGGTTTTTTTTTTACCAAGACAACCAAAATGTTATTTATTTAATATACATCATAAAGACTTAGAGACAAAAACAACACAGCTCAAGATAACAGAGTCCTGTACAGAAGTCAGGGAAAAGGACAGATAATCTAAGGAAAAAACAGACAACACAGGAGAGGCTGGACAGCTCAGGTCAGGGCTCTTGGCCGGCAACTCGTTTTGAGTAGGTTTCTTTCAGGTACTTCTTAAAAGCTGTGGGGTTTTCCCAGAGCTTGGCAGCTTGTGTTTTCAAAGGGCTTTCAATATTGGGCTTTCCTAGCAGGCTCTGGATAGAGAGCAAGATAGTCATGACATCATCCAAGGCAGACCACTTGTCTTTGCAGATGTTTCCCTGGGTGTCCACATTGGAGTGTTAGAAGGTGTTTGGAACTTCATTGTAGGTGTGTTATAAGAGTAGCCACTGGGGAACTCCAGGGAGAGCTTGTACCTCAGGTCTTCGTATACTGTGCCAGGTGCTCCACGGATAGTCCCTACCTATTTGAAAAGGCTGCCTGAGTCTGGGAAGGCACCAGACATTATGAGGGTCATCAGCTTCTCCTGTAGCTGCTTGACCACAGGGCCCCAGCTGGCACCTCTGCTGGGCTTGACTCCTTTACTGGAGGCAGCGATCAATGGCGGTGGCTGGGTCACAGTTTGGGGCAGACATTGGGGCAGAACTGGCAGGGAGACAGAAACTCCACACAGAACAGCTGCACTGATATCTCTTTAAACATCTAAACTTCAATTCTTATCCCTTAGGAAGCTTGGGAACAGAAAGAAGATGATGACCTCAAAAGAGCTACAGAATTAAGTCTTCAAGGTATGAAGATCATTTTAATTACATTTTTTTAAATGGAATTCTTTTCTTAAATAAAGATGAATTCTCCAGTGGAAATAGTAAAAGAGAAGTGTATTTTGAATTTGTGTGTTTGGTGTACTTTAAATGAAATGTAAGAGTTAAGGTTGAATTTCTGCTTTATGTTACATTAATAAAAGGACATTTAACCAAGGAAATGAAAGAGCTCTACAATGAAAACTAAAAACCTTGAAGAAAGAAATTGAAGAAGACACCAGAAAAATGTAAAGATCTTCTATGTTTATGGAATGGCAGAATTAATACTATGAAAATGGCCATAATGGTCTGGGAAGGTGGCTCAGTGGTAGAGAACTTGACTTGCATGCATGAGGCCCTGGATTCGATTCCTTAGCACCACATAAGCAGAAAAAGCCAGAAGTGGCGCTGTGGCTCAAGTGGTAGAGTGCTAGCCTTGAGCTGAAGAGCTGAGGGACAGCGCCCATGACTGGCAAAAAAAAAAAAGAAAATGGCCATACTACCAGAAGCAATGTACAGCTTCATTGTAATACTCTTCAAACTCTCAATGTCATTTTTCATGGAAAAAGAAAAAGCAGTCCAGATTTTCATATGGAATTCTAAAAGATCGGAAGTAGAAAGAGCAATCCTTAGTAAAAAGAGTAACGCTGCATGTATCACAATACCAGACTTCAAATTATACTACCGATCCATAGTTACAAGAACTGCTTAGATATTAGAGGGATGGCTCAAGTGTTAGAGTGCTTAACCAAGTAAGCTGGGTGAGGTCCTATTCAAAACTCAGTACACCAAAAGAAAGAAAAGAAAAATCAGCTTTGTACTGCCACAAAAACCAGCCCAGGGGGCTGAGAAGGTGGCTCAGTGGTAGAGCGCTTGCCTTGCATGCATGAGGCCCTGGGTTCGATTCCTCAGCACCACATAAGCAAAAAAGAAAAAAGCCGGAAGTGGAGCTATGGCTCAAGTGGTAGAGCGCTAGCCTTGAGCTGAAGAGCTGAGGGACAGCACCCAGTGCCAGAGTTCAGGCTCCATGACCGGACCCCCTCCCCCCTCCAAAATAAAAAAAACCAGCGTAGGAATAAAGCCACACAGCTACAGGTGTCCCAGACAAAGGAGTCAAAAATGTGCACTTCAAAAAAGATAGCCTCTTGAACAAAGCGTGCAGCAAAACTGGCTGTCTATTTACAGCATACTGAAACCTAACCTGTCTCTCTGTATAAAAATCAACTCCAAGTACATCAAAGAACTTGAAGTTAGGCCTGAAACATTAAGTGTACTACAGGAAAACTCTGGAAATTATAAGTACAGGCAATTATCTTCTGAATAGGACTCTAGTTACCCAGAAAGTAAGAGCAAGAATCGGTGAATGAAATTACATCAAATTAAAAAGTTTCTACACCAGTTCCTCAGGCCTGTTATACTAGCCTGTAATCAGGAAGCTGAGACCCAGAGGATCATAGTTTGAAACCAGCCCAGGCAGAAAAGTCAGCAAGACATGAAGCTATTTCATTTCCAAGTAAGCTAGTTGTTGGCTATAGGTATGGCTCAAGCTATGAGCACCATCTATGAGCAAAAAAGCCAAGAGAGGGTGCAAGGCCCTAAGTTTAAACCCCAATTCTTGACAAAGGGAAAAAAGTTTTCTTCACAGCAAAAGAAACAACTACCAAACCCAAGAGACACCCATTGAATGGAACATGTACATATATAGAGAGAAACGTGTGTGTGTGTGTGTAAATATATACAACATGACTTTTCCCTCAACCCCCCCCAAATAGTCCTATCATGTTATATATACATTTGCATACACGCACAGGCCCCATGACCAAACCAAAAAAAAAAAAAAGGGAATATTTCTTTATACAGATACCTGTGTCTATAATGTTACTCCTCAGAATGGGATAATAAGTGAATTAGAATCCTAATAATATTATGTGTAATATTTTCTTAGTATGATAAAATGTGTACCTCTAGCTCTTTTACCATCCGGTCTACTCTAAGAACCTTTACAAGATTTTGTCTTTCTGTTCTTCAGAGTTTAATAACTCCTTTCTGGATGCACTGGGCTCAGATGAAGACTCTGGCAATGAGGATGTTTTTGATATGGAGTACACCGAAGCAGAAGCAGAGGAACTGAAAAGAAATGCTGAGGTAGTGTTCACCCCTGAGTAAAAATTTCCGATTATCGGTGTTGCTTCTGCTTTTTAGAATCAGAGATTCCACTTTCAGTATCTACCACAGGTTCATTTTTGCCTTCCAGCAACCATCAAATGATCTTCATGTTTTCTTATCTTTTTTATGTATCTTGCTTTTTTAAGTTCTGAATTTTTTAATAAGTTTTTTATTGTGAAAATACTGTACAAAGGGGTTATAATTACAAGAGCAAGGTAATGAGTACATTTCTTATCAAGTATTGTTGCCTCCTCCTTTGTTTTTCCCATACCATCCCTTCCCTCCCATCTCCACAAGTACACTCTTCCTCCCACCCCCAGCCTAAATTGTAAAGTTTGTTTTTCAACATAGCGTATTGTAGATCTCATTGTTGCAATGGGTCAACCTGTGTAATTTAAGAATATGGACTGCTTCATGAATTTATGAGTATTGCGGCACAAGTTCTGAATTTTTAACAAAACATTTGCTTCACACTGCAGTTCTCCAGATCTCAGCCTCCTGAGTACTTAGGATTACAAATGTGGTCCACCAAGTACCCGGCTCAACTTCTCTTTTGATCTGTATTTCACAACAGGCTGGGCATGGTGGTAGATGTCTGTTATTGCAGCTTCTCAGGAGGCAAAGGCTAGTCTGGTCAAAAACTTGAGACTATCTGAAAAACAACAAAGTAAAAGGCCCTGAGTTCTATAGCCAGTACCACAAAAGAAGAGAAAAGAAAGAAAAAAAGATTGAGAACAAAACAAAACAAAAATAGGTCTTGTTCATCTTGTTCTTATCTACCACACGCACAATTATATTTAGTTCTATCAAGTAAAGATAGTATCTATATTTAAATTGTGAAATTTGGACTAATTGTATCAACTAGAGCACTTTTTTTTCCCCCTTCTCTTCCCTTAAATAATTGCCTTTTTCAAAAAAAAAATTTTAGCTACTAGGATCCCACCAGCCCATCACAACTATTGTTAGCACTTGCTCTATTCTTTAACCATCCCCACCCACAAATGCACTTAAAAATGTCATAAACTTTTTGTTAAAGACTAATGGTTATATTCTCTCCAGTGAACATTTTAGTTAATTTTTGTGTGTGTGCCAGTTCTGGGGCTTGAACTCAGGGCTTGGGCACTGTCTCTTATATAGCAGTCCAGGAGCTTGAACTCAGGGCCTGGGCACTGTCTCTTAGCTTTTACTCTCAAAGCTGGCACTCTACCATTGAACCACAGCTGCACTTTTGTTTTTGTTTTTGTCTTTTTTTTGGTCAGTCGTGGGGCATGAGCCACCCGTGCCCAGCTTGAATGTGTGTTTTTTTTGTTTGTTTTGTTTTGTTTTTGTCGGTCATGGGGCTTGAACTCTGGGCCTGGGCGCTGTCCCTCAGCTCTTCAGCTCAAGGCGAGCGCTCTACCACTTGAGCTACAGCGCCACTTCCGGTTTTCTGGTGGTTTATTGGAGATAGGAGTCTCACGGTCTCTCCTGCCCGGGCTGGCTTTGAACCGAGATCCTCAGATCTCAGCCTCCTGAGTAGCTAGGATTACAGGTGTGAGCCACCAGCACCTGGCTGCACTTTTGTTTTTTGCTCCTTGTTAACTGAAGATAAGAGTCTCCTAGGGCTGGTTTTGAACCACAATCCTCAGATCTCAGTCTCTTGAGAAGCTAGGATTACAGGCATGAGCCACTGGCCTCCAGTCTTACTTAATTTCTAACTAATATCAAACATTTGTTTAAGTGGTTTCCTTTATTTTTATTACTGGAAATTAAACCAAGGACTTCATAATTACTTGGCAAACACTACCACTTGAGCTACATCCCAAGCCCTGTTTTTCTTTTTACTAATACTGGAACTCAAGACTCATACTCACTTGGCTTGCTTGCTCAGGGGTGCTACCAATTGAGCTATGCTTCTAGCCTTGATTTTTTTTTTTTCTGGTTATTTTGGACATAGAGTCACAGACTTTTCTGACTTTGAACTCCCATCCTCTGGATCTCAGTCTTCTGAGTAGCTGGGATTATAGGCATGAGCCATGTGCCTGGAATTTTTTTTTTAAGACAGTTTTTCTAGCCCAGGTTGTCCTCTATCTCAAAATCCTCCTGCCTCAGCCTCCTGAGACCTGGATTACATGCAATCACCACCACATCTAGCTTTAAATTTTTCATTGTAAAAAAAACAACACATTTAGAAATTCTGTCTAAACCAGGCGTTGGTGGCTTGCTTTTCAAGGCCAGCTAGGCAACAGTTAGTGAGACCTCATTTCAACTAATAAGCTGACATGGTAGGGTACATCTGTCATCTAGCTATGTGGCATATGTAAATGGGAAGGAAGAAAGTATTTTATCCTGCAATCCCGTTAGCAATGCACATCTCTTTTGTTCTATTGTCTATTACCTAAGGATGAATATAACTGTTTTCATTAGTTATGTACATTCATACCAGTTTGGAAAACAAGTAAACATGTTGAGTGATCTGCATAACTTTTTGTTTTTAACAATACTGGGATAGGTCCCATGGTTTCCCTTATTTGTAATAACTAGTATATGTCTAAGACAAGCAGAAAAGGTCAGATAAGTTGATGTTAGGTGAAATGAACCCCAAGATAAGTATTCAGATGTTTTTCTTTCTTGCGATTGTTTCTAACATATTTATAAGATGATTTCTTTGTTGCTTTGTATGTCCCTCCCCCACGGTAAAACCCCTGCTTTCATTGTATTTAATGTTAGTATAATTTGTGGAGGGGAAGGGTAAAAACAAACCATTTAAATAGGGATACAGATGGACCCGTTGCAACAATGAGATGTACAAGTCGTTATTTTGAAAAACGAACTTTACAACCTTGGCCTGGGGGTGGGGGCAGGGATGAGAAGGGGAAACAAAAGAGGAGGCAACAATGCTTGATAAGAAATGTACTCATTACCTTGCCCATGTAATTGTAACCCCTTTGTATGGTATTTTCACAATAAAAAAAAAAAAATACTTGGGGGAGGGGGGCCGGGAAGGTGGCTCAATGGTACAGTGCTTCCCTTGCATGCATGAGGCCCTGGATTTGATTCCTCAGCAGCACATAAGCAGAAAAGCCTGAAGTGGCACTGTGGCTCAAGTGGTAGAGTGCTAGCCTTGAGCTGAAGAGCTGAGGGACAGCACCCAGGCCCAGAGTTCAAGCCCCATGACTGACAGAAAAAAAAAAATTACTGGGGTTTGAACTTGGGTCTTTACACTTGCTTGGAGGCATTTCACTGTTTGAACCATGTGTGCAGGACTTTCTTGAAAGCTTGCATTGCTTTTTGAAAGCTTACAAACTGAGGGAGCATGAGGCCCTGAATTCAAATACTATAACACAAAAGAAAAAAAGTAATTCTTTTGGCCTCTGCCAGCCTAAACCACAGTACTATTTACACTTCCCACCATAGCTTAGATAACACATTACTACACCCAGCTATTGGTTGAGATGAACTCTTGTGAACTTCTGGCCTGGACTAACCTCAAACTGCAATCTTCCCTGTCTTAGCCTCCCAATACATAGGACTACAAATATGAACCATCATCTGGACCACATAACTTTTTTTTCAGCTGGTTCTGGGGCTTGAACTCAGGGCTTGGGTACAGTCCCTGAGCCTCTTTGTGCTCAAGACTAGCCCTCTCCCCCTTGAGCCACAGTACCACTTCCAGCTTTTGGGGGCATTTTATTGGAGACATGAGTCTCATGGAGATTTTTCTGCCTGGCTAGCTTCAAACCATGATCCTCAGATCTCAGCCTCCTGAATAACTACAAGCATAAGCCACTGGTGCCCAGCTCATAAAACCTTTTTATTACAGGTATGAGCCACCAGCACCTGGCTTTTTAGGGGAAAGTTTTGGGGATAAAATTAGGCCAAAGGATCTAAACAGTTTAATTTTCGTTTTGTTACTTAGACTACACCAATGTGCTAAAGCTTAGTTTATGAGCTTTGATAATAAACAACATCCATATTTTGCTTTTACTTTAACCCACTAGTTTTATTTTTAAGGGTGTGTGTGTGTGTGTGTATGTGGTTTGTTTGGTTTTGTTTTGTTTTTGGCTGGTCCTCAGGCTTGAACTCGGGGCCTGGACACTGTCCCTGAGCTTCTTTGGCTCAAGGCTAACACTCTGCCCCTTTGCTTTTACTTGAAAATGAAGTCATGCCACTTCTGTTTTCCAGACGGGAAATCTCCCCCATTCCTACCGACTCATCAGTGTCGTCAGTCACATTGGTAGCACCTCTTCTTCAGGTAAGTGGACATCATGATAATCGCAATTTGTAAGTGAAGTGCCCAGTGTCTGTCCCTTTATCTGTTATTCTATGTCTGTCTTTCTGAGGTATAAATTGAATTCATCAGAAAAACTTTAAAAATCTCTTATCACTGGGGCTAGGAAGGTGGCTCAGTGGTAGAGCACTTGCCTTGCATGCCTGAGTCCCTGGGTTCGATTCCTCAGCACCACATAAGCAAAAAAGAAAAAAAGCCGGAAGTGACTCTGTGGCTCAAGTGGTAGAGTGCTAGCCTTGAGCTGAAGAGCTGAGGGACAGTGCCCAGGACCAGAGTTCAAGCCCCACAACCGGACCCAAAAAATAAATAAAATCTCTTATCACCCACTAGATTGTGTTTGTGAGTAAAACTGTTTTCATTCTCTATTTATAAATGACATAAATTCTCCTGAGCAAAATACACTTAACAAGCCCCTCAAAAGCCACACACCAGGGCTGGGAAGGTGGCTCAATGATAGAGTGCTTGCCTAGCATGCATGAAGCCCTGGTACCACATACACAGAAAAAGCCGGACATGGCACTGTGGCTCAAGTGTTAGAGTGCTAGCCTTGAGCAAAAGAATTTGTTCAGGGACAGTGCCCAGGCCCTAAATTCAAGCCCCAGGACTGGCGCGCGCATGCACACAAGCACACACACACACACGCACGCACGCATGCACGCACGTGTGCCAGATGCCAGTTGCTCAGCCCTGTGATCCTGACTACTCACGAGACTGAGATCTGAGGATTACAGTTCAGAGCTAGCCCAGGCAAGAAAGTCCATAAGACTCATACCTCCAGCCACCAGAAAACCAGAAGGGGCTCTGTGGCTCAAAGTGGTAGAATGTTAGCCTTGAGCAAAAAGAGCTTAGAAACAGCACCCAGGCCCTGAGTTCAAGCCCCATGACTGACAGGAAAAAGAAGACCCTCAAGAGCAAAGGTAAATGTGTTTCATGTTTTGTACACAAATGTATAATTTCTTAATTTTCTTTTGCAGTTAATGTAATACTCTTTATTGTCTAATTTTCTGAAGTATTGACTAGCCCATTGAAGATGTAATGTCTTATCCATTTGGCCTTTGTGTGTTTCCTCATGTTCTCAAAGACTCATTTGTTCAGCTCATCAGTACTACAGCTAAATGTTAGCAAGAGGAGCTGTCTAATCCACCTAACAAAGACGTTAGAATTACTTCATATGGAATTGAATATTTGCTTACAATACCAACAAAACACAAGGTTTTATTACGTATTTTTTATTATCTTTAGTTATGCAGAGGGGTTTCACTTCAACATGCAATACACAGTACTTTTGAAGGTTCTTCATAATTGCATTATGGCACACAACAGTGGGACCCATCAGCTGCACTGGACATTCATCAAAACGAACTAAGCAACTCAATGGCAGCGATGGGAGGGAGGGAACGAGTGGGAAAGAGGGAAACAGCTGATGCTGTGCAAAAGGAAAGGAATGTACATATCACCCGATGGGGAAGAAATGACTGTAATGTCAAAATAGACCAAGATAGACAATTTGCCCCATGAAAGTTAGAATATATTTGACTTTAACTAAGCATCACCATCCCACAATACTGTGAAATTATGTAATCACTTAATCACAATAAAGAATTTGCAAAAAAAAATAATTGTGTTATAGGAAAATTTAGTATATTTGCTTAATTTAATAATGAACTATAATGTATAGTTTCCTCATGAGGCCAATAATGGAGACACTTTAAAATTGAATTTGAGAAAAATTAAATCTCTGTTCATTAATTTTGAAAATTAATTTGTAATTTTAGAAGCAAAGAAAAGTTATAATGTGGGCACTAGTAGCTCATACCTATAATCCTAGATACTTGGAAAACTGAGATCTGAACATCGTGGTTCAAATCTCCAATTAACCACCAGAAAACTGGAATAGAGTTGTGGCTTAAAGTAGTAGAATGCTAGTCTTGAGCACAAAAGCTCAGGGATAACACCCAGGCCCTGCGTTAAGGCCCCACAACTGACCAACCGCCAGGCACCAGTGGCTCATGCCTGTTATCTTAGCTACTCAGGAGGCTGAGATCTGAGGATCACAGTTCAAAGCCAGCCCGGGCAAGGAAAATCCATAAGACTTTTATCTCCAACTAACCACTAGAAAACCAGAAATGGCACTCTGGCTCAAGTGGTAAAGTACTTGCCTTGAGCTGAAGAGCTCAGGGACAGTGCACAGGCCCAGAGTTCAAGCCCCAAGACTGATTAAAAAAAAAAGTTATCCTCTACAGCTGGGGCATAGTTCAAATGGTGGAATACCTGCTTAACAATACTGAAGACTAAATCCCTGAGTTTAAACCCTAATACCTCCAGGAATAAGAATTCAAAATTTAAAAAATCCCTTAAACTGAGCATGGTGGCACACAATTATAATCTTAGCACTCAGTAGACTGAGGCAGGAGAATTCAGAATTTGAGACCATCCTGGGCTACATAGTGAACACCTGTCTCTAAAATTAAAAAAAAAAATTAAGTTGGTTATAGTAGCTCAATCTTAGCTACTTGGAAGGCAGATATAGGGAGATTGGGGTTCGGAACCAGGCTGGGCATAAAAGTTTGAGAGATTCCATCACAGTCAGTGGCTAGACTCGGTGGCATACACCTGTCATCCCCAGTGACATGAGGAAACACAAGTAGGATCACAGCCTAGACCAGCCTGGGCTAATTTAACTTGAGACCTAATTTCAAATGCAACCAATACACAAAGGAAGCTAGAGGTGTGCTGAAGTAGTAGAGCCACCTACCTAGCAAACAGGAAGTCCTGAGTTCAGTCCCTCATACTGAAAGGGGGAAAAGCCTGTTAATTCTCTGTAAATGTTTTCTAAATGGACTATAGTAACATTTTTGAGGGTAAGTTAGGTGAGTTAGCTTGTTTCTCTTTCTCAAACTTCCTATATGTACTCTTTTAGAAAGCCTTAATTTCAAGATTTTATTTGTTTCAGGTCATTATATTAGTGATGTGTATGATATAAAGAAGCAAGCCTGGTTCACTTACAATGACCTTGAGGTATCTAAAATCCAAGAGGCTGCTGTGCAGAGTGACCGGGATCGGAGTGGTTACATCTTCTTTTATATGCACAAGTAAGAAACTTTGCTAAAATGGAGGTAATGGGCTAAAAATTAACCAAACTCAAGCTGGGCATTAATGGCTCATGCCTATAACTAGCTTCTCAGGAGGCTGACGTTTAAGGATCGACATTCAAAGCCATCCTGGGCAGGAAAGTCTGAGACTCATACCTCCAGTTAAATCCACCTAAAAGTCAGAAGTGGAACTGTGGCTCAAATGGTAGAGGGCTAGCTTTTTTTTTTTTTTTTTCTAGTCATGGGTGCTTGAACTTGGGACCTGGGCATTGTCCCTGAACTATTTTTCCTTAAAACTAGCACTCTAGCCGGGCGCTGGTGGCTCACGCCTGTAATCCTAGCTACTCAGGAGGCTGAGATCTGAGGATCGCAGTTCAAAGCCAGCCCGGGCAGGAGAGACCGTGAGACTCCTATCTCCAATAAACCACCAGAAAACCGGAAGTGGCGCTGTAGCTCAAGTGGGAGAGCGCTCGCCTTGAGCTGAAGAGCTGAGGGACAGCACCCAGGCCCAGAGTTCAAGCCCCACGACCGACAAAAAAAAAAAAAACTAGCACTCTACCACTTTGAGCCATAGTTTCACTTCTGGTTTTCTGGTGGCTAATTAGAGATAAAAAGTGTCACAGACTTTCCTACCTGGGCTGGCTTTGAACCTCAATCCTGAGATCTCAGCCTTCTAAGTAGCTAGGATTATAAGGTGTGAGCCCCCAGCCCCCAGCTTAGAGGGCCAGCTTTGAGAAAAAAGCTAAGGGACAGTGCCAGATCCTGAGTTCAAGCCCCAGTACTAGCACAAAATAAATAAAATTACCAAACTCTTATTCTTTTGGAATAAAGTATTCCTATCATTTCACTTGTTGACAGTTTTTTTGTTTTTATTGTATTTGCATCCATATTGCTTAAATTTCTGTTCATTAATGTATAGTCACCCAATTAATATAAAGCAAATTTGAAAGAAAAATATCCTAGCTATTCAGGATGCTGAGATCTGAGGATCACAGCTCAAGTTAGCCCCGAAAGTCTGTGAGACTCCAATTAACCACCAGAACACTGGAAGTAGCACTGTGGCTCAAATGGTAGAGCGTTCGCCTTGAGTTTCATGAAGAGGTCAGGGACAGTGCCCAGGCTCAGAGTTCAAGCCCTATGACTGTCTGGGGTAAAAAAAAAAAAAAAATTAAAGTAAAATGAAGTCTTGGCCAGGTGCTAGTGGCTCACATCTATAACCCTAGCTACCTAGGAGGCTGAGCTCTGAGGACTGTAGTTCAAAGCCAGCCTGGAGACTTATCTCCCATAAACTATTCAAGAAAAGCCAGAAATGGAACTGTGCTAGCCGTGGGAAAAGGAATCTCAGGGACAGCGCTCAGACCCTGAGTTCAAAGCCCTAGGACCAGAACATTAAAAAAAAAAAAGTTGTCCTAGGGCCAGGCATAATACAGATGGTAACAAAAGTGAGCCCTTGAGTTTAATACCTTTATTTCCTTAAAAGTTACAAATGTATTGTCTCTTAATTATTCGTCACATAATAGGATCTGGGTATGGAATATATGGCAGTTTATGATAGAAGCTACCCTATCATAAACCTTTTTGGTTTCTAGTTTTTATCAGTCAGAAGATCTGACTTACATAAAGAGAAACTACATGGTATTTTTATTAAAGCACACTGTTGCCCTTTTCCCTCAGTCTCAAAAATCAGCACCCCAGGGTTAATACCCAACATGTGAGCTGCTTGTTTAATAAAAATTAGGCATCAGATGGAATTGTGCAGTGTTCATTTCCTGTTGCTTTTTCTCCTGTTTATGCTTTGCTCCACTCACTGAATTCTATGTTTTATTTTTTGTTTATTTTAAGGGAGATCTTTGATGAGCTGCTGGAAACAGAAAAGAATGCTCAGGCACTCAGCATGGAAGTGGGGAAGACTGCCCGTCAAGCCTCATGAAGACAGACTCTGGGTTGGCAATGTGCATTTTCTCTCCCACTGCCACCTAACCTTTACTCTGCCCAAAGAGAATTTGGAATTCTCCTTGATGCAGGAGCAACAGACAGCTCAGGGCAAAAACAAAAGACAAAATTGCGGAGTGTTCCATGGTATTTAATGGAAACTGGTCTCATCTGTAGCTGATAGTCCTCTTTTTCTCCTACGAGAGTGGCGCTTCCTTTTGTCTTAGACATACATATTGTAAATATATATATATATATACATACATATATGTACATAAAGACACACACACATATATGGAATGAATGGAGCCTTAAAGAGTTCAGGTGAACCACCCATGTAAGCCTGCTTGCCATTAAAAGCACAGCAGTTTGGAGGATAAGTCAGAGAATCAGAGTCTATTCACCTGAGAAATGTGTGAATGTATACATATCAGTTGGCTTTTAAACTTTTATGTTCCTTGAGAATTTTCACTCAACTCTGTGACCTTTTGTGTGTGTATCTTTGAGTAAAGTTCACCGGAAAGCCAGCTCTCCATGTTACACTAATGATGGTTTGTTGTCCTTGCAAGAGGCATTTCTGTCACTTAACTTGAGGTTTTTGTTCTCCTTGATTTTATGGGTCTCATGCCCATGCTGTTTATTTACAATTCTGAAGAAATGGATTGTTGGTGCTTTGGAATGTGTTATGGCCCCACATCTGGTGTTCATTGTACATTTCACATTTTCTTTAAAGAGATTTCTTCACATACTGTTCCTCATATTTGTCTCTATTATTAAGATGGAATCGTGTCTTTTCTTCTGTATCATCCTTCCGTGGAGCAGGCATAACCTTAGTGAGTTTTGACCAAAACTTTAAAAGGTAGAGAGATAATATTGCTCCAGTTGGGACTTTCCAACAGAGATGATAAGGGTAAGAAAAAGCAGAGAGACATCAAGCAGTGTGCTGCTGTGTTACAGCTCAAACTCTAATCTGCTAAAGCTAAACAAAAGCTAAAGAGCTCTGGGAACAAAAGTGAAATTAAGTACACGAGCTGTAGGTCAGAGCTTGACTAAGGGGCAAAGCCAAACAGTAAATGATCAAAGCAGGGTGAGAATTAAAATGTGACCGATTTTGGTAATCCTAAAAACTAACAAATAACAAAGATGCAATATATATAGCCACACACAAACACACTTTATTAGGTGCTCTTAAGTTGAGACAGAGTGGGGATGCAATATAAAGTTGTATGGTTAGTCACTTAGCCAACATAAGCAGCTTATGGAATCATATAAAGAATGAGTTTGAGAGAAATATGTGAGCCCAGATGTCGTTAGGCCTATACAGAATTAAGAATACAAAATGAAATCTTTCATTATTTTCTTTCTTGTGTTTTCTTATTTTGATTATAAGTGAGAGGATTACTCTTCAGGTAGGGATGAAACCATATCAGGTTTCAAGGGCAGGAACATTGGAACCCATCATCATTGAAGATGTAAGCATCTTAGATGGAAGATTGCCCTTGGAGAACTTCAGCCTGACTCTTAGAACCTGGGTGTGTTCTGGTATAGTGATTGATATTCTGAACTTTTGGATCTTTGAATTCTAAATGGCCTGGCACTTTAGTTAACTACCAACGAATGCTTTGCCTCCTGCCATCTACCTACATCTACCTTCATCTTAGTGATGATCCACAGTGATACTGGTACTAGAATATGCAGGAGTGCTTTAGAACAGTATTTGTTTTAAAAACTAACATTTAAAGTTTTGTTTCAGTTCTGCCAGAAGCCTCACTTTGTCTTGTTTTGCTTGAAAACAACTGATTGTCTCATAGATGAGTGAAGTGATGATTATGTTCTTAAGCTGTTGTCCTCTCTATAGTTGAGAGTGTTGGGAATGATTTGGAGTGACATCTGCAGAAATTACGCCATAAGCCTAGACTGCCTTGAGGAGCTGCTTCATTTTTAATCTATTTCATGGCTTGATTATATGTGTAGCTTTGAAGTATACTCAAAAGAGTCTTCATATCTTGGGCAGGACTTGTTAGTTGGAAATAGGTTATTAGAAGATAAGAGTTTTTCACTGCTCATTCTTGCAAATTTGGGACTTGAGTTTTACTATCTGTTCATTCTTGTGGCCTTGTCAGCCTTTTCCTTCCTTCTCTCCTTTAACTTATTCATTTGACTACAAATGGAGCTTGCAGCTATCCTGTGTTTGAGTTTAAAGGTATAAATAAATATATTTCTTTTTTTTTGTTTGTTTGCAAAGTGTGATCGTTTGCCCAAAGTAGGATGATGGGGAAGTTAGCATATTTGGGACAGGAAGAGACAAATTAGGTAGGGACAGGGTCTTCAGCTCCAAGCATTCTGCACAGTAACTAATTAACCTTCATATTCAAAATATCGTGTGTGGTTACAATGACATTGAATTGGAATTGGATAACAATTATATATTTGGGTTTGGTTTTTTTGTTTTGTTTTGTTTTTTGGCCAGTGCTGGGGCTTGAACTCAGTCTTGCATTCTCCTTCTTCATTTTTCACTGAAGGCTAGTGCTCTACCACTTACGCTACACCTCCAGTTCTGACATTTTGCTGGTCACTTGGAGGTAAGCATTTTGTGGATTTGTTTTCCTTGGGCTAGCTTTGAACTGCTGTTCTCACATCTTAGCCGCTTGAGTAGCTAGGATTATAGGAGTAAGCCATCAGCATTCTACTTAGGTGGCATATGCTTTGATCTTAGCTGAAATTTTTCAGAAGGGAAAATTAAGCTAACACGTGGTGGTTTTTATTCTCTTATGGAGAATTGGAAAGCTGAGTGTGGCTAGATGTTTATATCCTTTAAGTAACTGTAATTTAGGACTTTGAGAATATAGACTGGCTCTTACTTTATAGGGATATATGTGTGAACACACTCATAAAAAATTTTTTTTGTGCCAGTATTGGGGCTTGAACTCAAGAGTCCTTCTCTTTCTTGCTTAATTAAAATCTGGTCTGGTGTGCTGTTGCTTAAGTCATGTCTCCATTTCTGGCTTTTTGTTGATTAATTGGAAATAGTCTTGAGCAAACGGCTGGGCTGGCTCTGAACTTTGGTCCTCAGATCTCAGCCTCCTGAAGAGCTAGGATTGTAGGTGTGAGTCACCAGTACCTGGCTGACACACTAAAAGTTTTGTCTCAGCAGGATAGGATAGGAAGCAGCCCATGAATGAGGGAGAGTGTGTGTTATCCCTGGGGCTTGAACTCAAGGCCAGAGTACTATCCCTGAGCTTTTGTGCTCAAGGCTAGTGCTCTGCCAGCTTAAGCCACAGCTCCATTTTCAGCTTCTTGGTAGTTAATTGGAGATAAGAGAGTTTACAGACTTTCCTCCCAGGCTGGCTTTGAATTGTAATTTTCGGCTCTCAGCCTCCTGGGCAGCCAGGAACAGGTATGAACCACAGGCACCCAGTTATGAATTGTATTTTGATTAAAAAATGTATGTTTACTTATATGTTCTGTTAATTCTAGGGCTAATTTAAATGACTCAGTAGCACACATAATGTGTGTTTACATTTTAAGAAGCATGTGGTAATAGGGATCCATTAATTTAACTGTGGATGCAAATATTAAACTATACATTTTCTTTATTTTCCTTTTTTTCGTGCCAGTCCTAGGGCTTGAACTCAGGGGCTGGGCACTGTCTGTGAGCTTTTTTGCTCAAAGCCAGTGCTTTACCACTTTAGCCACTGCTCCACTTCCAGCATTTTGGTAGTTTATTGGAGGTAAGCATCTCAATGGAGTTTCCTGCCCAGGCACAGTCCTCTGATCTCAGCCTCCTGAGTAGCTAGGATTAGTCACTGCCACCTGGCCTTTATTCTTGATAATCTATAAACCTCTTCTGAAAAAAGCTTTAAAACTTAAAACTTCAGCAAAATAATAAGTGGATTTACTTCTTTCATGTTGAAGTTACTATTCTGTAGGTATACACATATATACTACAAATACAGTTGTATAATGAAAATCAGCTGTAGATACTTAAATTACAAAAGAAAAAAAAGTTTTATAAATTCATTTATGACCCACTGAATCAAAACGATGTCCTTCTTCTTCTCTGTCCTCTGAAATGACCCAGCAGAGACTACTCCTTTTGCTCTAAGTAAGGAAAACAGAACTAGATCTCCATGTACTCGTGGATCTTGTATATACAGGGAGATTTTTAGTAAAATTAACCTGTTAAGTACTATAAAGGTATCCCAATAAAATGGTCTTGTCCTTTCCCTCCCTGTCTTGCTTTGTACTGAGTGACTCTTGCAATTGTATACAAAAAACTTAACAGCTTTCTGGCCTGGTAGCAGCTTTCTGATGCTTTCCTTCAAAATCCTACTATCTCTATTGTCTTATTAACACCTGGAGAAATATATATATTTTATTGGAGAGTTATAGTTTGTTAGGTCTTGAGAGTTTGTGATGGAATTATTCTGAGTTTCACCACCACTGCTGTTGGCTCCTTTGTGGCATGATTTGATGACTACAGCCAGTCTCTTTGGTTATATCATTCATACAGTTAGTAAACTATTTGCTTTCCACGTGTGCTATGTGTCTAAGGTTCTTGAAGATTTAATTAAAAATACACCAGTATGAATAAGCATTTTTGTGACACTGGACTTTCAAAGTATAGATACGCCTGCTGGCATAAGAACAAGAGTGGGTGAGGGTCTAGATCAGGATCCCAGTTCTTCAGTTCAAATGCCAGAGCAAAGAAGAACAATCAGCTAAACTGTGGGCAAAGAAGTCCATGAGAGTGCACACCTCATCCCAAGTTCCCTTCCGCCAAGCATTTCCTTCTCTCCCCAAGTTCCCTTGCTTACTGGCTTGGTATTTATGCATGGAGAGGAAAATGAGTGAGGTTCCTGCACTTTGCCTAATTGAACCACTGGCAGCTTTGGCCGCTTTATTTGAGGTGGTTTTTTTTTTCCTTTGTGTTCAGAGTGACTTGATTCTGATTCTTGATGTTTTGTATGGAAAGGCACTTATATCTGTGTTTTAGCAGAAATGTTCCTCTGTATACTTTCCAGTTTCTTCCTTGTTTTTGTTTCCTTTTTAAATTATATGGAGGGGTTTTTTTGTGTGTGTGAAAATTAAAGCCTTTATTAACCTTACGTTGATTTGACTTATTTCTGAAAAGGTCACATTCTTGCAGACATCATTAACAACCAGTTGCTTGAAGCAGATATTGCCTTGTGTTGGTTTTCTAATAGGATTTCCATGCAGCTAACCAATGTTTAGCCCATCAGCACTGAATTCCTGATGCTTTCATGGAGAAGTCTGTGAAGTTTTTTGGAGGTAACAGGGTTTGTTTTGCTGCTTCCTGGGACTTGAACTCAGGGCCTGGGTGCTGTCCCTGAGCCTCTTTGTGCTCAACGCTAGTGATCTACCACTGAGCCACAGCACCATTTCCAGCTTTTTCTGAGTAGTTTAATGGAGAGAAGAGTCTTGGACTTTTCTGTCCAGGCTGGCTTTGAACTACAGTCCTCAAATCCCAGCATCCTGAATAACTAGGATTATAGGCTTGAGCCACTGGCACCCAGTGAGGTAAAAGTTTTCAAGTCTAGCATTGGCCTTAGTGAATTCTTAGTAAGTACTGGGTATACGGAATGAAGTACCATTTCCATGCTTTCTTTTAGGTCTCAAATCCAGTCCCAGTGGATGTATTCCCCTCATTGGATACTATTTAAACAAAATGTTATGAAGCCTTCTAAAGCAGTTTCCTAATCCATTTAACTCTCCTTCAAAGGAGTCCTCTTCACTTTTACCACCTGATAAGGCAGTGAGGAAAATGAATGTGAAGTTATTACCATAGGAAAGATGTAAATCCAAAATGCCCTGCCTCCCTACTATAGCTAAAAGTGTGTCCTGATGAGGAAAGTGTTGTGCGAAGTGTTTGGTGGTTCCTCTAAGGACAGAAGCCCTAGAGCAAGATGGGTAAAAGTGATTCCAGCACCCCAGATAGAGATACACCGACCACCTTCATTCAGATCACAGGCTTATTGGGGTGGCAGAGTCTTTCTGAAGAAATGGGTAGGTCACTAAACACAAATAGTGTGGCTGCACACTGCTGTTCACAAGGCAACCACCTTCCAAGCAGGGAACGATGGTGCTTTACAGGACAATGACTATGGCCTCTCAAAATAGTCCTTTTTCTTTCTTGAGGTTTTGTTGCTTCCATCGTGGCAGGGCAGAGAAGGCAGCTGGAGTCATCCCCAAAGCCTTAGTGAAATCTTCAGTGGACAGGTGTTCCTAGGAGAGAGGACCAAAGGGAAAAGGTCACAATCTTCTGGGTTTGCTGATGAGTCATACAAGTATAGCACATAATCAAATGAAGAACAAAGCCAGCACTGTCATGAGAACCAGGAAAGGGATGGGGGAAGAAAGGCAGCATTTGGACTTCCAGAGGATCCCTGAATTTGTTAACATGGAGAGATAACATGATAAATTGGGCTTTCTGCCAAAGTCATATTAGATTTGAAATGGGATACATCTCTTATCCCTTGGTTTTGTTTTTGTTTTTGTTTTTGTTTTTTTTGGGGGGGGGCGGGTCGTGGGGCCTGAACTCTGGGCCTGGGCGCTGTCCCTCAGCTCTTCAGCTCAAGGCTAGCACTCTACCACTTGAGCCACGGTGCCACTTCTGGCTTTATTTTTTCTGCTTATGCGGTGCTGAGGAATCGAACCCAGGACCTCCTACACGCAAGGCAAGCGCTCTACCACTGAGCCAACTTCCCAGCCCTTATCCCTGTTTATAAGGAGTAAAACAGTACTATGTAGGATAGGGTTAAGCAAAAGGTATCTAGTTGATCTACCTTCACTTATCAAACTCAAGCCTGACCCACAAACAAGCAATGTCTGCCCCTGCAAGGATATATAAGCTCCCAGTGCTACAATAGAACATGGAGCTCTTCTAGGTAGAGCCCATACCCTCCTGGCTCCACCTTACAAGGGAAATCACCTGCTCTGGCTGGCCTGCATACTGCTGTATGTAGCACTTACAGATACTGAGGCCCATTTCAGTACAGTCAGCCTAGTCAGCCCTTTGTATTGGGATCTCATACATGGATTCCACCACAAGTTGAAAATAAGAAAAGTCTACTCGACATTCTCTAAGCAATACTGTCATTTCAGGTAATTGAGATGTGTGTAGGTTATACACAAATACTATGCACAGTACATCAGACAAGCCTTGATTCTTGATTTGGGTATCTGGAGGATTCCTGGAAAGGAATAACTTTTTCCAGATGCTGAGGCTAACACTAGAAAGTCAAGGTCATGTGATGGCGGTATACATTCCACTGCACCATGCTGACTTTTCCTGCCTTGAATGGTTTCAGGTATCCTGTGAAGTTTTTTTGTTTTTGGGTCCGGTCGTGGGCCTGAACTCTGGGCCTGGGTGCTGTCCCTCAGCTCTTCAGCTCAAGGCTAGAGCTCTACCATTTGAGCCACAATGCCACTTCCAGCTTTTTTTTTCTCCTGCTTATGTGGTGCTGAGGAATCAAACCCAGGGCCTCAGGCATGCAAGGCAAGTGCTCTACCACTGAGCCACCTTCTCAGCCCCTCCTGTGAAGTCTTTCTGGAGCTTTACCACTACAGATGGCTTCATCCCTATTGGGATTCAGCTTTGTACCTGGATAAAACCTTGTCTGTGTTTACTATGTGGGTTTGGCTTAAAGAGATAATGGGAGAGCAGCTGCAGAAAGCAGAAGTGAGGAGGAGGAAGGGAAGGGTTCAAAGAGGAAAAGCTAGGAAGGCCAATGAACAAATTCACAGTCATATTAAGCCCATTTGGGGGGAGGGGGTGGAAATTGGATAAATTGCTGGTACCAGCTCATCTGATCTGGTAAGTGACCCCAAAGATGAGCACAATTTTATAAAACATGCAGTTGATGGAAATGATATTGATGCCCAGTTGGTTATACTGTTTGAGGCAGCTAACCACCCTCCAGGCACATTCAAGGATAAAGCATCTTATCTCTGCCTTTATCTCTTATACTGGCTTAGAGGTAGACAAGACCAGAGTGAATGTGATAGGTTTCCTTTTAAATTTCCTTTTAAATCTTTTGTGTGTGTGTCTGTGTGTGTCAGTTGTGGGGCTTGAACTCTGGGCCTGGCCGCTGTCCCTGAGCTCTTCCTCAAGGCAAGCACTCTACCACTGAGCCACCTTCCGAGCCCCTCCTTTTAAATCTTGAACAGCCCCACTGAAGTGGGTTTGCCCTGGGACACATTTCATTGACTTCCACACATCCCTGTGTTGAACAGCTCCTTGGTAAATACCTGTACGTGGGTTTCAAGCTCACGGTGGGTCTTATATCCCAGTTTTCTACCTATTAGTCATCCACTCCCCCCCCCCCCCCCACTGCCACTCTTCCCTTGAGGCTCTTAGGAACCCCTTCATCCCCAGGCAGGGCAATGCAGCAACTTGTTTTGAAAGAGAGTAATAAAGTCTATGTGTAGTTATCCACCCTTGGTTCTGCCCAGATGTGGCTGCTGTGGCCTATGTCCACATATGGCTCCACTATCCCCACTCTAGCCTAGCCAGCCAGGCTGGCTCCTCAGCTGTGTCAGCTGCTGGACTCTGACCTCCAGGCCAGATAGCATAGAATGCCCATCCCAGTGAACTTGTGTCTTTGCATGGGTACTGCTCTTGAACTCTATAGCCTGCCAGTTGATTACCAATTTCACCCACCTCCACATCTATTTTCCTGAGGTTTACTCATTGAACCTCAACATTTACTGACTGCATGCAGCAAGACCTGCCATCCCACTTTTGTCACTGGCTCACCTTCAGAGTTTGGAATAGCCAGGAAGGTCTTAAAACTTTCCCTACCCTCTCAGCTCTCCCTCAAGGATGCCCAATTTTTCCATGATTAGAAACCAGCATCAGCCATGTGCCAGCACCTCATCCTTGTAATCCTAGTTACTCAGGAGGCTGAGATCTGAGGGTTGCAGTTCAAAGCCAGACTAGGTGGGAAAGTCTAAGAAATTCCTATCTCCAATTAACTACCAAAAAAAAAAGTGAGAGAGTGAATGAGACAGACAGACACAGAAAGAGAGAGGGAGGAAGAAGGAAGGAAGGGAGGGAGGGAAGAAAAGGAAGGAGAGAAAAAAACGGGGGGGGGGAGGAAAATGGGAAAGGATCGGAAGGGGAAACAAGGCAACAATGCTTGAAATGTACTCATTATCTTGCCCATGTAATTGTAACTCCTCTGTATGGTATTCTCACAATTAAAAAAAAAAAGAAAAAGAGAGGGCTGGAAAGAGTGAGAGGAAAGAAGGAAGGAAGAGAAAGAGAGAGGGAGGGCTGGAAGCCTGAGCCAGTCACAGTGACTCATACCTATAATTCTAAGTACTTGGGAGGCAGAAAATTGAGATTATGATTCAAGACAAAAAAGTATAAGCTTAATGTGGTACAGGACAGTCATACCAGCTCTGTAGAAGGAGATAAGGCTAGCCCCAGGCAAACAAAAATGTGACACCCTAGCCAAAAAATAATGTCAATAAGGGTTGAGGCTATGGCTCAAGTGGTAGGGCTCCTGCTAATGAGAGCAAGATTCTGAGTTCAACTCCGGTACCACCCAAAAACAAACAAAACATATTTGTGTATGTGTGAACATCAATCTTCAGCTGCTTCAGCCACAGTGCTTTCCTGTGCATTGATGATGGACAACACATTACTTCATGAGGCAGAAGGCCCTCCCTGTTTAATTCCCACCTCCCGCTCTAGCTGATTCTTCTCCAGGAAGAACTTGATTTACCTTGATAATTCCTGTTCATCTTTCAGAAGGAAGTCTCTCTAACCCAGACTTCTTTTTTGAATACACTTTGAGGAGAGGGTCAGGGGAGATATGCCAGTACTGAGCCTTGAACTCAGGGCCTAGACACTGTTCCTTAGCTTTTTCATTCAAGGCTGATATTCTACCACTTGAGCCACACCTCCACTTCCAGGTTGGTTAATTGGAGAGAAAAGTCTCATGGACTTTCCTGACTAAGCTGGCTTAGAACCATGATACTCATTACCTGAGCCTCTAGAGTAAATAGTATTACAGGCATGAGCCACCAGTGCCCAACTTGGACTATTCTTGCACCTATACTTCCCTTTGGTGGTACTTACCATCTCTAAAATTAATAGTGTTATGCTTCCCTGCTCTGTCCTCAGGGATAGAAGCTTCAAGAAGGTGACACCAGGCTTGTTGTGTTCACCAGGACATCCCCAGCACCAGTCCCTTGCTGAGCACAAATAATCAGATTGCCTCAACAAATGAATGAGCTACATTCTCATGTCCAGATGGAAGAACCTGACCTACCTCCTTCCTGCTGGGGTCCACACCCTCCGGGAGTTCTTCCACAGGCTTGTTTACCAGCTGCTCCAGAGGGAAGATGGGCAGGGGCCCTGAGCTGAAGCTGGTGTTGGCAGTGAACACATCCACCTTGGGGCTCATGATGTCCTAGGGAAAGAAGGAACCCACAGTCACTGCAGCTGCTGTATGGCTCCTTCCCAGGTTTCCCAGGTTGTCTTTCTCCCAAGTCAACATTGATTCTAAGATACTACCTTTGAGAAGCCTGGCCTTCCCCGACCGCTCCACTACACCCCCCCCTCCCCCACACACACCTCACAAGAACACATCCCACTGGATTAGACCCAAGAGCCAGTGGTCTCTATCTGACCAAAGTAGGTTGAGTCAAAATGACTATTTTTTTTCAATGACTTATTCTCCCTGGCTTCCCCCAGAGCTTGAGACCGCCTCTGGAAACTTTTGACCCTGTCTCTCTTATCTGTGGTGAAACTCTCAGCCATAAATGTATTCAGCCTTGACCTATCATTTCCAGTCTGTACTGACAGGCCAGCAGGACTGAGAGGTGCCACAATCTGTGGGTGGAGGAGCTATGAATGTCATCATTAACCCAATGCACTTGGGAAATGGTTCTCCAGTTCTGGAGGCATTTCTGTGGAGTTAGCCTTGCCTTGTTTCCCCTGTGTGTCTGTGGATTTCTTGGAGAGACTCTTGATCTCAAAACCCCAGATCCAAGTCTATGGGCTAAATATATTTCCATAGAAATGGCAAGATCTCAGGAGTCACAGATATTCTGCCTGCAGAACAGATCTCAAGGAAGAGAGTGCATGTAGATGCCATCATTTCCCCAAATCAAATTCCTGGACTATCAAATTTACTTTTGAATTAGGGTCTAAACATATATAGCCCAGAGCTCACCTGAAGCTCACAATCCTCCTTCAGTCTCTTGAGTGGTGGTACTACTGACATACACCAAAAAATATGCAAATTTCTCCACTCTTCCCCACCTGTACTAAATCTTGAACTTAGGGGACTCTGAGCCTCAAGCTCTCACAAAGGTTTTTCACTCTTGGCTGGCACACTACCACTTGAGTCATGCTTCTACTTCTAGCTTTTGCTGGTTAATTGGAAGTAAGTCTTGCAGTTTCATCTGCCCAGGATGGCTTCAAGCTGTGATCCTTAAATCTCAGCATCCTGAAAAGTTAGGATTACAGACATCAGCCACCTGCATCTGGTTCAATATTTACCTTGTTTAGGTTATGGGGCTTGAACTCAGGGCCTGGGCACTGTCCCCAAGCTCTTTTGCTCAAGGCTAGCACTATACCAATTTTGAGCTCCGCTTCCAATTCTCTGGTAGTTCATTGGAGATAAGAGTCTCACAAACTTTTCTGCCCAGGCTGGCTTTGAACCGTGATCCTCAGATCTCTGCCTCCTGAGTAGCTAAGATTACAGGCATAAGCCACCAGTGCCTGGCTCAAATTTTACTTTTTAATGTGCTATTCTCATTGCTCAGTCTCCTATGCATGATAAAAATTGGGGAGAATTTCACTAGGAACTGGAGAAAGAAAACAGATGCATTGGTGTCAAACAGAAAAAAAGAACTTCCATGGGAAGGAAGAGGAACGGAGATGAAAACACAAAATACTCATGTGAAACATTCTCAGCAACCCTAGGTCTGACAGTCACTCAAAACAGACACCTGCCCCATACTCACAGACGAGATCTGGCCCCAGTCCCCAGAGTTTCCAAGCTCCGCCTTCAGGTCCTCATAGGATTTGGCATTCTGTGTATAAAGTACATAACAGATCAGACTGAGCAAGAGACAAGAGGCTATTTTCCTTCAAGAGTTAAGAAAAATCTAGGCACCAGTGGCCCACACCTATGATCCTAGTTTCTCAGGAGGCTGAGATCTTAAGATCATGGTTCAATGCCCTCTAGAGTCTCTGAGACTCTTCAGTTAATCACCAGAAAATCCAGAAGTGGAGTTGTGGCTCAAATGGTAAAGCACCAGCCCTAAGTGAAAAAGCTGAAGAACAGCCCGCAGACCCTGGTGCTTTAGTACCAGCACCAAAAAAGGTAAGAGGAAGCTGGCCTGGGGCCTGCTGGTGAGAAGGAATAAAGGAAGCAAAGATGTCAACTGAAAACATGTAAAATGGTGAGGATATGAGATCAAAGGGACTGACAGATCACAAAAGGACAGGGTAAGGCACGGCAGACCATTTATCTGTCCCTGCTGAGCCCAGCGTGAAAATGGAGAATTGGACCTTTGCCCTCCCTGTAAAGGCCTGAGACCTTGTTCTCCAGAAAACAAAGTAAAAATAAAATTAAAACTAACTACAGGTTAAAACAACAGATCTGAAGAAATTAAGGTCTCTAAGCCCGTCTGTTGTGCCAGTTCAGAATACCCAAAGCCATTAGCCCCAAATATATACAGCTATCAAACCTTTCAATTCTAGCTAGCTAAGAACTGTTTTAGAATTAGGCTTAATTCCAATCAACATCCATCAGCTTTGTATAGCACATAAACAAGATACTAGTAAGTTAGCCTTAGTTGGATTTTTTTTTTTTGGGGGGGGGGAGTGTTGTGAAGTGCAGGAGATTAAGCCCATAGACTTGAGCATGCCACTCAAGCCCTCTACCACTGAGCTACATCCCCATTCCCTTGGTTTCTTAAGATAGTGTCTTGCTTATATAGCCCAGGCTGCTGGAGTGTGGAGATTAGGGAGGGACTACCACACACAGACTATACTTAGTTTTTAATAGACTTTCTTCTCTCTCCCTCACTAGAAGGCTTACTTAATGCAGGCTTAGTTTGGTTTTGGGTTTGGGTTTAGGTTTTGTTGTTGTTGTTTGTCAGTTGTGGGGCTTGAACTCTGGGCCTGGGCTCTTCAGCTCAAGGTGAGTGCTCTACCACTTGAGCCACAGCGCCACTTCCGGTTTTCTGGTAGTTAATTGGAAATAAGAGTCTCATGGACTCTCCTGTCCAGGCTGGCTTTGAACCGAGATCCTCAGATCTCAGCCTCCAGAGTAGCTAGGATTACAGGTGTGAGCCACCGATGCCCAGCAGGCTTAATTTTTATTCTAAGCCCTTCTAACCTTCCACCCTAAAGGAACAGCAAAGCCTGTGGGATCCCATCTTCCTTAGGGGTGTGCCCTGAAGACAACACCTGGGGAAAGATATGCTGAGCTATGTCCACCAACCAGGTAGCTTGAGGCTACTCACAGTCCATTTGAAGGGATCCCAAGCCAGGAACCATCCAGTGAAGGTGGGGGGCTCATGTCCCTGCTTCACCACAATGATGGGAGTCTGAGGGTCACGGCCACTGGGATGGGTCTTGAGGTATTCCTGCACGGTGGTAGCGGCGGCCTTCTTCTCCTCCTCATTGGCATGCTTCCCTAACCAGAAGAACACCTGGCGAGAGTGTCACAGATTAGTCAGTCCTTCCTGTCTTCCCTGGCCCAGGACTCTGCCTGTCCTGCTGTGGAGCCCAGCCCTGTAACTACCCAGTAAAATGACCCTAAGTCATTTAGACGGAAGTTGGACTTGGACCATCTGGCCTTGACACTGCTTCTAGGAAATGAAGAGGTTGGACAGATGCTTGTCCTCAGAGCCCAACAAGATTCTCAAAAAGATTCCTTCTGCAATGGGGAGTACAAGGACTCTGGAAGAGAAGGCTGCATCCTGCCCTCTGGACATGTCCCTTCCTCTTCTTTCTTCATTTTCTGCTGTTTATCATACCATTCTCAAGGAGGAAGAAAAGAGAGTCCCAAACTCTAAAGCCACTGGGGCTTCTTGGTGGGTGGGAAGGCTATCCTCCCCCCACCCCCAGGCCCTCAGCCTTACCTGGTCCCAGACATCCAGTAGGAACACATCCTCCTCCTCCAAGTCATCCTGGTTAAAGTCTAGGATCTCTGTGGCCAGGAAGCGCCCAGTTTGGTTGGAACATTCAAAGAGCCGAGGGGTGATGACTGCGTTTTCCTCCTGTAGCCTGCAAGTAGGGACAGAAAATTGTACTGGCAGGAGGAATGGAAGGAGTGTGGAGTCTGGAAGATACAGAACTCTGATACAGGCAAGATACAGGAACCTGGGCATGAAAAGGCCATCTCCTCAAAATATGCCCTTAAGCCAGGTGCTGGTGGCTTATGCCTATAATCCTAGCTACTCAGGAGACCGAGATTTGAGGATACATGGTTCAAAGCCAGCCCAGGCAGAAAAGTCTGTGAGGCTCTTATCTCCAATAAACCACCAGAAAACTGCAAGTGGCACTGTGGTTCAAGTGGTAGAGAGCTTGCCTTGAGCTGAAGAGCTGAGAGACAGTGCCCAGGCCCAGAGTTCAAGCCCCATGGCTGACCAAAAGAAAAAAAAAAAAAGGAATAGAAAAGAAAAAAGAAATATGCCCTTATGATTGAAAACCATTCCCTGCTCATCCTGAGCGCTCCCAAAAAGAACCCCAACCCCATGCTGCCGCTCTGACTTTCACCCCCTAGTTCTTCCATAGCCCTAGTAGAAAGTTCTTTCTGCTGTCTTTCCTGCTCCAATTCAGTGTCCTTTTGCTTCTGGATTCTTTTCTTTTCTTCTTTCCTTCCTTCCTTCCTCCCCGCCCCCTTCTCTTTCCCCCCACCTCAGGCTTGAACTCAGCACCTGGGTGCTTCCCCTGGACTTTTTACTTGAGTCACACTCCCCTCCTGGATTTTTGGTAGTTAATTAGAAATAACTGTCTCACAGTTTTCTGCTTGGGTTGGTTTTGAACTGTGATCCTTAGATCTCAGCCTCCTTAGTAGCTAGGATTACAGTCATGAGCCATCAGTGCATAGTAACTTCTGGAAAAACCATTTGAGGGCTAGACGCATAATTTAAGTGAGAGAGCACCTGCCTAGCAAATAAGAGGCCCTAAGTTCTAACCCCAGTAACTACTGAGAAAGAGAGAGGGTTTGAAAGATGGTTTATGACTGTGTTAGCCCGTAAGGACAAGATCTGGGTTCTGGCACCTTTTCCTGAGGACAAATAACCCTGTGGCTCTCTGAGCTGCCTCCTGTGGCTATGAACAGCCTTGCTGACGAAATCCCTCTGCCTAGCCCTGCACATCTCATGGTGAGTAGCAAGTCGTACAGTCCAATCAGAACAAAAGCTAGAAGCAGAGGACCCAATCATAGTTACCTCTTGGTGTTGGCGTAGGGTGCCTTCCCTCCCAGGGCCATCCAGAAGTTGGCTGGCTCCTGCCCTTCCACCACCACTTGTTTTTCTGTCCGGGAGATGGTGTCAGCAACCATCTTGGCCATCTCCCGCTCATCACCACTGCAGCCCTGACAAGAGTGGGGTGGTCTGTGTTGGGGAGACCATCCCTAGTGCCACTCCTCCCCTACCCTTCTGTCACATTCTGCCCCAGAGCTCCAGGTCTTTAAGGAGGTCTTCCCTGTGCCCACAGCCACTGCAGAGACAATTCTCCAGCCTCTCTTCCACCCTTGACATGCCATGGCAGAGACAGAGCAGGAGAGACTAGAGATCCCATTCAGAGGACCTGAGAAGGATGCCAGTAGCCCATGAGACCTCACATAGAGATTCAAGGGAGAGGCAGTGATAGACATGGAGCAAGCAGAGAGTCCAAGACACAAAGACAAAGCAACAGTGGGCCATCTAAGGCACCTGGAGAGACTGTTCTGACAGAGAGGCAGAGAACCTGAGTGAACTTGGAAGCAAGACAGAAAGTCTAGAGCCACAGAGAGAGAAAAAAAACCTGAGCTCCCCAAGGTGGCTGAGGACCCAGAGAGCGGGGTCCGGTCAGCCCAGGTCCTACCCTGAATCAGATCATTCTGTGGCTAAGGAATTCCCGGGGCCCACTTGGGGATGGAGAGCCCGGAGGCCCTGCACACCTTCCCACACCACAGGTAGCAACAGGATGGAGTCTTGAGGATAAAGACGTCATTGGAATTGAGGGAGGTGGCTCGGGCTGTGACCTCGAAGGCTTTGGTGTTGTTGGTACTTGTTCCCCGGACCTGGAACAGCCTTGTGGAGGGCACGGGCTCCGTGCTGTTATCTCTGGACGTGCCTCCCTGCAAGTGTAGGGAAAAAGCAGGAGAAAGAAACAGGGATGACTTAGTAAAGAAGACACAAATGGGGCCGGGCGCTGGTGGCTCACGCCTGTAATCCTAGCTACTCAGGAGGCTGAGATCTGAGGATCGCGGTTCAAAGCCAGCGGGGGCAAGGAAGACTGTGAGACTCCTATCTCCAATAAACCACCAGAAAACCGGAAGTGGCGCTGTAGCTCAAGTGGTAGAGCGCTCGCCTTGAGCTGAAGAGCTGAGGGACAGCGCCCAGGCCCAGAGTTCAAGCCCCACGACCGACAAAAAAAAAAAAAAGAAGAAGACACAAATGGGGCTGGGAAAGTGGCTCAGTGGTAGAGTGCTTGCCTTGCATGCATGAGGCCCTGGGTTCGATTCCTCAGCACCACATAAGCAGAAAAGGCCAGAAGTGGTGCCGTGGCTCAAGTGGTAGAGTGCTAGCTTTGAGCTGAAGAGCTGAGGAACAGTGCTCAGGCCCAGAGTTCAGGCCATACCAGCAACCAAAAAAAAGACAGCAATACATTGGGCACCAATGACTCATGCCTGTAATCCTAGCTACTCAGGAGGTTGAGATCTGAGGTTTGCTATTTGAAGCCAGCCAGGACAGAAAAGTGTGTAAGACTCTCATCTCCAATTAACCACTAAAAAGTCAAAGTGAAGGTATGGACTCAAATGGTAAAGCAAAACTAAAGACTAGCATCTAAGCCCAGAGTTCAAGCCCCAGTACAGATACCAACACACACAAAAAAAGAATTCAAAGCCGGGCGCTGGTGGCTCACGCCTGTAATCCTAGCTACTCAGGAGGCTGAGATCTGAGGATCTCGGTTCAAAGCCAGCCTGGGCAGGAGAGACCGGGAGACTCCTATCTCCAATAAACCACCAGAAAACCGGAAGTGGCGCTGTAGCTCAAGTGGTAGAGCGCTGGCCTTGAGCTGAAGAGATGAGGGACAGCGCCCAGGCTCAGAGTTCAAGCCCCACAGCCGACCAAAAAAAAAAAAAAAAAAAGAATTCAAGTAATATCAGAGAGGTGGGAGTGAATCTACTCACCTCTCCTTCGTGTCCTCCAAAATACCATCACAAGACTATCCCCCAAATGGCTTTGATCCTGGTATCTTCTGCACAGAAACTTTCTGTGGCTCCCCATTGCTTACAGACAAAAAGCCACCTCCTTCCTGGGCATCATGGAGATGCCAATTACCTTTGCAAGTTCTCTCTCTCTCTCTCTTTTTTTTTTTTTTTTGCCAGTCCTGGGGCTTGAACTCAGGGCCTGGCACTATCCCTGAGTTGCTTTTGCTCAAGGCCAGAACTCTACCACTTAAACTACCGTGCCTTTTCAGTTTTATGTGGCTTTTTCCGTGTATGTGGTACTGAGGAACCAAACCTAGGGCTTCATCCATGCTAGGCAGGCTTTCGACCACTAAGCCACATTCCCAGCCTTTGCAGGTTCTCTTCTTTCTCCAAACCCTCAGGTTTGGCTTGGCTAAGCTTCCCACCGATCCAAAGAGCCTTCCCGCCCCCGGCCTTCAGCCTTGCTCTACCCTTGTAGGACAAGCCCTTACTTCTGCTAAAGTCTTTAACTCTGTCCCAAATGTCAACACCTTCACTAAATCCCTTTCCTCAAGATAAACAGAGCTAAAGATACACAGTATTTCTTTTCTCCTTTTTTTTTTTTTTTTTTTGGTCCGGTCGTGGGGCTTGAACTCTTGGGCCTGGGCGCTGTCCCTCAGCTCTTCAGCTCAAGGCTAGCGCTCTACCGCTTGAGCCACAGCGCCACTTCCGGCTTTTTTCTTTTTGCTTATGTGGTGCTGAGGAATCGAACCCAGGGCCTCGAGCATGCAAGGCAAGTGCTCTACCACTGAGCCACCTTCCCAGCCCTTCTTTTCTCCTTTGAAATGAATTTTTTTTTTTTTGGTGCCAGTCCTGAGGTTTGAACCCAGGGTCTGGAAGCTGCCTCTGAGCTTTTTTGCTCAAGGCTAGTGCTCTCCCACTTGAACCACAACTCTACTTCTGGCTTTGTGGTGGTTAACTGAAGAGTCTTACAATCTTTCCTGCCTGGGCTGGCTTTGAACCAAGATCCTTAAGTCTCAGCCTCTTACGATTACAGGCATGAGCCACTCGTGCCCAGCTAAACTCAATTTTAATGCCTGACATTTACTCATACTATGCGCCTAGCTGAGTTCCCTGCTCAGGTACAGTCATGTGACTGTCCTCTCCCCACGAGATACTAAGCCCTGTCAGCCTGCCATACTGCTCCTTACTCAGAGAATTGCAAACGCCTGTGGACTTAGAAGGTGCCCATTAAATAGATTACTGTTTAAACAGGTAGAAGAGCCAATAGGTGTGGAAAGCAGACAGTACTTGCACATGGTAAGAGCTCATTAGTTATGTTTTTAAAGAGCCTGACTGGTTGTTTCTGTTACTAGTTTCACACCAATGATGGAGCCTCAAAACATCTTTTCCAAAGACCATGAGGAATGGTCTTTGCCCAGCCCCGTGCCCACTCCGCACCCCCTTCCCCATCTCCTGCCTTCATACAGCAGCCAGCCACACCTGGTAGACTACCATGCGTCCCTTGAAGATGGACATAAGGTGGGGTGGCTCCTTGCCCATTGGGACCCGAATCTGGACTGGCTCATCATTGTACTTCTGGTCCAGGATGACAGCTTGATAGGCCGAGGCTGCAATTTCATCCTGGCTGGCCTGGCTCCCCTGGGGGAGGAAGGAGGCAGGGTGGGGGTGGGGGTGGGAGTGGGGGTAGGGTCAGGTTCCTGATTCTGACCCCAGCCTCAGCCCCAGCAACACTCCATCTCTTCATTCTGTCTGGGAACACAACCCAAACCTCCCCCATCAAACCTCCACCCTGCACGCAGCCAAGGCCTAAGGAGCGCACCACAGATCTGACTCCAGCTCCACACCCGATCCTTTCCCAAGCCCAGATCAGCCCTGACCCACCTCAACCCCAAACCTGCTCTCCTCCCTCACTTGTCCACCCATAGGGAACACACAATTCACCCCCTGCTCGCTCCCATCGGACACACAATCCCCAGGCAGAGCAGGTGACAGGAATGTACTGGTGTTGGGAATGGAAGGGAGACTCAGAGCTGAAGGGAAAGGACTAGGGAGGCACTGGGAGCCAGCCTGACCGCCAGATGCCCCCGGCATGGAAGGTGCTGCCTCTGGCCAGTATTCAGCCCAAGGTGATGGCAGAGGTACGGGGAAAGGAGGGGAAGCCAGCGGTACTCAGGTGAGCTAGAGCAAAAGCCTGACCTGCCAGATGTAGAGCAGGTAGTGCTGCTTCTCGCCAATGAGGTAGGTATAGAGCAGCAAGTAGCAATCGCCGCCATAGAAGTGGCCCAGCCACTTGGAATCCACAGGCACCAGTTCTAGATCTTCAATGCGCCATACCTGAAAGCAGTATCAGACAGGTCTGAGCTCCAGGCTGGGCTCTGCCATCCCCTCCACCCAGCATGGACCTCCATCTCTCACGCACCTGCACCTCTCCACTCCCGTCGTCCACCATCTTTTGCTGGGCTGCTACCTGAGGCTGGACGTGCATGGAGGTAGCATCAAACTTGACTTGTTCCACCTTGGCTGTTGGGGACAGGGGCATGATGACACCAACTAGCTGAGATACCCCAGGTCTCCACAACAACCCTGAGTGGTGGCTGCAATTCTCAGAATTGTAAGGACATTTGCAGAAATTGTTAGGAAAGTGAGAGTAAGGAAGTTTAGTAGTAGCCAGGCATCGACAGCTCATGCTTGTAATCCTAACTACTTAGGAGACTGGTAACTGAGAATCATGGTTCAAAGCCAGCCTGGGCAGGGAAGTATTTGAGGCTTTTATCTCCAATGAATCACCAACAAGCCAGAAGTAGAACTGTGGCTCAAGTGGTAGAGCGACAGCCTGGAGTGAAAAAGCTAAGAGACAGTGCCTAAGCCTTGAGTTCAAGATCCATTACCAGTACCAAAAATAAATAAAGGTCAGTGCTTGCCCAAGGCTACACAGAAAATAGCAAAGCTATAATACAGAATCTCATCTCCACCTCCTTGCCTCTAAGATGCCTGCTTCATCAGTGCTACCCAGAGAAGCCACAAAAAGGAACAAGAGCAGGGCATTAGCTTTATTGCTCCACATCATCCACCCACCCTGCTGCGTTCAGACTTCAAGCACTGACTTGACCCAGCCCCCTCCAGGATGGGAGCTGTGCACTCTCCTTTCCTCCTCCCCCAGCGCCCAGCAAGGAGCTTGCCCTCGGCAAACACTGCCTGGTTGGTTTCCAGAAAGGCCCAGCCTTGTGGGGAATGAAAGGCAAGTCACTCCCGGTCTGTGACAACTGTTCGGTTGATCTGTGTTCCCTGGGATCCACATCCTACCCTGGGGAGCTCAGAGCCAGAAGAGTGCATATGGAAGAGGTAAAGCAAGGAAGGAAGGTGGAAGGCCATGTTGTCTGTTGGCCTGGCTCCTGAATCCTGGATCCTATAATGCTCTGGTGCGTCCTCACCTATAGATCCCACAGTGTGGGTTTTGCCCAGGCCTGAAGTCCGGTTGGGCACTGTCCACTTCTGGAAGAGCTGCTGAAAGACTGCTGACTCAGCCCCGTCATTTTGTACCTCCACCTGCGTGCTTGCGGGGTACTGCTTGGCTTTGATGAAGTTCTGGGAAAGAAAAGGGGTGGTGGAGGCTAGATCCCCACTTTTGCTCCCCAGCCCCTGTGCAAGTCAAAGCCTGGCCCTTACCCCAACCTAAGCTACAATTCAAGTAGAAACCTGACACTGCCTTAAAACTAATACTGGCCTCAGTGGGGTCTTAGGCTCACATTCACCTTAAGTCTATTGCTGACTCCAGACCTAACTCTGATCTCAACTCCAACACCAAATCTGACCTCTAACTTGATGATGCCTTGCTTCTAATCCTAGCCCAGTGTCCACCACAACCCCAAACCTGCCCCCCTATCTAACAATGGTCACTGAGCCCCATCATCAGATTCTGACTTGGCCCTGGCCCCAAGCTGACCCAGCCCTCTTCTGTAGGAAGGCCAGCCTCCAGGATCCTTCTCTAAACCAAGCTGGAGCATGGGGAGGTGACAGCTTACATCCTGGGGAGGGCTGCCTGGTGGCTGACATTCTGGTGAAAAAGTACTCCCCCAAAGAGGCTAGAGAATAGCCCCCCCAGCCCTGCCCCACCCGGGTCCTCTCTCCATAGACCTCCACCTGTGCTATGCCCTAGTCTGAGCCCCTGCTGTCATCTGCTGACGCTCCTCCCAGACCCCTGGCCCTACCAGAGCCTGGTTCATGGCTCCCTTCCTCTCCTGTTCATTGGCATTCTTCCCCTTCCACACGTAGATCTTCAGGCCCCCCTGGTCCAGGATATAACAGTCCTAGAGTGGGGAGAGAAAGAGCCAGGTGGACCTCTTGGTGTGGTGTGATGGGTGTGTCCCGACACGCTGGACTTTTCCCAGCTTGGGGAAGAAGTGGCTGGGATGTTCTAGCTCTCACCTCGTGGCTCAGCAGGTTCTGTGTAAGCGGCCGCGTGGCGACTTCCCTAACCACCAGTTTTCCCTCTGAGTCAGACAGGCTGTGGGACAAAGCAAGGGTCAGCCCCTCAGCCAGGCAGGCCCCTGCCCCCTCTCCCCGACATCTTAGCACCCAGGAAGCTCCCAGCCCGGTCCTCACTGGTACAATTTGAGGGCAGCCTTGAGGGCCGGCTCCACCACCGAGTCAGGAATTGCAGCCTTCAGCTCCCTCCGCTGGCCAAGCACGTGGTTCATCACCGCCATCAACTCCGGAGATTCCGACTCCCTCTCCCCATCCACTATGCCCACATAGGTGCGCCCGCCCCGCTCCTGGTCTCGGATCTCCTTGGCCAGGGTCGTGCCCTGCAAGAAGGCCCCAGGGCACAGAAATGGAGGAACAAAGGGTGAACGGAGGCAGCAAAGGCACTCCCGGACACTGTGCTGAAAGTGAACTTTACAACTTGGGATGGGGATGGGAAGGAAAAAAACTGGGCGAATGAGGGAAGGGGTGACATTGTCCAAAAAGAAGTGGACTCTTTACCTGACTGTAACTGTAACCCCTCTGTACATCAACTTTATAATAACATTATAAAATTAGAAGAAGGAGGAGGAGGAGGAGGAGGAGGGGGGGGGGGAGGAGGAGGAGGAGGAGGAGGAGGAGGAGGAGGAGGAGGAGGAGGAGGAGGAGGAGGAGGAGGAGGAGGAGGAGGAGGAGGAGGAGGAGGAGGAGGAGGAGGAGGAGGAGGAGGAGGAGGAGGAGGAGGAGGAGGAGGAGGAGGAGGAGGAGGAGGAGGAAGCTGAGATCTGAGAATCATGGTTTGCAGCCAGCCCAGACACAAGAGTCCTGGAGACTCTTATTTCCAATTAATCACAGAAAAATCCCAAAGTGGAGCTGTGGCTCAAAGTGGTAAAATGCTAGACTTGAACAAAAGGAGCCTAGGGACAGTGCCCAGGCCCAGAGTTCAAGCCCCAGGACTAGCAAAAACAAAAACACAACAAACAAACAAACAAAAAAGGCCTCAGGTGAGCCACAAAGGCTGGCTCTGCCATCCTAATTCTTCTTCTTTTTTTTTTTTTTTTTGTTGTTGTTGTTTTTTTGGGTCCGGTCGTGGGCCTGAACTCTGGGCCTGGGTGCTGTCCCTCAGCTCTTCAGCTCAAGGCTAGCGCTCTACCACTTGAGCCACAGCGCCACTTCCGGCTTTTTTCTTTTTGCTTATATGGTGCTGAGGAATTAACCCAGGGCCTCAGGCATGCAAGACAAGCGCTCTACCACTGAGCCACCTTCCCAGCCCCCCCCCCCAATTCTTTGAGCCCCAGCTCACCCAAGGCCCTCAAGAGGGGTGATGGCCAGTGCGGGTGCAAAAAAGCCAGTGGGAAGGCAGTAGGAAGGCAGTAGGAAGGCAGTGGGAGAGCAAGGCAGCTGGGGGAAACCCACTCACTGGGCCTTTAGTTTTGTCATTGTTCAGAATTTGTGCTTTTCCTTCACAACTTGGCACAAACACAGAGCACTGAAGATCATAGTGCTATACTCAGTCTCTGCCCCACAGCAAGCTTACATGTTCACAGTACACACCCACAGACGCACACTCGTATGAAAACATTCATACACACACACATTCATCCAGCACAGCATGACACAAGCTCATCTATAGACACATTTACACGTGCAGCTACTAGTGCACAGTCTTTCTCTCTCTCGCTCCTTCTCCCCCCCTTACACACACACACACACACACACACACACACACACACACACACACACACACACAGAGTCGCCCTCCTTTAAGTCCCAGGCCCCTCCATCTGTGCTCCAGATGGCCAGGCCATCTCGAGTCCCAGAGCCTGGTGTTGGCTACAAGAGGCATACTCTTGTCTCCAACCCAGCTCTCGGCTCTCATGATATTTTTCCAGCTTCCCAGAAGACAGCCCTATTTTAGGATGCCCCAAACTGCCTTCTGTTTCCTCCCTGAGAACTTCTCTATCTCAGGAATCCCTGCCTCTGTAGTTCAGTGTTCTGAATCAGCCTCCGCTGGGCTGGCTTCATTCCAAGCTCCCTTCACATGCTATCTGCAGTAAGTCCAGATTCTACCTGCTGGGACCTCTTGCTTCTGTTTCTCCATAATGGTCATAGGGCTCTTGCTGGCCTTGACCTCTCCTTTGCCCCCTCTCCACTCAGAGGCCAGATGACCATCAAAGGCTGGGCGCACTGAGCTACAACCCTTGTATACAGCCCTTTGGTCACATGACCTGCCCCGTGAGACCCAATGCCTGCTTGGCACTCTCCTGCTATGCCAGGAACTCTCACCAGTTTCCTCCTTCCTGTCCCAGCTCCTTCTCTCTCTGCTTCCCTTCATTCTAGAAGTTGTTCTGGATACCTAGCACTAAGCTCCTCCCCAAATCACCTGTCCTATTCTGTTCTTACCTGTCTGGCTCCACCACTCAAAGACCAGCTGAGACCAGTGCCAGGTTGAGGCCCTGTCCATTTCATTCACTCCCAGATCCTTAGGCTCTGCATGAGGGTCTGCCAGACACTAATCCTCCCTCGGATTTAGCCATAAGCATACACACTAACTCACAAGTGTCTCCATGCATGTGGAGACACAGATCCTTCTTCATACACTATCTTGTCCCCAACAGTCAGTGGAGAGGGGCCTGGGAGAATGGAGACCAGCCAGAGAAGGGTTGGGGTCTGTCTAGTAGGACTGGGAGTAGTGCTGAGTCTGCAGGAGCAAGTGAGGTTGGGATTTCAGGGAACTGAAGATCGGGAAAGGTTACCCTGAGTCTCTCCATACGATTGCTCTCTGGTCCGTTCCACTGGATGATAAGCTTCCCCAGGTCCAGCAGGAAAACATCGCCTCGGTTGAAACTCTTCCAGGACATCTCCACCTAGGAAGCATGGAGAAGTCTAGACCCTGCTCATGGCCTGTCCATCTCTGGCCATCCTTCCCTGCCCTCCATCTAGTATCCTAGCAGGGCACACTCACCTCTCCAGCCACCACATTCCTCTTGCCCTTGACATGCAACAGCCGCCGGACATCACTGGAATTGGTCTCCACATGCTTCATGCCAGAAGCCACGCCCCCTTTCCTGATCCTGGGAAGAGAGGAGAGCTGACCCAAGGAAGTCAGGGGCTCTAAGCCCCTGCCTCTCCAGGCAGCCCGGTGCCACTGGGGCTCCCTGAGGCCCTGGATGGGATAGGGTGAGAAGAAGGAAGCATTGAAGTCTATAGCTAGTGGGTTCTGGTGGCCCTGAGTTCAAGTCCCAAGACTGACCAAAAAAAAAAAGACTATGGCTAACTAGACTGCTCCTAGCCTGACTCAGAGGTCAGGAGTAATTAACTCAGTTCAAGAGCATGCACTGTTATGGGGAAACCAAAGCTTCATATGTTTCTAGAAAGTTCAGTAGTCTGGAGTCTGAGAAGAGGGAGCAGTTATCCCCCTGTTTGCTGGAGGGGAGGAGAGGGGAGGCGGGTAATGTCCTCTGAACCTCCGGATATACAGAACTTCATTGGACCAGAGCCACAGAACTTCAGAATGTCCCTGGATCAACCCAGGGTACATTCAAAAGGACAGGATGAGTGTTAGGACAACAGCAAAAATAAGGATAGGAATGAAAAGTTGGATCCAGGGGCTGGTGGCTTACACCTCTAATCTTAGGGACTCAGGAAGCTGAGGTCTGAGAATGGAAGCTCCAAGCCAACCTGGGCATGAAAGTCCATGAGACTTTTATTTCCAATTAACTACCAAAACGCAGGAAGGGGAGCTGTAAGTCAAGTGGTAGAGCACCAGCCTTCAGCAAAAAAAAAAAAAGCTAAGGGGCAGTGCCCTGGCCCTGAATTCAAGCCCTACTCCCTGCGCGCGCGCACACACACACACACACACACACACACACACACACATATACACACACACAAAGTTCATGTGATTTCTTTCCATGGCCTCCACAGCTGCAGGCTCCCTTCTCTGCCCATGTCACATGTCATGGCGCAAGGTCTTCTCATCACCGTAGATCTCAGTGTCCTTGCCTCTTCAGCTCAGCCCCACCTCCCATTCCCACCTCCGATCCCGGCCACAGAGCACCCCGTCATACACAAGGCCCTTCTTGAAGTAGCTTCGGAAGGTCTCACTCTCATTCCCCTGGACCTCCCGGTGCTGGACAGCTCGGCCTTTCAGGAAATCATCCATCTGTGTCGTGTAGATGGCGGCTGCCCCCTGCTCATCCTGGGATGAGTCATGGCCGATCCAATAATGGATATCATAGGACAGGTTGGTGCTGGTCTTGTGGATCTGGGGAGACAGGGTAACTGTGTACCTAAGGTGGGCTTGGACTCCCATACACAGAGCCCTAAGGTAAGATTGGCACAAGGGAAACACAATGGTTAGTCAGGGCCCCAAGATGTGGCCCCGCCTTGCCATTGACTCTGAGATGAAGGGCAGGGTGATAGCGTCCCTTCTTGGGGTCTCGCTCCTCTCATCTTGGTAGAGCCTGCATGGATGACAGCAGTGTTTCTCAAAATGATATGTGTGACTCTTCAGAGGAGTTGAGATGAGCAGATGTGTAAATACTCTAAGCATTTTTCTCTGTCTATAGAAGATCAGACCCCTGTGAGTAACAAATTCTGCCATTCCCAAATCCCTTATAAAAATGGCATAGTTGGTGGGCTCTGGTGGCTCACACTTGTAATCCTAGCTACTCAGGAGGCTGAGATCTGAGGATCTTGGTTCAAGCCAGCCTGGACAGGAAAGTCTATGACTCTTATCTCCAAGGAACCACTCCAAAACCAGAAGTGGAGCTGTGGCTCAACATGGTAGAGTCCTAGCTTTGAGTATAAAAGCTCAGAGATAGCACCCAAACCCTGAATTCAAGCCCTACTGACAAATAAAAGGCCTATTATTTGCATAAATATGTGCATAAGCACAGCACAGCATTCTGGCTGCTTTAAATCACTTTCAGATAACTCATAATACTTAATACAAGTTACATGCTAGGCAACTAGTCACTGGTTTTTACAGAACGATGATAAGAAAACTGTGTACATGTTTAGCACAAACGCAATTTTTTTCCAAATATTTTTGCCTTCTGGTTGGTTGACTCCATGGGTATTCTGTGGATATAAAAGGCAACTGCCAGTGAAACAATTATGTAAATATAGCTACTTTCTATTTTGTGATACATGACATTCCTTTTCATTTACAGTAGAGTTGCTAAGTAAATGCATTTGAATTTTCAAAGTGAGCTGGGCAGTGGTGGCTCATGCCTGTAATCCTAGCTACTCAGGAGTGGGAGCTAAGGATGATAGTTCAAAGCCACTCTTGCAAGAAAGTCCATAAGACTCTTATCTCCAATTAAACAGCAAAAAGCCAGAAATGGAGTTGTGGCTTTAGTGGTAGGATGCTAGCCTTGAGCAAAAGAGCTCAGGGACAGTGCCCAGGCCCTGAGTTCAAGCACTGACCAAAAAAAAAAAAAGTTAAAGTGAAACCAGGCACCAGTGGTTCACACCTATAATCCTAGCTACTCAGGAGGCTGAGATCTGAGAATTGAGTTTGGGAGCCAACCAGGAAAACAAATCTGAGGGGCTCTGAGTGGATCAAGTGGTAGAGTACCAGCTATGAGTGAAACAAGCCTAGTGAGAGGGACAAGTTCAGGCCCCAGGACTGGAACAAAAGTTTTGTTTTGCTGGGTCCAGTCCTGGGGCCTGAACTCTGGGCCTGGGCACTGTCCCTCAGCTCTTCAGCTCAAGGCTAGCACTCTACCACTTGAGCCACAGCGCCACTTCCGGCTTTTTTCTATTTGCTTATGGGTTGCTAAGGAATCGAACCCAGGGCCTCATGCATGCAAGGCAAGCGCTCTACCACTGAGCCACCTTCCCAGCCCCACCAATATTTCTTTAAAAATCCAAATGCTTTTTATAATGCAGATGACACCAGTGAAAACTAAGAAGGTGATCAGAAGCTGGACTTGGTGGCTCATATCTATTGTCCTAACTACTGAGAAGGCTAAGATCTGGGATTGTGATTTCAAAGCCAGCCCAGGCAGAGACTCTTTTCTCCAATTAACCACCAAAAAGCCTGAAGTAAAGCCTGTGACTCGTCAGAAGCTGGCTAAGAAGGTTAGACGTGTGGATTTAGGTAAGGAGGACATGGCACCAGCATGGACTCGTTGCCCCTCCCCCCTCCCCCCAAGATTGCTGCTTCAGCTAGAAGGGGACTCTTCTGTGTGTTTCTCACCCTCGTGAAGCCTCACAGGCCAAATTCTGAGCACACCAGAAATGCTGTCCCCAGCAAAGCCACCTCCCCACCACCTCCAGGCTCCACTTTCCTCCCTGACCCTGCAGGGGGCTTTGCTCCACTCCGCCCCCTCTGTGCCCAATCCACTTACAGCCAGGAGTATGTAGCAGTCACCATCAAAAAAGCTCCCAAAGGTATTGGAAGGGACAGGCACCATCTGCATGGCCTGAAGAGAGAGTGTGAGAGAGATCAGAGAACTGTCTGGATCACCATCTCCCCCCCCCCCCCCGGAAAGTTCAGAAGGAGGGGGGGAGGGGACCCAAGGAAGCAGGCCAGGAGTGCATGGGGAAAGGGCTACACCAGGACTGTGGGTGTAGCTCAGTGGTAGAGAGCTGCTGAGTGATACCCTGGGTTCCATTCCCAGCACTGCAAAAACCAATGAACCCCAAAAAGCAGAGGGCCCAGAAACCAAAGGAGGGAATAGGGAGAGGGAGAAGGAAAAGGAGAACAGGAGAAAGAGGACAAGGAAGTGGAGAGCGCTTGTGGAAGAAGTGGAGAAAAGGGAAGAAGAAATGTAGCAAAGGAGGAGGAGCGGAAGTGAAGGGTGGAGCTGGTGGCAGGTGGCAGGTCCAGGCAGCGCACAGGGCAGGGCTGGAGGAGACAGGGGCACTGCCAAGCCTTCTCCTCCTCTCCTCCTCCCATCCAGCAGGGCTCACCTCGATCCTCCATATCTGTATCCCCGGAGTGGTGACGTTCAGAGAGCCTTTGACTTGGGCGTTCAGTTTGGTCATGGTGAATGAGTCTGGGGAGAAGAGTGGAGAAATCAGGACTGAAGAGCTGGGAGACCCCTCAGGATCAGAGGCTACCCTTCCAGCTCAGCCCTTGCAAACGCCCCACAGCATCCTGAAGCTTCAGGCTCAGTACCTGAAAGAGGTACTGAGGTACTCGGTAGCTGCAGGAAGAGAGGTAGAGGGTGGATTCCCCACTAGAGGTCCGAATTGCCCAAAGGCCAGTCTCTAGCCTTCCTACTCTACTGTGATTGTGACTGTCACTCAAGTGCCTGCCTTGTCTCCCTAGCTCATCAAAACTCTCACTCCTTAGTCTAGCACTCAAATTCTCTTTCTTTCTCTTTCTTTCCTTTTTCCTTTCTTTTTTTCCTTTCTTTCTTTTTTCCTTTCTTTATTTCTTCCTTTCGTCTCTCTCTCTCTCTCTCTCTCTGTCTCTCTCTCTGTTAGCACTGGAGCTTGAACTCAGGGTCTGGGTGCTATATCTTAGATTTTTTGCTCAAGTTGGCACTCTACTACTTGAGCCACAGATCCACTTCCAGCATTTGGGTGGTTAATTAAAGATAAGAATTTCACAGCAAAAAAAAAAACCACACACACACAAAAAGAATTTCACAGGGCTGGGAATGTAGCTTGGTGGCAGAGTGCTTGCCTAGCATGCATGAAGCCCTGAGTTCCATTCCTCAGTGTCACATAAACAGAAAAAGCAAGAAGTGGTGCTGTGGCTAGCCACGTGCTAAAGAAGCTCAGGGACAGTGTCCAGGTCCTGAGTTCAAGCCCCAGGACTGGCCAAAAAAAAAAAATCTCACAGACTTTCTTGCACAATCTGGCTTCAAATTGTGATCCTCAGATCTCAGATTCTCAGATTTCCTGAGTAGCTGGGATTATAGGCATAAGTCACCAGCACCCAGCATGGGTACCTTCTTTATCTTCATCAATTTCTATTTAAAATTTTTTTATAACAGAGTCATGCTTAGTTTTAAAAACAATTATACAGTTTACAAAACAGAAAAGAGATGAATTGATAACAGAAGAGCAGATAAGCAAAATGTAATATGTCTACACAATGGAAGACTATTCACCCATAAAAAGGAATATGCCACAATCAATGCAGAGGAGGCTTATGCTAAATGAAAAAATCCGACACAAAACTATATTGAATAGCTCCGTTTACATTTCCAGGACAGGCAAATCTGTAGAGATGGAGTCTATGGTTGCCAGGGACTGGGAAGAAGAATGGGGAGTGGCTATTGATGGGTATGGAGTTTCCAACTGGGATGATAGAATAGTAATGGAATTAGATAAAAATGAAGATTCATTATAAATGTAGTAAGTGCCATGGAATTGTAGCTTTAAAACAGACAAAATGTTTCGATACAATGGCATAGGGCTGTTATACCAGTGACTTGAGAAACAACCATCAGGAGAGTCATAGTGTAAGGCCATCCCAGGCAAGAAAGTGAGTGCCTGGTAGCAAGCCTATCATCCTAGCTACTTAGGAGGCAGAAGTAGGAGGATCACAGTCTGTGACTTTCCAATAAAAAATTGTGAGCCTCTCCTTGAAAAATAGAGTGAGCATGTAGCTCAAGTGGTAGAGCACCTGCCCAGCATGTGTAAGGTCTAGAGTTCACATCCTAGTACCATAAAAAATTATAATAGTCTCGGGCTGGGAGAGTGACTCAGTGGTAGAGCGCTTGCTTTGCATGCATGAGGCCCTGGGTTCGATTACTCAGCACCACATAAACAAAAAGAAAAAAGCCAGAAGTGGTGCTGTGGCTCAAGTGGTAGAGTGCTAGCCTTGAGCTGAAGAGCTGAGGGACAGCGCCCAGGCCCAGTGTTCAGGCCCCACAACCTGACTTTGTAATTGTAACCCCTCTGTATACTAATTTTACAATAACAAACAAAAAATAATAATAGTAAAATAAAATGGACAAAATGGCTGGGTATAGCACTACATGCTCAAACAGGACTGAGGTTGGAGGATTACAAGTTCAATATCAGCCTGGGCCACACAGCAAGACCTTATCTCAAAATAAATAAATAAATAAATATAAAGTAGGTAAAAGAATAAACCATATATATTTTTTAACCATGATAAGTTTGTAAGAGTATACAGAGCTAGACACTGGTAGCTCACTGGTAGTCCTAGCTAGCCAAGAGGTTGAAATCTGGAAATTGAGATTCTAAGCCAGCTAGGAAAAAGGTCTGAGACTCTACCTCCAATCAGCCAGCAAAAATTCAAGACTGGAGATGTGGCTCAAGAGGAATGCCACTAGTCTTGAAAGAAAAAGCCAAGCAAGACTGCAAGGATAAGTTCAAGCCCTGGTGCTGGTATATATAACAATTTGCTGTTTCTCACTGCTGTTGTGGCCCATCTATAATATATAACTCCCCTTACATCCTTTCTAGCATCTGGTATAGTAGCAGCTTGCTACCAGATAGACAGAGGGATGAATGGATGGGTGGGTAGATGGATGGGTGGGTGGATGGATGGGTGGATGGATGGATGGATGGATGGGTGGGTGGATGGATGGATGGATGGATGGATGGATGGATGGATGGATGGATGGATGGATGGATGGATGGATGGATGGATGGATGGGTGGATGGATGGGTGGGTGGATGGATGGATGGATGGGTTGATGGATGGGTGGGTGGATGGATGTGTGAGTGGATGGGATAGGTGAGTGGATGACTGGATGTAGGTAGATGGATGAGAGGGAGAATCCCTCTTACCACTGTGACCACCCTTCACACACAGAGCTGGAAGGAGTCTTTCTCTTAACGGGTTGGCTGTTTCTGTTTTGTCCTGTAGCTATGTTCTTTGCTCCAGCTGCTGATCACAATCCACCTGGGGAACTTTTAAAAAATACTGATGCTCCTGTGCTCAAGCCAAATCCCCCGGAGTCTTGATTTAATTAGATCAGGACTTGTTCTGGGTACCTTGTTTTCTGTTGTTGGGAGATGGGGCATGAGTGCTTCAAACCATCCTCTCCAGGGATTCTGCCAAGGGCCAGGGCAGAGAACCACTTGCTCCTGATTAGTCTCATCCCTCCTTTCTTGGCCCTCCCCAGTAGGAGAGAGGCCACCCCTGTTCTCCATGAGTGTGCTCCAGTCTGAGGGAGTCACCCTCCATGACTGCTCCTTGAACTGGTGAGTAATGAATGAAAGGTCAGAAGGCCCCCACCGGTCAGACCTCTGTACACCATGGCCTGGGATCTCTCTAATCTCCTTGCACTTTGACTTTGAGTCACATCTTACAATAATAAATGTCTATCCTGGCCTTTCACCACGTAAGAGACTCCCCCTTCTAAGCCCCAAAGGTTGGCCGTTCCCTTGAATGTTCTGGAAGGGAAAGCCCCCTTCCCATCAGATCAGCACCTTTAATGACCCAAACCACCAATCCATCACATAGCACTTTCAGTGGGTTTCTGGGGAGCCCTTGGGCCTGGCTGCTACCTGATGCTCTTGTTGGCCATGGCCTCCTCCATCAGACATTCCTCAATGTGAATAGTCCTCAGGGCCCATTTGGATACAAAGGTGAATGATGTCCTCTGATTCATCCTCATTACCACCTTGGTCATTGTCCCCTCTTTAAACAGACTCTTTGGCCCTCACTAGCTGAAGAACATGGACACGTGCTTCCTCTGGGAGCAGGAATGCACTAGGTAATTGCTACAGTCCCACTGATCAGCTTGCCAATCAATGAGCAGTGGCCTGGCAACAAGGGGATTTAATACTGGATTTATGGAGCCAATTCCTGCCTCTCCCAGAAATTCCTTGTCTCCTTCTGGAGGAGCATCAGGGTTTGGGGCTTGTGGCTGCCCAAATTGGAGGGAGCCAGCCTCCTTAAGGCCAAGGATGGCAAAGAGACTGCAGAGCTGCCTCAGACAGGTGGCCAGCCTCACTCCATGAGCACCTGTAGCTGCCCCTTTCCATGTGGGTCAGAGCACATGCCTCACCTTTGACCTGGTGGCACCTCTGCCACTCTCCTGCCTCCCCTAAACCGCAGCGAGGACCCCCCGACACACATACACTGTGCAGGCAAGGGTCCTAATTTGGAGTTGTGCCATCTTTAGCTTCAACTTACCCTCACTTCTGATCCCCTCTCTTGGGGGAAGGGGACAGCACCCTGAAATCCCAAAGCCAGCCTGAAGCATCCTGATCACTTCCCACCCCTACCCTTCGACCCACCCACACTCCCTGAGACCAACATGTCTGGCCCTCTCCACAACATTTTGCCTTCTGGAACTTTAATCTGCTTGCTGGCCCAGGACTGCGGGCTCTCTGCCCTTTCTTCTCCCCCCCCCTCTTCCCCATGGCCACCTGCCGAATTCTTGGATGCTCTTCCACACGATTGAGGTTTCATTTCTCCAGGAGGCCTTCCCCAAAGCCTCCGGCTGGGCCTTGGGGACCCCAAGTATCCTGAACTGCTGCTTCTTTGGGTTCCTGACCACATAGTGAAGAAATGACCTGTTTATAAGTTTGAGGTCCCAGGCTCCAGGGCTCAGGCAGGTTGTCAGCCGCAGGAGGTACCCAACAAACACTGATAGAGCTGAAAGGAGGGCCTTCCTGGGCACCGCCATCTTTCCTTTCATAGCTGCTGCCCTGTCATTCTCACAGTGCAGCTTTAGGGAGCCCTGGTTGCAGCCACAAGTCATGCTTCTTAGTCATGCCACTGTGAGCTGGATAGTTGGGTTAGGACCACCCTCCCCCTTGCCTGCCCCCTCCTCCTCAGACAAAGGCCATCTGCTTCCCCAGGCTTGTGAGTGTACAAGGAGGGACCATCCCTTCTGCCTTACCCACTAGCCACTTCAGCCCCAGGGCTGGAGACGGCTGAGCAGATGATCCCGGGAAGAGTGTGGCCAGGAGTCCCAGGAACCTGATCAGGGCTTGGTACCTAACTTCACCTGAGCTGAGTGGGTCACCGTGGCTGAGGAATCTGAGGGAGGAGTCCAGGCATAACCAGGGCCTAGGACCCCACTGCTACCAGCCTCTGCTTCTCCTCTCTATTTCAACCCATACAGTTCCTGTTGGCTTTGGCCACAAAATCCAGGCTGCAAGGCCCCTGAGGTCCCAGGACAGTCCAGGGTATGGTGACACAAAGAGAGACTTTTTCAAGCAAGGAAGAAATGATCAGAGATGAACTGAGACAGGAAGCAACAAATTTGAGTCTTAGGTGGCTAATACTCCTAGCTGCCCAGGAGTATCCTGGTTTAAAGCTAGAAATTCTGAGACCCAGATTGTGCGGCAAGTCTTGGGCAATCTGATGACTGACACCCAGCAAGGGGCAGGTGGGGAGGGTGAGTAGTCTCAGGAGAAGAGTTTCTGTCCTTGTCCCAAACAACAGACTGACTCTGCTTTTTCCGGAATCTCGCAGGGCCCTGCCTCACCCCTCTAGCCCATACAACCTTCTTCAAGAGGTCCCAGGCGTTCAGAAATAAGCACAGATCCTGTCCTTTCCCACTGCCCCCGGTTCCCCGGTCTCCCCACCTGGTTGCCTTACCTGTCTGGAGGAGGCTGCCGCCACCTGGGAGCTCTCAGGGAGTTGTGGCAAGCGAGCTGCAGGAGAAAGACCTTTGTCCTCACCCCCCCCCTTGGAGGAACTGCCTTCACCATATAAGGGAAGATAGGGCCCTAGAGAGAGAGAATGGGGGGGTGGGGTGGGGAGGCAGGTGCCCAGTCAGGTCCCTGGGAGCCCAGAGCCCAGGGATAGCCTGACAGCCAGAGCTGATGTGCCCCACCCTTGGTTCCCAAGTGAACCCCCAGGAATGAGGTGTAATTCCCCCTCGGGCTGGGGTCCTGCCTCTCTGCAGGTGCACAGCACCCACCAGGGAAGGATATGGGCACTTGGACTGGTCCTCTTGCTCACCCAGAGAGGGCTCAGCTCTCCTCCCTTAGCCTTGGGGGCACATGGGGAAAAGAAAGTCTCAGCTCTAGAAGTCTTGAACCCAGGAAGGCAAGGCTGGGATTGAACCTTGGGGCCCCTCTAGAACGGAAGGGGACCCTGGCACCTCTTCTTTGCTGTATGACCCTCACTCAGTGAGGCAAATGCTCTTCCTGTCCTCCCCCCTCAGGGGCACAGGCTCCACCTGGAATTTTTATGAGTTACCATAAACTGGTGCCTTTGGACTCTGCTCTTCCACCCTCTCCCAGGAGCCAAGGCGTTCCATCTCCCACCCCTGGACCTGGGGGTCCATCTGCTTCAGGAAGGGAAGCGCTGTGGCCCTCACCGGTGTAAGTCTTGTTCACACACGGGCTTTGGGCACAAACTCAGCACTGGGGGCAGCTGCCCCCCAACCTGCAGCAATTCTATCACTTCTGAACCCTGGTCCTTAGGAGGGTGAGGTGAAGTGGGTTGGAGAGGGCAGTCCTGCTGCTGACCACACCCTCCACAGACTTATAGAAACCAAAAGTGAGCATGTGTACATACACACGTTCATGTGCTGGGTGTGTGGTGTGAGTGCTGAGTATGCGCTCGTGCATACTACAGTATTCTAGTTTGGGAAGTAGATATACTGCAGGTGTAATTTTGTTTTTAAAAACAATGTAATGCTATTTCTTGTGGATAAAAAGGAGATATATTCTCTTAATTACATAGGCAAGAAAACAGCAAAGCAAAAGCTCACCTGTAAGCCGGGCACTGGTGGCTCACACCTGCAATCCTAGCTACTCAGGAGGCTGAGATGTGAGGATCACAGTTCAAAGCCAGCCTGGGAAGGAAAGTCCAAGATACTCTTATCTCCAAGATAAGAAAACTGGAAGTGGTTTTGTGCCTCCAGTGGTAGAATACTAGCCTTGAGCTGAAGAGCTGAGGGATAGTGCCCAGGCCCAGATTTCAAGTCTCATACCAACCGGAAAAAAAAAAAAAAAGCTCACCTATAATTCCAGGAGCGATAACCAATCCATGATCATTGCTAGAATTTCATTTGGTATATCTCAAATCACTTTCCAGTACACAGGCTATGTGTGTGTAGTATATGTGTATAATTATACAATTTCTTTCTTTCTTTCTTTCTTTTTGGTCAGTTGTGGGCCTGAACTCTGGGCCTGGGCGCTGTCCCTCAGCTCTTCAGCTCAAGGCTAGTGCTCTACCACTTGAACCACTGCACCACTTGAACTCAGGTCTGGGAACTGACCCTGAGCTTCTTTTTGCTTAAGGCTATGCTCTACCACCTGAGCCACAGTGCCACTTCTGGCCTTTTCTGTTTATGTGGTACTAAGGAATCGAACCCAGGGCTTCATGCATGCTAGGCAAGCACTCTACCACTAAGCCACATTCCCAGCTCCAGGCTTGTTTTGAACCACAATCCTCCAAGTCTCAGCTTCCTGAGAGCTAGGATTACAGGCATGAGCCACCAGGGCTCAGCTCAAACAATTATTCTAATGTCCTCCTCTATCCAGCTTATAGTCAGTTTATTCCACTTAGCTCCGCAAGGACTGTAATAGCTGATTTTGTTAATAGAGGATCAAAGCAAGATTAAGCATTTCTGTTCTCATGTCACTTCTGTACTTTTTGATCTAGGAGAGGCCTTTCCCATTTTCCTCCAGATACTAGCTTATCTGAATCAAAAGACAGTTGTCAGCTGGGCACCAGTGGCTCATGCCTATAGATCAAGGTTCAAAACCAGTGGGCAGGAACATCTGGAAGGCCCTTATCTCCAATTAATCACCAGAAAACCAAAAGTGGTATGTGGCTCAAGTGGTAGAGTGTTCACCTTGAGCTAAAGAGCTCAGGGATAGTGCCCAGGCCCAGAGTTCAAGCCCCATAACCAACAAAAAAAAAGAAAGAGGGGCTGGGAAGGTGGCTCAGTGGTAGAATGCTTGCCTTGTATGCATGAGGCCCTGGGTTCGATTCCATAGCAACACATAAGCAAACAAAAAAGCTGGAAGTGGTGCTGTGGCTTAAGTGGTAGAGTGCTAGCCTTGAGCTGAAGAGCTGAGGGACAGTGCCCAGGCTCAGAGTTCAGGCCCCATGACCAGCAAAAAAAAAAAAAAAAGAAAGAAAGAAAGAAAGACAGCTGCCTGTAGAATGTCCACACTATAGATCTGTCCTGGTCTTTCCTTATGGTGTTACTTAGTTTGCTCCTCTTCTGCCTGTATTTCTCTAAAGCCTAAGGTACAGCTAGCAGATTCTGGTTAAACACATTCCACAGGAATACTTTCTAGAGCAGCACTTCTCAAACTGAACTATTTTACACATCAGCTATATAAAATGCACATTATGATTTAGTAGGTCCAGGGTAAGGCCTGAGATTCTGAATTAGTCACCAACTCCCAGGAGATGCTGATGTCTTCAGATTATTCTGGTCTTTCAGTAGCATAGTCAAAAGTGATGTCCACGCATTGCATAGAGGCACATAATACCAAGTTGTCCCAGCACAAACTATGGAAGTTTGATACTTGGTCACAATGGTGACTAGCAGTACTTTTCTTTCTTTCTTTTTTGTCAGTCATGGGGCTGGAACTCTGGGCTTGGGCACTGTCCCTGAGCTCTTCAGCTCAAGGCGAGTGCTCTACTGCTTGAGCCACAGCGCCATTTCTGGTTTTCTAGTGGTTTATTAGAGATAAGAGTCTCATGGACTTTCCTGCTCTGGCTGGCTTTGAACCATGATCCTCAGATCTCAGCCTCTTGAATAGCTAGGATTACAGGCGTGAGCCACTGGCGCCCGGCTTTCCTTTCTTTCTTTCTTTCTTTCTTTCTTTCTTTCCTTCTTCTTTCTTTTTCCTCTTCTTTTCTTTCCTTTTCCTTCCTTCCTTCCTTCCTTCTTCCTCCCCCTCCCTCCTCTTCTCCCTCCCTCTCCTCTTTCCTTCTCCCTCCCCCACCCTCTATTTGTGCCAGTCCTGGGGCTTGAACTCAGGGCATGAACACTGTCCCTAAACTTTTTAGTGTTCTATCACTTGAGCCACAGTTCCACTTCCAGCTTTTTTTTTGAGTAGTTTATTGGAGATAAGAGTCTCAAGGACTTTCCCACCCAGGCTCGATTCAAACTGTGACCTCAGATCTCAGTCTCCTGAGTAGCTAGGATTACAGGTATGAGCCACTGGTGCCCAGTGGCTTTTAAGGTACATTTTTCTTTTTGTAGTTAAAAATCATCTTGGAGTCTACATGGAACACCTGTAGTACTCAGCAATTGGGGAGAACTGAGGCTTGAACCCAAGAGTTCTAGGCTAGCCTGAGCAACATAGTGGGAGCAAGAGACTGAGTGAGCAAGCAAGAGACAGAAAAAAGAGAGAGAATAGACAGATGTTAAAGCAATAAAAACAAAGAAGTCAGCTGGGTTTAGCACCAGCAAAAAACAACAACAAAAAAACCCCACAAAGAACAGAAAACAACAACAAAAAGAAGAAATCATATTGGGGTAACAGTTTGATATGGACAGCACAAACTTTTATTTACCACTTTTTAATTCTTTTGTAATAATCATTTGTAACTGTGTGTGTGTGTGTGTGTGTGTGTGTGTGTGAGTACAGATATGGGGGCTTGAACTCTGGGCCTGGGTACTGTCAGATAGAGTACATTTCTTTTTGGACAATGTCACCTCTTCCCTCACTGTCTCCCAATTTTTCTCTCCCATCCTCACCTAATTACCTTTTTGTTTTGTTTTGTTTTTGTTTTGTCCATTGTGGGACTTGAACTCTGGGCCTGGGTGCTGTCCCTGAGCTCTTCAGCTCAAGGAGAGCACTCTAACACTTGAGCCACAGCACCACTTCCAGTTTTCTGATGGCTAATTAGAGATCAGAGTGTCATGGACTTTCTTGCCTGTCCTGACTTTGAACTGTGATCCTCCGATCTCAGCTTCCTTCTCAGCTAGGATTACAGGTGTGAGCTACCACACCCAGCTTCTAATTACCTATTTATTTATTTATTTATGGTTGGTTGTGGGGCCTGAACTCTGAGTCTAGGCGCTGTCCCTCACTCTTCAGCTCAAGGCTAGCAGTCTACCATTTGAGCCACGCACCACTTCCGGCTTTTTCTACTTATACGGTGCTGAGGAATGGAACCAGGACCTTATTCATGTAAGGCAAGCACTCTATCCCTGAGCCACCTTCCCAGCCCCCTAATTACCTTTTTAATGTCTATTTTTTTCTGTGTTGTATTCACTGCTCTAACTAAGGGCTTGGTTTATCATAGGCATGTAACAAAAGTTTAAGGGGAAGAAACAGAATTTATTACTTCTGTCTTAGACATCATATTTAGGAAACAAGGTGTTCCTCAGACTATTTTTTTTAATTTATATATATATATACATCTATACCTCATAAAATAATTCAAAATACAAACACATATAAGATGCATTCCCTACCCCATCTTATATGACAGTCTCCCAGCTACACTCTCTAGTATTACCCACATCTATGAATGTATATTTGTCTCTACTGCTTTGTATGTGTGTGTGCATGTGCGTTCACACATGCCAGTACTGGGGGTTGAACTCAAGGCCTCAAGATTTTGCTTAATTTTCCCTGCTCCTCACTAATGCTCTGGCATTTGAACCATATAGCCACTTCCAGCTTCCTGTTGGTTCATTGGAGATAATCTCATAGATTTTTCTTCCTGGGCTGGCTTC